GGACACCTTCTGTCCAAGTCTCAGGTAACGGCGCTACCAACAGTGAGGGACCACACCACGGATCAGCTGGGGCCTGAGGGAGATGAGTATATTCCTCGAGAATATGATGAGCGAGGAGAGAAGAAGGTTACCTCCACCGGGCACCTTCTCGGGGATCGCGAATACAATTGTCGGACGTTCTTTGTGCCTAATAGGGGAAATAAACTTTTCATACTGGCCAGGGAGTGTGCGCGGGTAAAACGATATCGAGATTCGTATGCACTTTTCGACAAGAACAGATGTTTATATAAGATCATTGCTACCGACGCCGAGAAGGAGGATCTAATTCGTCAAGAAATTATACCATATTCATATAGATCTCGGCAAATAAGTATTCTGACCGCCAAATCCGCGTTTCGCCAATTTGGCAGCAGGGTCGTGGCGAACGGCCGACGTGTCCGGGATGACTATTGGGAAGCAAAGGCACGGAAGCAAGGATTTACAGAAGATGACCTTGCAGAGCAGAAGAAACCAGGCGCTGCAAAGGGCAGAGACACTGCTGCTGCGGGAGCAAGCGCGTCTACATCAATGAACTTTAGCCACGAAGGAGAAATTGTCTCCGCTCAAACAGAAGGATCCTTTGATACCCACGCTGAACGACAGGCGGCCTTGCCTGGCATAACTCTTGCGCTAGAAAAGCTCGGTATGATAGGAGAATATAGCAACATCCAAAGACCACGCGAAGAGGTCTCTAGTCATTCACGCCATGATCGGATACAGGGAACTCAGTCTACAGAGTTCCTGACGCAAACGCATCGTGATGCGGAGAATATCGAGCTTATCGGCACAGTAGACGTGAAAACTGACTCCTTGCTCGAGCGGCACCGGAGGACGCCTCAGTTGATTGATTGTACAAAACTAACACAATGTACACTTGCCGATGAGGGACTCTCTCCTGCTCAGGTAGCACAGTCTCCATGCGCGTCCGATAGTAGCGTGCAAGAACGATCAGTGTCTCAGCAACAAGAAAAGATGCTGCCTCCATCACTGAAATCCATTGACTGGACGACTGAGTTGGCAAGAGCTGTGGGAGCTGCATATGAAGCTGCTTACGGCTCTGCCTCAACTTCTCCTTCTCTGCTGTTGAAGTTGTATTCAATCTTTGATGATGAATCCTTCCTAGCAAGCGAGTCGATCTCCGATGTTGACGAGGAAAGCTTCATTAGTGGGGTCTCCCAACATGGGCAGACCGGTAGGACATCTAGTGCTTCCGGTAATCTGCACGACGCTTGTAGAGAGTCAACTCCGATCCCGTCGGTATCAGGGATCGGTGGCTACACTGGGGCTGGACAAAGATCTGACCAGAGTTCTGAATTCCCCAGGGTAAAGGCCACATCGTCCAACTTGCATCCATCCAAACGTGTTATTCGGAGATTAAGATGCCACTTCAATGCTCGGAACTCTCAGAAATATTGTGTTACTCGCGCAACCGGGAACAAGTATCATGTTTGCGCAAAGGCCGGATACCTAACTGTTACACATCTCAAGTAAGAATGCTTTTGATTAAGCGAGGAATCTGTACTAACCCCTCGAAGACAGCATAATAAAAGTACACACATGTCCAGTCAATGTACTCGATGTGGTAGGCTATTTGACCTGGCGAAAGATCAGAAAGCACATGCCCGTTTAGAACCCAACAAAATGTGCCATGTAAAGCCAGAAGAGGAATGGCCAGGCAGTGCTGAAGCAGAAAGTATCAACGACAAGGTACAAGAAAGAATTCGCAAAAAAATCAGCGCACGCGGATACCAAGAGCTGGAATCTAGTACTAAAGATGCCTTGGTGTTATGGGTTTCTGCAAACATCACAGAATATGTCGGCGATAATCCCACTTCACAAGACAAGCAGGAGCTGAAAAACTGGTACTTGATTTGGTTGGCATTATTCCCCGGTATTCCTGTCCCAAGCCAACCTTGTAAGTTCCATTCTCCTAGAGCCATCAATATTTCGTATTGATTATCCGCAGTTTTTGACGGTCCTTCCGAGGCATCAGCCGAAGACGAGAGGTTCCTCCAGGTATTTCAAAGTACAGTAGAGGATCGAATGGCACGCCAGCAGATGACGTCGATGCCCCCAGGACTCGTAGACGAGATACTTGAGCGTATCCGAGAAACTCAAGTTATCATGCGAACGATGTCGCAGGCAGTCCAAAACAATACGCCTAGAGATTTTGGACAGGATAGTCCTCCTATGAATAGCACACAACTGTTGCCCTCTCTATCTTCCTCCGAGAGTATCCGTTCAAGAAGGCCAGAGCATAATCTGGAGGGCCCGGCACCTAAACGTAGGAGAGATGACTCCCAGCCGTTACCAGTAGCCAGCTCGTCTACAGAGGGAGATATGACTGCGCTAGAAACCTTGCCACAATACTCTCAGTATAATTCTGGCCCACAGCTTGGTACAGCACCTTTTCAGAATGTAATGGGCCTCAACCTTGACAGCTTTGTCAACGACCCTTGGTCAGCAAGTGCGCCAAGGTTCAGCGACATGGGCCAACCTTCTTCCCATCCCTTTCCATACTCCGAATCCGATCCCCTGATGCAGCCATTCCTCGGTGAGTCCAGCCTGGTATTGGAGCAAGATTATTGGTGTGCCGATACAGATGGTCACGCTGAAATCTATGATTTGGCAGAGACCATAAACAAGCCAAACGGCACACCCCGGGCACGGAGGAAGCGATAGGTTTAGTTACAGCTAGATTTGGCAGGTCCGATGATTCAAATCCGACTGGTTGTTACGGACAAAACAAGTGGCATTCGAAACACAATATTTCTTCCATTGCTTACATACAAGGTAGGAAAATCAACATGCCACATAGGGAAAGGCTTTATGTATGTTGACAAATCTTGTATGAATCGTAGAGTTTGTATCGCGTGACACACAGACACAGAAATGACAGCATTTATCATTAATATATAAAGCGTGTGATTCTGATATGTTTTATGAGAAATAAACATCTAGACACACCACGTCTCAAACTTCAACTATATCAATTCATGGCCACCCACCTCCTGACCCTATCCACTACCACATCTCCCAAACCCTCGGCGGCAACACCCCCCTCATAACCCCCCAATGCCCCAACGCGCTCTCCCTCTGCCACCCCTCAAACCCCGCCCTACTCGCCCTAGTAAGCACCCTCATCTCGCCCTCCTCCGCTTTCTTGAACGCACTATCCAGCACCTCATGCTGGGGCACCAAAAACGCCTTTCTGGCCCTCGAGTTCAAGAAATCCGGGGCAGTCGGATACGCGAACGCGATTTCTTCAACCGGGGTCCTGGTGCAGAAGATGACCATGTTGGTGAAATCGCGGCCTTCGTCGGCGATTTTGGCGGCGGAGGGCGCGGGGGACTCGCGGAAGATGCGGCAGCTGGGGAAGATGGTGCGGATTGTGGTTGTGATTATGCGGGAGGGGGGGAGGGTGAGGTCGCCTGCGTAGTTCTACAATTTTTATTAGTATGATAGGGGGGAGAAAGGGAGGGGGGAGGTACGAGTGCAATGACGCCCCAATCTTCGAGCATGTCGTAGAGATCCTGGATAAATTCCAACGTGAAGAGATCAATTGGCTCAGCGCCGCCCGTGAAGACGTCGTGGACGATGTAATCGTATTTGGTTCCCGCTCTGGCGGTGCGGTTTGCGAAGGCGACTGCGTCTTCGATGACGGGTGTGTGGGTGGTTGGCAGGGCGAAGTATTTGGTTGCGAAGCTGTGGACGACGGGGTCAATTTCGACGATTGTGGTGTTGATGCCGTGGGCGATGAATGCAGCCGGGGTGGTTCCAATACCGAGACCGCTTGATTCTATTAGATATGGTTCTTGAAAAGGGGATGTGGACTTACATGACAAGAGCGCTTTTTTGACGATAAGGAGCTGGAATTTCAACTTTTACCAATCTCACAGCTTCTAGCATTACGAAAACACCGTAAATAGGCTCGTTTGGTCCTTCATCTCTTGAAAACCATTCTCCGCCGAGGAGACTATGATCACACCTCATAACCCTAAATCTATTCTCCGCGCTCTCGATAATAGAAATATACCCCGTAAGCGATTCTTGCCGATCAACTAACGACCATCCCATCTGCTGCAACTCAGCATTAAGAGAAGCAGTACTATATGGCGTAGGTAGATGAGTATTGAAAATCGCCGTATGAAGCACCGCGGGCAGTGTATACAACAACAATTTCGAGGGCGAGAAAATCGCATATAACCCCGTAAGCAGCAGAGAAAGTCCGATTCTTGTATGCACAATCGAACTTCCAATCGCTCCAGAAATGTAATTCCCCGAATAGAATTCCACAGCTTTATAAAAAGCATAACTCGCGATCCCAGGCGTAGCATCTGAAAGCCATTGCCAGCGTCCGGGGTTCATATCCAGATCTTCCAGCACCGTGGCCGTACAACTCACGCTCAAAAACAACAACGGCAAGAAACTCAGAGTCTCAATAAGAATCGGTCCATATCTCCCGCCAAAAGTCCCGCTGAATTTGCAAAGGAAGAATTGAATAACAGGAATATACGCCGCCAGAACCGGCAACAGCAAAATCGGCTTAACAGGAATCCTCCTTTTCAAAAACAAGTTCAAACTCCATCCCAGGAAACACGCGCTCATAACACCCTTAGAATGGTAGGTTGAACTCGGTATCGAGCCATACACCGGACTCAGACTGAGTAGCGAGACGTTTGAGTAGATGGCCGCGAGTGAGAGGAGGGTGCCGGATTGGATCAAGACCCAAGCTTGTTCGCGCGCCCATTTTGCGGTGGTTTCTTCCTTTGCCTTGGAGGCGAGAGCTTTGAGTTCTTTTTCAAAGTTTTCTTGGGTGAGGAGGGGGTCGGTGGATTGTGGGATGGGTATTTTGGTGGTTTTGCCAGGTGACTTGGAGGGCTTTTTTGAGGGTGCCATGATGGTGGTGAGAAGGAATGCACCTCAAGGTGACGACCAGCGCGGTTTGAATTCAGAATATAAATGAGCGTATGAACAGTTTATTCAAGGGAGGGACTGAGAATTGAGTTTCCTTTCTTCAAACATGTTGTGAGGTCTGAAATATGGAAACGTTGCGATAGCGAACGACAGGCCATTGCGTTGAGCCTGAAACACTGGCCAGATGGCGGGGCGGAGTGGGGCGGAGGTCCAAACAATCAGATCACGTGCACGATGTATTGATGATAAAGATTTCATTTCTGCACCTCTTTAAACTTACGAAGTGTTTATTATGAAAATCAGAACGGAAAGCTAAATTCAAGTGAGGTATATGGTAAAATTATATTGGTAAAATAATAATGCACGCAATGCTATGCTATGCTATATGGATAACAGGTGTTATACAGGATGCTACAGGATTGTTAGCCAATGAAGCAGCGATAATTCGTCAACATCTGTCAGAGGAGAATAGACTTACCCATCGTTGCCCTGCGGACACGAGCCCAACATGAAAACTCGTGACCCCGCGTTGAAAAGAATTTAAAATGTCCTCAGATCTTCTCTCCCTCGAGAATTGGTTTGGCTTCCGCGCTATGCCACCATCCAGACTCCGTTCCAGGGAAGCTATAATGGTCCATGCTGGCAGCCTTCATCTCGACACTGTAACCAGGATCCATTGGTGTCTGGTAATAACCATCTTTGATAACTGATGGATGTTCGAAATGCTCGTGAAGATGGTCAACATACTCCAGGACACTCAACTTTCCACTGACACAGACATAATCGATTGTGCTGAGATGCTGGGTATATTCAGGAAGTCCGACACCACCACTGTGAGGCACGATTGGGACATTGAATTTCTTGGCCATGAGGAGTACGGCAAGAACCTCGTTGACACCACCCATTCGGCAAGCATCAATTTGGCAGACATCAATGGCACCAGAGGCGAGAAGTTGCTTGAAGATGACACGGTTTTGGCACATTTCTCCAGTCGCAACTCCGATTCCATCAGGGCGGAGCGCATCACGGATAGCCTTGTGACCGAGAATGTCATCAGGAGAGGTTGGCTCTTCGATAAACCATGGCTTGAATTCTTTGAGGTGTTGCATGTACTCGATGGCTTCTGGAACGGACCAAACCTAGAAATATCAGTACCAAACCCGGGCATAGTGTAAGTGAACTCACTTGGTTTGCGTCAACCATCAAAATGTTTCCTTTGTCATAACCAATGACTTCTCTCGCAATTGTCAATCGTTTCCGATCAGCCTCCACCGAGGTACCGACCTTCAACTTGAAATGTCTGTATCCCTTGGCGAGTGTCTCTTGCAACAATCCCTTCATCTTGTCCTCTCCATATCCTAGCCATCCAGCAGATGTGGTGTAAGCTGGAACAGCCTTGCTCTCCAAAGCATCCTGAATACGTTTCTGCTTTCCTCCCTCTTCAGCCTTCAACATGGCAATAGCCTCATCAGGGGTGATTGCGTCGGTAATATATCGGAAATCGATGCACTTGACGAATTCCTCTGGGCTCATATCCGCAACAATTCTCCAAACTGGCTTGTTCAAAGTCTTTGCCCAGAGATCCCAGATGGCATTGACCACTGCTCCGAGAGCCAAGTGGATGACTCCCTTTTCTGGTCCAATCCATCTCAATTGTGAATCGGAAACGAGGTAGCGCCAGGTCTGTCCCCAGTTCTCGACGAGGGAGGAGAGGGTTCGACCCTTGATTCGATCGGCAACGTTGTCGATGGCTTTGCAGACAATGTCGTTACCACGGCCAATTGTGAAGGTCTGAAATAAAAGTTAATAGGGTTTCGGAATGTGTTAAAAGAAGGTCCATACCATTCCATGTCCAGAGAACTTGGAGTCCGTCTTCAAGATGCAGTAAGCGGCAGAATAATCTCCAGCAGCGTTCATAGCATCAGAACCCGTCTTGTCGAGCGAAGTAGGAAACCGCACATCGCGGGTATCCCACCCTGTAATAGTAACTTCCGCCATTGTGTAAGTGCCGACTTGAAGTATTCAAAAAATATCCAACGTAATGCAGACACAGAAGATCAACAGGTACCAAGCAGAAAAAGACAGCCAAGGAAGAGGCTCAAATAATGCCAACAGAACCAAGAACTGTTCCTACTTATATACACGCGCTTCCTCTGCGCAAAATAAATACTCCGATTGTTAGCAGAACAATGGGGGCCTCTAATGGAGGGGTCGTTTGGAGGGGAAATTATAATGACGCTGATTGATGGAAAATTGTTCTCTAGTGCGATTGCGGCCATGACTCGGGCTTTTCGCCGGTCCAGACCACGCCGATGTGGTTTGTGACTTTGTGGGGGGAAACATCGTGGGGTTCTGGGGAGATTATTTGTTTGTCATGTTGTTGCTGAGTGGAAATGATGAGTTGACTTTTCTTCTTCACTTGTAATGCTCGGATGACTTCCCGAGGTTGGCTTTCGCTCACCCCTGCTGCTGACCTTGAAGCGGCTCATTTCCTCCTCGTTTGTCCTCCCCACTTCAACACCATCACCAGTTGAGCAACTCATCTCACAATATCGACGAATCCTCCATCCCATTCGGTCAGAACTTCGGCATTTCACACCGCAAGTCCCACGTTCACTCTCAATGTTACAGAACCACTGTCAAGTGACCAATAATCCTCTGACGCAAATTCAGCTGTGCTGCGGAAACCCATCATCGAGGCTATGCTTCAACAGAATTTATCGATTATTTTGGCCCCCTCAACCGGGCTTACGGCTTGTCTCAGAAATGATCGTCGTTCCCGTTATGTTGTTCAACTGCTTTGGATGAATTCTGGCTTGAAATCGATTTTTGAATTGGGGTCGGAAGTCTAATATCAAGAGACGAGGTATATGTGATACTTGAGATGGTGGATGTTTTTGATATATTCGTCGTATGGCCTGGTGGTCATGTCGATGGCGACCAGCTTGAGAAAGGCTGTTTCTACTCTTCTTCTTCGTCTTGTGCTTTTTCATACTTCTTGTAATGCCTCAACTACAAGGGCTAGCAGCAGTGACTGGCTTAGTCGTCGCCTATAACAGCTGTGCTGTTGCCTATCAAACCTGGATAGAAGCTAGTAGTGATCGCTGGGACGACGATTATAATCAATCCCTGGACAGGTCGTTGATGGCGGGTGGATCAGAGATTCAGTATGAATATGAGATGCATTGTTCCAGACTAGGACCAAGATTCTCTTCGGGTGATGGTACGATCCCTACGACGTATTTGGTGTAGAAGAATGTCGCTAAAATTGTTGAAGCTATTGCAAGCTCTCAATTAGATCAGTGTCTTCTTCAGATCCAGCAAATGTCTTCGATGCTACATTCCGAATGCGCTCTGCAAGACTATACCTACCTACCAAGTTCCGAATACATACTTTCAGTTTCCGAGAGCACGAGGTACTCAGTGGTGACCATCTTGCAAGATTTATATGATCGTCTGGCATTCAGTGGCCCTCTACCTCAGTCGTTCGTTTCTCCACATCACAGGAGCGCAATACGTGGGTCAGTAGATTCAGAGACGCAGAGAGATCTTGTTCGGAGACGGCCAAGGTCGAGCGATTTCTAGGATACGTTGGAGAAGAGCAGACAGATTCAACAACCTTACACTTATGAATGTTTTCAACCAGAATGTGGTTGATGTTTCTGAGCATTTATTGGATTTTCTTAGGAGATCTTAGAAAGAGGGTACATTATACTGGTGAGGGTTATATTCAGAGAACGAGAGATAAAGAAAGGAAAGATGAGTGGTGTGAAGAGAACAGCTCGAGCTAGCAAGACGCGTACGGCAGGTTCGTTCACTAATATATATCTCGAAGATAATCAAATAATATTTAGTATTACCAGATACGCTGCTGATTGCAACACTTCAACCTCGTGGATTGATTATCACCCCTAATATCTCAAACGACTAGTCTTCTCGTTATCATTGTCATTTATGGCTCTGAAATCTACTCAAAGCATTGGCAGGACTCCACATTTAACATTACACACCTGGTCATCCATTACCCACCGCCAACAGCCCACCACTTTCACAACTTCGCCTTTCTCCCTAACTTCAAAACCTCTTCTACCAACTCACCAACCCTCACCGCAACACCAAAAGAATAAATATACCCCGCCCCCTCAACCCCATACGCATGAACCGTCCCGCCAACCCTCTCAACCCTCACACCTCCCTTTCTCCCGGGCCTAAACCCAAGCACATCCCTCACCTTCCCCTCCCTCAGTCCCTTTTCAACATCCAAACCCCCGAACGCATCACCCGTAAGCCGATTGACTCTCCTAAGTATATCACTTCTCAAATCCACATCAATGTCCGCATCAAGTCTCTCACTCTTCACACCCCCCATAATCACACCTCCACTCCCCTTCCTAGGAATCACATACGTGTATTCACTCCCCTCAAGCATAACACACTCCGCGAAATCGGTTTTCACGAACATCGTCTGCCCTCTTACCGGCCGCACGGCTTCATCATGCGCGAGTTCCCTTGCACCAACACCACTCGCATTAACCACGACCTGCGCGCCTACTATACTCTTCGCATGCTCCAAACTCTCCACCTCCCTCCTCACGAATCTCACGCCCGTCCCCTCCAACCGCTTTCTTAACCAAAGCAACAAAATCTCAGGATTCATACACACAGTCTCATACTCCCTCACCTTCAACCCCTCAACTCCCCTCTTGCCCTCACACCACCCCGACATCAAGTCTTTATACCACACCTCCTCTTCATTCTCAAAAAACTCAGTCATATGATACACCCCCACTCCACAATCATCTTCACGTTTCGCGAGGTCCCAATAGAAGCGGAAGGAATCCTCTTGCATTTTGCGGAGGAGAGGGTTGGTGGTGTTTTGAGGGTGGAAGACTGCGCCTGCCCTGATCTTTGTTAATTTGAATGAGTGATTGAGAGAATGAGATGAGGTGAGGTGGGTATTTGGAAATATGAAGAGGGGGAATACCAAGGACTAGCCCACGCCAACCCCAGATCTCCAGGAAGGTCACGGGCGATGATTGTAACATTGTATCTTGAAGCTAGAACGTAGGCGCAGGCTAACCCTGTGATACCGGCGCCTACTATCGCTATCTTCGGTTTTGACATGTTCGTATATGTGTTGGTTTGAATCCTTGAAGTTTGGGGATTTATGAAATCATGGAAGAGCGATGTCGGATATGATTTGGACTCGCTTAATGTATTGAAAGCATGGGAGAGATGATAAAGATGGTTGATAGCTTGTGGATAAGTCTGGGTTGCATCGTCTTGAGAGTGGGGAAGGGCGTGGATTGACAGACACGTGATGTAGTTAGTTGCTTTTGTAGTCCCAAAGGACCAGAATAACTCTCTCAACATAGTGAGCTTCGCTGCAGGAGCTTGATACATTCGATTTGTAAATATACAAACCAAACGTCCAGTCTAGTCCAGGTCGATACCTCTTGGATTGCTGTTGGTACACGCTCTCACTCGAAATTCCCTGCAGGATAACGATGATAACATCGATTAAGAGTCGAAATCTTGGGCTGTTTGATAGATTACGAATCTGTAATATCGTTGATAACGGAAGTACAGCTCTCATCCCAAAACGACTGAAATGACACCAAACGCGACTTTTGACTCACTTCCTTGAACCATGCTTGATGTATCATCACTGTTTCAACGTCAAGGAGAATAACTGAGTAATGGTAATCATTCAGTAGGGTATCAATTAGCAAACTCATTGCCTTATCCAAGCTTAACCGGAAAAAAGCTAAATATCTTCTTGTTTGATCATGTTAAATCAATGCAAGGCGCTAATGACTCCATCTCATCAGGCAACCAACATCGCAGGCGCTTCGTTGCTCGACATGAAGGGTCACTAATACTTCTTTCATTCCATCGTCTCCTAGAAATGCTCCTCTCCTCTCTTGACTCGCTTGTTATCCTGGAGATCCCTCCTTCATCGCTGTTGCCGTAATTTACTTTTCTCAGCGATAGCAAGTCTCTTAACAGGCGCCATCGACAAACGCCTTGGTTATTGGTATCGCGTAAATCGAGTCGTAATCGTCAAATTAGGCATCTACCTTCGTCTTTCCTCAGTGAGTTATACAGTAACCTTTCATTGCATGTTTATCGTTCGACGCCTCCACGTTCATTTAGTCGTCCGCTGAAAAGTACCTCTTCTGCTTCCCCTTCACTTGCTGAGCCATCATCTCCGGGGGATGAATGTGATGCACGACATGTGGTCGATATATCGCATCAACAGGAGGCATCCTACAATTTCATTAGCCATATTCTCCTGGCATCTCCACCCAACCTCCACCACCGAACTCTTCACTTACCAATCATCCAAACTCAACGGAAAGTACTCATAAAGCAAATCCGCATTCTCAACCGGACTGCCAACATGCGCACCACTTTTCTTTCTCATCTCAGGACTTCGATCACCAGGACGACCGCCATGACCTGTGCTGTCCTTCCTTCCGTACTCATCATCAGCAAGCGAGAGGTCGATAGGAGAAGCTTGTGATGTCTTTTTTAATGTCGATTTTGACTCAGAACTCCATCTTGTCTTTGGGATTGGTGGTCTGACTGGTGCAGACAATGCTGCCTTTTTCGCAGGCCTGCTCGTTTCCGGACTCAAGGTAGAAGTGCCATTGTCCTTGCCATTTGTCCAATCCGGAATGTCCAAAGACTGCCGCACATGTTAGTGTATGTCTTATCCGTCCACTTAAGGTCGTATGAAGAGCCTACCTGTGACTGGTTTGTGTAGAATCTGTAACTGCTATTAGTGACTCCCGGATCAACTTTCACTTGTGGCGTCTGCGGAACATCATTCGTAGTCTTCTGCTTGGAATCCAACTTCTTCTCACTCAACGGCACATCTTTCCTACTATCAAAATTTCTCGGACTTCTGCCCCGCACAATAATCGGTCCACTTTGTATCTCTGCCAGCTTGACCACTTCTCCCGTCGCGGTAGTCGCCATAAGATTGATTTGAATGACATAGTGTTGCTGTAGACCTTTCCTCCTTCCATTGTTGGCCGTTGCATGCTTGAACTGTAATCTCTTCCAGGCAATCGGTATTGTGACTGTAGCCGGATCCAACTCTGGGTTTATACTTAAATCCAACGGCCATTTGGCGGGTGCTGCTCCAGCTTTATCCTCGCTCGCAGATCCAGCAGACGTTTTCCATGGCACAGATATTATCTCCGTACTCTTCCCTTCTATACTTTCTAGCGCCGAGATCGAAGCCGTCAAATCGTACAAGGGGACTTGCTGTCCCTGCTCATTTAACACATGTGATATGCTCCGCGACAAAACCATCGAGCCCGATATTTGAAACAGGTTCCGTCGATAGCAAGTCAATTCCATTGGTCGCCCCGTCGTCTCCCCTCCAAACACATCTTCCGCAACAAAGAACATGCCATAAAGCTCTGCCGTCATCTGAGGCCATGTTTGTCCACGATCATCCAATATCGGTACTTTCATTATCGGCGCTCCAAAGCCCAGAAGCTTGTTGTCAAGCGCCTGCGACGGGGTCTCGCCTTGTTGGGTATCATTATTCGGTTCGAGGAGGGTATCAAATTGCGCCGACTGGTAAGAAAACGGGTCGTCAAATGTACTCGAGAAGGCATCGGATAGTTCGTAAGAGGGCGTAAATGGTAGCGAGGGGACATTGGAAGACAGATCATCTCTAGTGTGCGCGCTGTGGAGAAGTCAGTGCTGAAGCATTGCTAGGCAGTTACAAGAATCTGGGGATTGGTGTGGGGATATACATTGATGGCTGGTTGACGTACAACATGCTACTCGGCTCTCCAAAATTCAGATCATGATCAAATACATCCATTGGTACCATATGCCCGGCACCTTGAGCGCTCAAGCGCAAGATGTCGTTAGGTGTTGTCGTCGACATGGTAATCGTCTCATAACCCGCCATGCCTAAGTTTCGGACCCTTGATTTTAGCAACTCGGAACTTGGTGATTCTGGAAGGATGGTGCATGTGATATTGCAATTGCTCTAAGCATTATCGTGGAAACATTCGAACAGAACAACCTGGGGTGGTCGTCTTTTGCAGGGTCAAATAAAAGAGTGAGAAGAAGCCACGGCTGAAGCAAGCAATACGTCGGCGCAGTCGGTCGGACTTGGAGCCGTTGGTAGAAGATGATTTCGTGGAAGTACAAACTAAATGGTCATGCAGTAATAGGATCGCTTGTGAAGCTGCTGGGGCCGTCTGATCATAGGGTGATCCGGCGAAGCCAGAGGCGACGATAGGACTGACTGCGTTGGAGGAGGATGGAAGATGAGACGAGGCAATGAAAACAATTATGTTTGGGGCTGAAAACAATATATTTGATTCATGATGAAGTTGCTTTGAGGTGTGAGGTCAGTCAGTCTTTGGGGAAATCACAAGAAGGAGAGACAGAGGCTTGAGAGGCTTGAGGGGCTTGAGGGGCTTGAGATTGGCCCGAACGGAGCTTGGTCGGTGAGCTCGGCAGCTCTCCCCCGGGGTGTTCTGGCGCCGAAACTTATCTGGAAAGAACCTGGAAAGGAAGCTTCGTTATCTCTGGTGTGGGGAGATCCCTGAAGGAGTCGCCTCTTTCCACTTCTGAATATTGGGTTCGAGGAATGACTTAAGCACTTGCGTTTGTCACCTTACATCAAGTCTTGCAATTTTGTTCAACCAACGCGACGAAGACCACAAGTTCCAGAGCTTACGCCCACGAGATCCCCGTCACACGTTTAAATTGTGGCTTTCTCTCCATCTGGCAGTGCCGATAGTGACCCACACCAATATCTCTTTCTCACCCCGCATTTGGTGGTTGGATGAGACTTCGAGGGTACCATGCATGCCTGTTCGAAGAATAGCATCACGCGCAGATGAGCAGGACCGAGATGGCTTCTGGTAGGCTCGTCTAGACCTCTAGAACGAGTAAAGAATCCGTAAGGTAAAAGACAAGTACTTTGTAAAGCACTGTTCCTGAGCCGTTAGAAAGTCCAAATTGGGTCAAATTGCCGAAACCCCTTTGGCAAGGCTGGAATGCGCAAACTATGTACAGTTGATTGCTTAAATCCTTCCTCCATATATATATATAAATGAAGTTGAACCATGCTATTACCCCGCAGAACTCCGCCCAATGCTATGCATTCGATATTTCCAGAGGAAATAGTCGTAGAATCAATAACTATCCGGCTATGCAAGCGACTGCCACAGCAGCTCCTAAAAGACTACTCTCTTCCGCGTACATCAGCTCTACCAGTCCCGGCTGGCCCCCAGAGCTCTGTACAAGGGAATCTATTTGGCTCTGACACGACTTTCTAAAATCTGGGTAATTTTCCATCACTGAGCCGTTGTACGCCACGAGTGTATGTGAAAGCTTGTCTGCTTGGATACCCTCTGCTATGTTGCGCATTTGCCATAGACCATGTATGCCAGCGGCGACAACACCACTCGCTCGATAAGCGACGTGTGATGCAATCTGACGGATGGCGAGAATGTCGGAGTGGGTAGGAGGGCAAGATGACGGGTGTTTGGAGGTAAACAATTGGACGGCATTCGACAGAGTGGCACTGGTATCACTGTTTTCATGTTAGCTGATGCAATTGTAAGACGAAACAAAAACCCACGATTCAATGTGCGACAAAGTCTCTGTCTCTAGAGAGTATCGCTCCATCAGACTCGGCGGTACAATCCCACCCATGAGGCCTGCTGTTTCAATGCCCTCAACAAGTATCAAGCGAGATATCTCTCCAAGATAGCCACCACTAACGAAATGCTCTAATGGTTGGAAATCGGGTCGCGAATGTGTTGCTAACAGTGCTCTATCCCATCGAGTGTACGGTAAGATGCCGCTACCAAACATCGATAACTCTGTATTGACAATAACATGTTTGGCGGACTCGTGCCAACTCGCTGGTCGAACTCCAAATTTCTCCTGTGAGAACATGTGTACTGGAAGATGCACAGCAGCATTAACGCCTGTACCGAGGATGAGTGCAAAACGGGTGGTTTGGTCCAGATATGCTTTTGAAAGTAATGTCGCTGAGGAATCGTTTACAATTGCGTCCAATTGTACATTGAGACCAATCCTAGAACAAGACTCTTGAATAATATCACCAAGATCTCGACCGATCAATCCATGTGCAGCCAAGAAATTCTTGCCCATTTCTTGAAGCAATCCACTTCGAAGAGATGTTTGTCTAATCAACTGTCAGCTGATGTAAATAATATTTAAAGCAGAAAAGACTTACTCAATTGGAAATGACCAGGACATGCCCATTGATAACGGTGCTTTGGACATATTGTTACCTTCATTTTGTCCTGACAAAGTTTCTGCGATTCTCTTGGCCATCCAGTCAAAGAAAAGAACTCCTTTCAGCTGCTTTACATCACTCGTGATTTTGAATGTATCCCTCTTCAAAATGACACTTCCAGCACCCTCACTTTTCCTCCCGAAAAGTTCGATCAAGGCGATGCGGAATGTTGAGCCTCCAACATCCAAAGCAAGGTAAGTCCCCCGTTCATTGCCATGGGGTAATTGATGATTGTACGACGGTAACATGCATAATGGATTATCCAACAGGCTCTTTCCAAACTGCTCTCTCAAGCCGTTTGACAAAGCCACCAGATTTGGCGTTTCCTTGGATTTCCGAAACTCATCCTCAATGTTTTTCAAAAACTCTTCGATTTTGTTGTTTCTCTCAGCCGCACCCCCCTCCTTGTTGACCTTATCGCCCTTGATGACTGACGGCGACAGCCAGATGTTGAGTATGGTTTGAAGAACAGACTTCGTTCTCAGCAAGCTCCTAATGAAAGCAGCATAGAAGGCCTGGCGTACCTTGTACATTGCAGAAATGAATGGCTGCATCTCATCAAGCGTTGACACATATAGAGGCTTTTGTACTAGACGGCGCTATGCGGCGCGGCTACCGTAACGATGTCAAGCGTCGGGTTGTTGCGCTCTCTATGCTCTGATACTACTCCATTCGTAGTTACATGCGGCAAACTGAAGGGCAGGTTGAGTGGATTGGATTAGGACTGCAACAAATTTACGAAGCGGACGTAAGACAGACAATTCCGACAGATCTCTAAGAAGGAAGGTCGATAGTGGTGCAGTACGAGACGTGTAGTCTGGAAGATGGTTGGGTATGTTGGAAGGATCTAAAGCGGCCAAGTAACATGTAGAACCCGAACTGAGAATGAGTGAATGCTAGGTCTGATAGTAGGGATGTAGATGAATACGATCAATGCGCCATTCAAAATTGCAGATGATAGGATGAGAAAACAAAATTCATTCTTTTACGGCCCTTTCGGCATGAATGGCAGTAACATAACACGCCTTCTTGCAGATGCCGAACAGAAGAAAAATTAGATGAGTTTGAGACAAAGTATGAAGAAGAGAAGATGCATGGCAGCAACTGGTCCACAGAACTTCCCGTAGAGGCAGGGCTACCAGGACCACAATTGCGAGATTTGCGTGATCGATGGCCTACTAGGGGAGCCATCTTGCCTATCTTTGGGCGGGATGTCTCCAGAATTAGGCCATCGACCCTGCAACCCAACCCCTTGTGAGGGAGCAGCCGGGTCATTTCTCAGTTCCGCCTAGGCCGTTCAACCAGTGTGTCGTTTCGTTTGCGCGGACAATTGTGGGTTGAATAGTAGGACCGCCGTTGGTGATGGGGGAGAGATGCTGAAGGCAACGTTACAGTGGGAGAAACGCGATTGTGTGTAAGGAACGAAAGGTCGGCAAATGCTTAGCCACATTTCGCCTCACAAACCAATAGATAGGGTTTAGAGTTTACTCGACGCTAGCTCAACCTTACATAACATTTTGACGTGTTTTGGGTCTCCACTTCAATGTTACACTCAAGATGGCAAAGTCACGACTGTGATTGCAAACGAAATAGCGAGCCATCAGGTTACTCACAACTATTATTGTGATTGAATCACTACTGACAACTTCAATGATAGGGCTGCTCACATTGCTCACAAGGCTTCTGCAACGATTCCTCCCTGCTAGCTGTAATCTGCTTCGTTGCCCTCGCTTCAAAAAGCACGTTTGTTGAACATCACCACAGCGAGGATTCCGAGACTCTTGCCGCCTGGTACAATACCACGTTTTGACAAAATGTCGCGACTAGCACACCATACTAAGGCTCCTGGTGTCAGCAAGATGTCAAGTACAGGTACTAGCGGAACGTTGGAACGGCGTTGGTAGCTCCAGTCGTACTTCGCCGTTGGAATAAAGAATGGGATGGCGTTTAGTGACGTTCCATTCTATCCGCACGGAGATTTAGCTGTCAGACTCCATCGAATCTTGTGACATGGAGTTGATGGGTTCTGTGGTCATTGAATCAGCATCTGGCATAGAGTTTGATGGTGCTCCATGACGCCCCTCACTAGAACTTTCTCTCTAATCCTAGTATACCGCTGTCTCTCGTGTACATTTCTATCATCAATTGCGCCGTTTTCCTGTTTGTTTTAAACTCTTCATACTGAAATCCTCAGATCAAAACAAATTTCCTAGCCAGTTCTTATATCCTACACAATGAGACTCATCATTAGAGACGACCCGGCCGCTGCGTCAAAATTTATTGCCAACTATATCATTGGTAATTAACATGGAACCCCAGTATGAGCTTGTTTGACATTATCCAGACAGGATTAATACTTTTAACCCGTCAAAAGAACACCCTTTCGTGCTTGGTCTCCCAACCGGTTCCAGTCCTGTCGGCATTTATAAAGTCCTTGTCGAGAGATATAAAGCAGGCGCAATATCATTCGAACATGTCGTTACATTCAATATGGTACGCTCGTATTCAAACCATCCATGCAGGATGTGATCTGATACCCCGCATAGGATGAATACATCGGTATTCCACGGGAACACCCAGAAAGCTACCACACCTTTATGTACAAGCATTTTTTCTCTCACGTCAATGTGCATCCATCGAACATACATATCCTGAACGGCAACGCCCAGGACTTAGAAGCTGAATGTGTTGGCTATGAAGCAGCCATCAAGGCTGTTGGAGGTATCGATCTGTTCCTTGGTGGGATAGGTCCAGATGGACATATCGCTTTCAACGAGCCTGGCTCGTCTATGGCTTCGCGAACTCGAGTCAAGACTTTAGCATACGACACTATCATCGCCAACAGCCGGTTCTTTGACAATGATCTGGAAAAAGTGCCAAAGATGGCTTTGACTGTCGGTGTTCAGACAGTGTTGGAGGCCAGAGAAGTTGTGATCATCATCACTGGCGCGCACAAGTCCTTAGCACTCAAAAAGTGTATCGAAGAGGGAGTAAATCACATGTGGACTCTTTCGAGCTTGCAATTACATCCTCATCCAATGATTGTCGTCGATGAAGACGCAACTCTGGAGCTTCAAGTCAAGACTGTCAGAGTAAGAATCATACTTCACCTTTCGCTGTGTCCTAAACTAATCATCTTGCAGTATTTCAAATCTATCGAGGCAGTTGCTTCATCACAAGGGTTTGAGCAGATCCTCCCAAGCAAAGTCAGAACCGGACCTCGTCCAGCGACTAAGTCGATCGAGCCCTTGCCTGAGACAAAGCAGGAACCAAGTATCCTGTCACCACAGCCCTTGACAAGTACGCTGCTGGCAGCGCCAGCTACCGAGTATCCACTTCGAAGCATCACGCCCGAGTTGATTCCTGACAGGATGGGGAGTCGGATTGCTGCTCATTGATCGGGTGCCGGTGCATTAAAGATTGGAAAGCCGGATGAAGTTATGGCGTTTTGTAAATTTGCTTGATGTGAATATATTAGATTGGCCATGTGCAAAATTTGAGGGAGTTTCTATTTTACCAGTTCAATTCTAACGAGCGGTATGCGGCGGACACTATCACACAAGATAACCGGTTATTCAATCAAAATGTAAATACAACTAATGAAGCGTTAGTTAGCTATTCATTTAATATCTTTGGAGTAGCGGCTCTTAGTGGACACAAGTTAAACTATTTGTATATATCTGTAAGAATTCATAGAAAACCTTTTAGAAATTGCTTCACATTATATGTAACATTTTGGGTCCTCATAGTATATATCCTCGCGGAGGACAAAATAAGTGTCATTTACCTGCCTACTAATTTTGGGACTCAATAAGTCGACTTCGAATAGAGCTTAAGAAGTCTTATTTACTTAAAATAATTGACGAAACGAGTCATATTGTTCCAAGTTAATCTACTAAATACCGATATTTCGTCAACTTAATCGAAGAAATATCGCGCTTCGACTACTATTTATTTTGCCCACCGCGAGATATCGCAGAGACAGGTCTGCACATCCACCTATTTTCCCGCCAATGCATTAGTTAGAATTTAACATCATTAACGAATGTCAAAATAAGTAACAGTTCAGTCACGCCTAGCTAGACAACATGGAAATAGATGAGAACACTATACTGACGAAACAAACTTTCTCTTGGATGAAAATCTCCCACCGTCTCTTCTTTGTTTCTCAAGGTGTCAAAATACCCGCTAAGACAACAAATCAAAAACAAGGGCCCTTTTCTGACAATGCTTCCACAAAGCAACAAAGCGAAACATGACAATTTCCTTTATAACAAGGGACTCAGTTTATTGCTCCTAGCTCTGAACTTCGAAGTTCAATAAAAACACCTACGAACAAATCAGATAAATTTGGGAACAGCCGCGAAAATAGTCAGAACAAGATGGATTTCAAGCAAAACAAGAACTCTCTCATCAAATCCTAAAGCTATATAAACATTCCTTCTTACCACTTTAAAATAATCATCCAGATATCATCAGATCTCAGCATCCCAAGATTACTAACCTTTCACAGAAAACTAACAATCTCACCTTTGCTAACCCCACTCAACTTACTCAGAAACCCATCAACGCAATGGCTTCTCCATCTTTCCGCACTCTTTTCAACTCTCTCTTCGATGGTTTGAAGACTGCAGAGGAGATCGCAGCCACCATGCTCACCATCCCAAAGACCCACCCAGCTCTTGTGGTAAGCGATGGAAAATACATGGACCTCGATCTCGACTTCACAGGTAAGGTACGAAACTCATTGGTCAAGCCAGAAGCCAAGGCCGGTGAAGAGATCATCGACTCTTCCTTCCTCTTGCCCATGCTCCGCTACTCCAAGACCGTCACGCACATCACCATCACCGCCAAATTCGGCGATGATACCAGCCCTGAATCCGTCGCGGAACTCGACACACTCTTCAAGAACATGGTCTTGCTCTTTAATCAATTCGGGAAGATCAGCGACATATCCTGCTTTTTCAGCGCTCCAGAGAAGGATCCACTCAGCACTCTCCAGATTGCTTCGGTCTTCCACGCTCTGGACTTCAAGGGATGGACCTTGGAGACCAAGATTGGCAAACAGCCATGGGAGTTGATGACTCAGCACTCAGCCATCGGTAATGCTTTGTATACTCGTGCTATTGGGAAGCAGGTGGATGAATTCGTTGATCTTTTGGCGGCTGAGCTAAAGGAGAAGAACGATATTCACGAGGCTCATGAGGATGCGCTTTCTAAATGGAGCTGGTCCTAGATGCTTTTGCAGCCCCCCTTTAACTCACGCTTGATCTGCTGAAATGCGATCACCAAATCTAAAACACTTACCCAGAATAAACTTTGACACATTCTTCTCACTAAAGACTCTTCTCGTGATTATTGATAACCCCCTAAAAAAGCAATGGAAATTCGCACATCTCACAATCATGAGCTCTGGATCCTGAATTAATAAAGTAGCACATACTGCAAGCTCATGCCATAGCGATGTCATTCAGTCGTTTTGATTGATCTTCAAAATCTAGCTTGTTGAAAGCTGGCCGCCAACGAATTAACACTAATCTTATATCCTCTCTCTCAAAACCTAACATATTCTATCCTGTACTCCATCTCATCATACCTTCTTCGCAGGATGATACCCATACCCCGGAAACTGCTCAAACGCACTCTGATCAAACGTCAAAAGCGCAGGACAATTCAGAATCCCCAACACCGGATTGATCGCCCCATTAAGGATATTCAAAAATGGCGTCAAATTCGACAGAACACCGCTAAGTACACTTGGAATCGCCTGCTGAGCAGCTTGAAAGAAGAAACAACCGAGATTGTTTCCTTGTAGCAGGGTTTGGGCGTTGTAGACTCCGCCGGAGATGTCACCTGGATTGACGCCCACGAAGGAGTTGGGTGTGCCGGTGTTGCCGCCGAATTGGACGATTTCGGGGTATTTGACTGCTAGGATGGCTACATCGGCCTATGTCGTAATGGTTAGTCAAATTGTACTTGATATAAGATAGAATATATGCTTACAGCAGCGGCAGCAGCGCCGTATGGATTGTTACTTGGCCGTTTGTACCAATTCTGAGGAATTTTCTCTTGGCCTGCATTCCAGACGTGACCGTTATCTGGGCCACTAACTGCAAAGAAAGTCTTAAGGATATCTCGGTTCAAGTATCCTTGAATGTTGTCGGCGGAATGCTAGTATATCTCAGTACCACAGTGTGAGGGGTATATATGGGGATCTTACGTTGCTCATGAGATTAACAATAAAATGGTGAGCAATCGGTGGTACAAGACCTGCGAATGGCTACGCATACACGTTAGTGGATAAATAGATAGACTACAGGAATACCTACAGCAGAAAAATAGTATGGATTGTTTTGAATAGAATCAGTATGCGTAAGCTTGTTGTGGTCCCGCAAAATATCAAGCGTGTAGTTCTGAGCACTGAAGTATAGTTTATCAAATCGTGTGATGTTGAGAGACACTGCATCGCCGCCATTCAAGTACGCATCAGACTACTCAAATTAGATGATTAACAGATAATATGTGGATGTGTACTACCCGTGCTGGTGATGTGTCACTTTCATATGTATTATGCGATTTCGAAATACCACTTGGGTTGGATAGAAGACCACCCAGAAGACTTGGTGGATATGGTCCTCCGATTGACCAAGTACCGCCTGTTGGATCTCCTGTCAAGCCGATTGCAATGACCGAAAGAGCAGCGGCGAATTCGGGTCCAAAGCTGTACGCTGCGCCGAGGCCATTGACAGCTATGTCATGTCAGTTACCGAAACAACTAATATCATATTAGACGCTAGAGGTACTTACTTTGCGTGATAGTTGTAACACCACTTCTAGGAAGAAATCCATGATTTGCAGCAGCATTCAGTCCTGGACACGGTCCACGCTTATCATTTGGTCCTGGGGCAATATATTGATGAGCAGTACCAGGTCTAACATCGACGAACTGATCCGCGGCATTGAATTGAAGACTTGGGAAAGGACCAGAGTTGCCCTGTGCTTGGCTGAGGGGAAGAGTTGGTAAGGATTGACGTTCCTCTAGCATAGCTGCCATACCGGGCATTGCTGCCGCGGTATAGGCACTACTAGCAAGAGCGAAGACTCTGAGATACATGCTGAGGGGAATGTATCTGAAAATTAACTGTATCTCAGTGGTTTGTCAACAAGTTTGGGACTTTGAAATTAGGTTTATATATCTTTCACATCTGTATAAACAGTGAAGACGAATGCTCGACGGTAACTACAATTTCTTGCCAATAAATTGGCTTGAGCACGCAAACTTATCCGGTGTGCTCTTGCTGTGCTCCGTAGGGGGAAGATCCAGGTTGATGGCCATCTTGTATTGATCGTTGTCGATCTCTGCAGCAACAGACAGATCCATCTATGCATTCGACCTAGTCTTGCGCTGCTGACTCGTAAGAAGCGGAACCGGGACCTTGGTAGACGTGTGTCAGATCCTGCGTATGCATATTTGCAGTTGTATCGGAGTGAAGCTCAATCTGGTCAGCCAATGCTGATTTTGTTCGTTTTAACCTGGATCGATCGTCTGCCAGCGGCCCTAAAATTCCTTTTTCCGCTTCAAATTGTTCAACTTATGCCATTAGGCCTTGCAACGTACGTGTCTGGACGTTCTGCGACTGCGTTCTGCTACTGGATATCCGTCGTCTGCTGGCTGACGGCCCTTCAATTCCACTGCCGACTGACGTGAGTGGCATATTTGCTCAATGTAGGCACTTATTGTGCAATATAAATGGAATTTGTTTTCTCAAAATGACGATGACTTGGTTTAGGGTCAACATCAGGAATGCGCATGCAAGGCGATTCGAGGCAGATCGAATCTAGATCGATTATTTAAGCTTAACGGATGGCACATCTTCCGTTAATCCTAGATGACGATCTCATGTAGCTAAAGGCGATTGCATCCAGGAAGATGAAGGGAATTACTCTGCGAAGTGTTATCTGATAGGACTGTTGAGTGATACCCGTGGACTCGGCTGAATGATGCTAAACGAGGCTAGTATGTCGTGATTAAAAATACGGCATATTGGACACACTGCCTTAAGCTATTCCGGTAGGAAATAAAATATACAACGGAGAAAGGATGAAAATATGGATCGAATGGAAGGTATTGCTGAAGTAAGGTTCGCGGCGAAAAACGCAAAAATAAGCTCAAAACGATATCCTCACAAGCTTGGGTGCCGCCCTCACTTTCTCAACAAGCGGAGACCGATTAAAAAGATGCGTTTTCCATAGCGGTAACGTAGCCCCAGAAATTCCTTCTGGACCTGAGTATCAATAATCCAACGAACAGAGTTAGTGAGAAAGACTTGCTCTATCAGGCTTGCAGCTCAACTCCTCGAACGCGTCTAGCACGTCAAATCCCATGGACAAAAGCGTGTCTCGCTCCTCTCCTTGGACCCAGTTCAAAACACATGTGTTAGCTCTATGAGCCTTGTTCTGCTTAATTCCTAGCATAGCAAGTCCCTGGAGCACCATGCTAGCTTGGGGGCTGTTCGGTACGACTGGCGCTAGTATTCCGCCCACACTATCACCAGCGGCTTGTAAGACGGGTAGATACCTCGAGAGCTGTGTTTCTTGTCGGCAGATGATGATGGTGCCAACAAGCGCACCATCGACGGGTGACTTAGCCCGCACTACGCCACATGCTTTGGAATCCTCGAGCGCTAAACGGTAGAGTTCTAGGACTTCTGGTCCAGCATTCGCCCGGACATGCTCTAGCACTGTTTCCGAGTTTTCTTGGCCATGAATGAGATCAAAAGCAAATGATAGACGTTGAATTGTCTGCAGTAAGCCGTCTGGTGGTTGCCAATTTGGCAAGTTGCGAATGGTCAAGGTATAGAGTAAGCGTGGGGAAAGAATATCCCAGCCGTTGTTGGCAAACCATCGCTTCAGCCGCGCTCCTTCTGACAAATCGCCCATTGGAATACCAAGATAAATTCCGGGAAGACCAAGGCCCAGTTGGAGTTTCTGTATTCCAGGCTTCTGTAGCAAGGCACGCATGGCGCGCTGATGTAGGGAGTGCCCGATGGACAGATTTCGTTTGGCAGGGTCGACGAACAAAGCGCCAATCATTCCGGTCTGACCATAATAATAAGTAGAGCAGAAGCCAAAGAGGGCTTGGGTGCTACTATTTCGAACCACAAAATGAGATTCTTCCACCGCCTGTCCGCCTTCCATGACTGCCAGCTATATTTTGTTAGCTGTAAGCTTGGGGATTAATTATCACTAACTTACCAATTCAAATGAATCAGCCGTCGCGCCGGCCAGCGGACAGAATTGATTGGGTGGTGACATTTTCTCCACAGTCTTTATCAGCGCTAGGAGGCCACGTGAATCCCGGTTCTTATTCCATCCTTCGACGAGCCAACTTTGCTTTGACTTTTGTACCTTCCTACTCTTCCTAAGTGTGCCAGGGAGAGTTCCCGAAGGAGTAAATTCTCCAAATAGAGCTCTGACCAATGCTGACATGGCTGTCTCTGTAAAATCGAATGTGCAAACATATGTTCCAATCGCTTTGTCCATTGCAAAATCATATGGGGAGCTGACAGAAACAACAATCAATGACTTCTTTTTGCCTCCGGCGCTAAGCATAGAGCACATCATTGCCACATGCTTCGTGAAGCCGTTTTGGTACAAGTTCCGGTTTGCGTCTGCAGTAATGATGATGATTGCGGCAGCTCTGTTGATTAGGTTCTCGTGCACTGGTCGTACGCCATTTGCGGTGTATGAAGTGTGCAAGAGTTTTCCATGCCTCTGTCTCGCAAGCGATCTTCCAAGCTCACGAAACACACCTTCGCCACTCATAATCGAAGATCTGTGAGCTTTATCCTGTTCTGTAGAGCCTTCTCGATCTTCGGATACTGCCTTTGTGGCGGCGGAGGCTGGAAGTGGCTTGACAAGTGGTGTTAACAGCAGCAATTCATCTTCCGGGTAAAGCGTATTCGACAGAGGAAGTAAGTGCCCTTTATCTCTCATAATAGTTATTGATTTATCATATGCCTTTGTGGATAGAGAAAGATGTGCGGAATGTAAAGATGTTAGTTGATCAACACCAGTCGGGTTCAATGCCTGTTCCCAAGATGTGCACTTCGACTTGAGATGGAGTATGCGTCTTAGAGAAAGGTTGATCCTCTCTCTTGAGATCATGCCGTTTTCGATTCCGAGCTTCAGTCCTGAAATTGCTTCTTGTTGTACCGCAAAAGAACGGCATAGGAGAACAAGGTCGCATCCAGCTTCCACTGCCATTACAGTACCACCCCTGACACCAATATCATGACTCAGAGCATCCATTTCCAGGCATTCTGATATCGTGACACCATCAAAACCAAGATCGTTTCGTAACAAGTCGTCTACTACTTGATCACTCAGGCATGCATGCATAACGTTCATTCCTAGAGTCGTCAGCCTGTCATATTTTAGGTGAAATAAGCCACGAACCAGCGTTAGCTATGGCACAACCGCCAACCATCATTGCATCCAGCCCTTCTCGAATGGCATTACGAAATGGCACCAATGCTCCAAGACTAAGTTGCTCTAATGTCTCAGTGATTATGGGCATGTCGAGGGAAGATCCGAGAAAGTCCAAGTTGCCATACGACGGGAAGTGTTTCCCGCAAGTTGTGATTCCAGCATCTTTGTAACCATTCATAGCAGCGATCCCATATTGAGAGACCTCCTGGGGGTCATCTCCAGTAGCCCTGACGCCTAGTGGCTGATATCGTGCATTTGTGAGGACATCCAAAACGGGGCCCATGATCATGTTGATTCCTACTGCGAAGAGCTCTTTTCCTGTAGCATTAGCCACCTCATAGGCGAGTTCAGGACTGCCCGTGGCGGCGACCCCCATCGCACTTGGGAATTGACAGATATAATCCTCATCGTATAGACTGTTGACGCCACCATTCTCTTGATCTAGCGCAATGAGTAATGGAACTGGGTGCCCAGCATTGTGGGCGATAGTCTGCAACTCCTGAACAAGACTTGCGGTTTGCTGTGCAGCTATAACGTACCAGCTAGTTAGAAAGTGTTCTATCAAGAGTGAGTATGAGAAATGTAGTTGCTCAACAATTGATGTTTGACTTTCGAGCATCACCTAGGAGCATGTGGCAGTAATTTGGTCACTCCTTCGGCTCCGAGGAGTGATCACATCTTCGCTGTGACCACGAAGTCAAATACTCAAGCTGTGTTTGAACTTACATTTCAAATTCTTAGTAGTCAGAAGAATGGATCCCAGGTGGTGGTCTTCGATCAAAGTACGAATTTGTGGGGTGACTTCCGTTCCATCAAATCCCATGTAGAACATGGCCCCAATGGCCCTAGGTCAGAGTTAGAATCCTTCATATTGTAATCTAATTCTCTCATCATAGGCTATGATCCTCAGGATTGATGCAACAAGGTAATCAAAGGAAACATCTGATTGCAAAAACAAGCATAACAGTATTGACCACGTGAGCCCAAGGTAGTCTTCACTCGGTATGTAGGTATTCCATTGTGCGTTCTCAGGAGTTTGATCTATATCTGCGGAGTATAAAGTATAGTAGCTCACGTACCAATCGAGATCCTTCCATAACGGGTCAAGTTCATCCTCAGTAGCCTCCATGTTGACAAACGTATGGTAAGATGGTGGGTCGGACACGCCGGAGCCGAGACTACCTCAGAGGCTGTAGTAACAACACAACTACTTTGCTCTCTTTCGTGCTCTCCTCGTATACGGACATGAGCATGTTCGTGGATGGCGCAACGTCTCTGTGATACAGAGTTACGTGGAATGATCGAGCGCAGGATGCGAAACCTCAGAGTAGACAAGAGACAATGTAGGGTTTGGAGACAACATCCACAACGGTCCATAAGGCTACACAGGGTAGAACAAATGGCTTTCCGTCGGTGTCGACATTATTTGAAGTCGTCCTTCGCTTACAATGCAATGGTGTTGTTGTCAGCCAGAGCAGATGCCGTGGAAATATTTGCGGGGCAGGATCACGTGTAGTCTCTACTTGGGCACTTCACCGAGGTTCCGCCGTAAATATACTATCAAACTGCAGGAGCTCTGCGTCTGCATCTGCATCACAATTATAACGGCATCTCATGTGTGACAGTCGACCTTTCGGATTGATCTACGACTTTTCGTTAGCCGCAAACTGTGTCGTTATGGGTTCTCTTTGCAATTATCAGAGCAAGAGCTGGAGAACAATTCATAAACAGTCCCGATAAGGTTGGCAAATTTTCGGTTTGATTGGTAACTCCGAGGGCCATCATCCATGAATACTGCTGGCCACTGATCACTCCCATTTGGACCGTTCCAACACACTCCTTTGGGGCGACAAATCGTGCAATCTCAAAAGTTTGTTTGTTGGAGGCAAGGAGTTGTGTTGTTTATCGACAACGTTCCCTTCAGAGGTGACAGAACCGCCGATCCACCCTTGGATGAGACGTTACATCTCCAACGTCTCCACGATACTTCCCTCGTCCCCCAAAGCCGCTCTGCGATTCCTTTTGCGGACTTTTTATCTCTGGTATGGCAAGGCGGATACCTCCATCGGTGAAAAAAGTGGTCAAGTCATGTTCGTCATCTCGTGGTTGTATCTTTCCAGCTTATTCGTTCCGCCTGCGGCTTAGTGACCGTGGCAAGCAACGACGCTTGCGAAGGTAGATATCAACAAGCTGTATTTCGAAACTCTGTGGGTTTCATTATTATCCATCATGTAGATTTCACAGTAAGTCGTGGTATTACCACGAAAGCTTCTTTATTCTTTACATCAACCTGATTCAACCTCTCTCTCCCCTTTCATCATGCCTTCAGCCATCACAACTGGGAGGCCTACAATCACGAAGTTCACTAATTGTAGATTACTGAAGGGCGATCAGTTGGTCAACCAAGATCTCTGGGTTTCGTCTAGTACTGGAAAAATCGTGCGAAGTCAAGAGGCATTTTACAGTGAACATTCGGTTCCGGACATCACAATAAATCTCAACGGACGTATTATATCGCCAGGTCTGATCGACGTCCAACTCAACGGCGCCTTTGGATTCAACTTTTCTTCAATACCAGAAGATCCTTCAACTTACGGAAAACTTCTTAGACAAGTCAATAAGTCTTTGGTACAAACCGGTGTCACTTCATACCTCCCTACACTCACCTCGTCAAATAAAGATGTTTACCATCAAGCGCTTCCTCACTTGGGTCCTTCTGGAAGATATCGTGTAGCTTCGGATGGTGCTGAATCGCTTGGTGCACACTGCGAAGGTCCTTTTATAAGTCCTACGAAGAACGGCATACATCCTGTGGAAGTGCTTGTACCCGCGCCGAATGGATTTAGCGACCTCGAGGATATATATGGAGTGGAAAATATCAGTTCTACTATCGATCGCGATGGAAACATTGCACCACCAAGAATAAGGAAAATCACTGCAGCGCCAGAGATTGCAGCAATGACAAACACAATCCAGGAGATCACTTCAAGAGGGATTGTCTATTCTATCGGACATACCGAAGCGACATATGAGGAGGCTTCCGCTGCAGTCGCGGCTGGTGCAACCATGATAACCCACCTATTCAACGCCATGCGACCATTACACCACAGAAATCCAGGAGTGTTCGGTGTCCTTGGACGAGCTGAGAGTCTACCTCGGCCATTCTTTGGGATAATCGCCGATGGAATCCATCTTCATCCCACAAGCATCAAGATCGCATTTAACGCACATCCAGAGGGATTCATCTTAGTCACAGACGCAATGCATCTTGTTGGACTTCCTGATGGGGTATATGACTGGGGTAATGGTGAGCGACTTGTGAAGTCGGGACCAAAGTTGACATTGGAGGGCACTGATAAGATTGCGGGAAGGTAAGGCAGAGGTTTCCACCTAACGAACGTCCGACTAATGTACATCCAGCTCAATTTCCTTGATCGAGTGTGTTAACAACTTTCTTAACTGGTCCGGGGCTAGCATTCCGCAGGCACTAAAAGCAGTCACGTCAACACCGGCTGCGATGTTAAATCTTCAAGGCGTCAAGGGGTGTCTTGATAGTGATGCTGATGCTGATCTTACCATACTGGACGAGCAAGTCGATTCGAGCGGATTCAAGAGTTTGGTTGTTGATCAGGTGTGGAAGTTTGGAAGTAAGGTTTTTGATAGAGAAGAATAATCACTTTAGATGAGACTAAATGGAGACTTGGAGTAGTGATTGATTTCGGGTGCTGACGCAAATATTGCGCAAGATTGGTATTACTTGGGACGGCGCTGGGGCGGCTTTGCATGACTGTTAGTATATTTCTCTTATGAGTCTATAAATCCATGTTGTCGAGTCAGCGAAGTACAATTTTGCCTCAATCCTTTCTTTTGTTTCACTCAGGTGAGCTTCAATTTCATGTGCATATACACCGAAAATTTTGATCGAAATCGAATCTGGGGGCACGCGGCTTCGAATTAGAGAAACATATATCTTCAAATCACAAATTCACATCGGTCACTTCCTAGATACTGTCAACCTACGATCAATGCTGGTAACCATAAGCGATGAAATATAAAGTCATCAGGGTATCAAATTCCTCAATCCATCCTTCTCAATCATTTAATTCCAAAGAATGCGGCTCATCTTTGACGAGTTACCGAAAACATCATCAATAATCACCTCCCACATCTCAAAACAGCAAAGTCCTTGGAATCGAGGTATTTAACAACAGTTTTTGCAAAGCTAACATCAAACATAGGACACGGAACTGCGGATTTCATGGTTCGGAAGCGGCGGAATAAGATTATAAAGAACATATATCTAGGAACTATTGTAAGTTATGGCCACTCAAAAAGTGGAACTAGGAGAAAAGCGGCCCGGCAGGTGAATTTGTTGCTCGAAATCTGATATGTGTGGAAGGGGGATTTGCTGCCGAAAGCTAAGCTGTCACCGATTTCTTCTCAAACAGAAACGGGTGTTTCCCCGTCTTGCTAGGTGCAACTTAGGAAAAAGCATGATTACTATATCATCATAGGTCTCCTATCTGGTGAAAGATAATTTTAATTTCAGTCAATTGATTGAATTCTCCCAGCCTAGGAGGGGAAACTTAACATCCTTTTTGGATTCTGGTTCAACAAAGGATGCTGACATTCTTAAACTTTTTCTTTCTTGTTTTTGGGGGTGTTTAAGGGTGCGTTTGAGCTCTCCAGCTCTCCAGCTCTCCAGCTCTCCATCAATTCGCTGAATTTCTGTACTAGAATTGTTGTTTCATTGAAACTGGAATTTCGAGCGGTCTTCAGACGTCTCGACGACAAAATGTGTTAAGTTTGTCTGACGTGTTCTTCTTTCACACAGCCTCAACTACTTCAATTATTGACATACCACGAAAAAAATGTAAGAAGTATTTAAAAAGCATCAACTTCGCGGAAGATATACTGTCAAACGAGGCTTTGAAAGAGGTGGGAAGCGTCGTTGCCATGGTATCTGCGATGATGTATTTGCGGAATTCTTTTCAATGAAAGCTTTCCTGCTTACGCATCACTTCGATAGCACATTTGTAGAAGCCTCAGAAGGCACAGAAGAGACGATGACATTGAATGCGGATTGAAGAGTTGTTGCTGCCGAATATTGAATTGCTGCCGTTTTTATCACTCACTTTCACGCCAGAACCTCACTTGCACGAAACTTCTTACGGTAAACTACAATCAATATATTCCTCTAGATCTACTGTTCTTCAACCAAAGAGACTTTTAGTATATACTCTCAGACAAAAGATACTCGAGGAAATTAATCGCCGTTATTGTGTGATTTCAAATCCATCCTAGACGTGAAGCTTGAGATATTTTATAGAGTACTCTGCCCTCTTCCATGATAAGGATAAAGACCCCAGTGTGTGTTTTTGTAAGATTTTGCGTCAAGAAACAAGCGTTTTGCGGGTGTGTTCTAATACAATTAATATATATAGAGTAATAGACGATCAATATTGAGTCGATGTACACCCCCAATCGTTAAGATCGGCACCAACGTTGACTTTGTATCACTTATAAAAATGAAATGTAAATCTGTAGCGGTGAAATCTAAAGGTATATATTACAAACTCTCCACCCTAAAACTTAACAAACCGAACACCAACCCCATAAAAGTCCCAACCACACTGCACATCTTGAACTACAAGGAACCCCAATTTGCCCACGTTGCATTCTGGGAAGGTCGACGGGGTTCAGAATCGTCCATTAGAGGGTTCGTTGTGTGTGACCAAACAATCAGATTGAGTGGCAGTAGGTTAATCACCGGATGGGGAAGTTATAGGAGAGAACCGGGAGAGTAGATTAGTGAAGTTTTTGTTGTCGAAAGGGGGATTGTCACCGTTTTCAGACTCGCATTTTCGGAAGAGAATGTAAAATCGGAGGGTGGGAAGGAAGTGGAGTTATATGTCAGGAAAACGCCGTTCACATTCTCAGATTAATTTCTGCTATTTTGAGTCTAGAGCGACACAAACATCCACAACCACAGTAAGCAACCTCTCGTTGATTTCACAATTTTACCAAAAGAAAACATAACAAAAATTGTAGTTTATAAACTGGTACTTCTAGTGTTCAGTACTTCTCACTCCTCTCCTCACGCATCTACTCCCTCAACCCCAACACAAAAACAACCACACTAGAATGTATACCACAAACAGAATTTCAACTTCCCCCCAAAGAGAGTTCAAACCCAATTACTATAACTAAAAGTACGAAACAACAGGGTATTCAATTCTACTTCTCTCCTTCTTTATCTATACAAACAATTGTTTAAACCAATCTAATCTACCTCCACTCTTGAACCAATCTGTCTTGCTTTTGGGGGTATCTATAATATGCTTCCATCGCTTTATGTAAACTCCTGTTTTCACCACTCCGTATGACCTCCGTGTAATGATATTTGACGCGCAACCACCCCGCGCGTCGTTTGACCCCGTGTATCTTCAATCCGTTGAAGCTGCTTTTATCCAGATAATTGAGTCAAAGGTCCCAATATCCAAGCCTTCTGAATCTCATCCAATCTCCTCGATCCCATAATAATGCCCAAACAGCCTCTCTCGGGCTTTAATTCTTCACCTAACAACCAACTCAAAGCTCCCCTCCGCCTTCCCACACGCCTCTCTCACCACCTCCGGCACCCCACCCCCCTCAACCACCACCCTCCTCAACTTCCTCGCCAAAAACCCCATATTCTCAATCTCATAACACAACAACTCACAAACCTCCTCATCGACCCCCACCGGCCCCCAAAACTTCAACGTCTCCAGATTCGGCGGTAGCGCCACGGAATGAAGCCTCGCAGCCGACGAAGACTGGCCGAAAAGCTGGTAATCTCTCAGTTCAAGCGTGTGCAGCTGTTCGAACTCGCGCATGCGGAGAGCTTTGGTGCCGCCGAGGGTAGGGAAGTCGATGGAGATGGATTCGAGTGAGTGGTTTGCGGAGCCGAGGGCGAGGATGTAGTCGGACATTGTGGCGTTGGCGCTTTCTTCCAGGGGTGGTTCTGGGGTTGCGGAGTGCGTGATGGTGATTTCTTTGAGGGCGTCTGGGAAGAGGAGGAGTTCTGAGAGGGCGTCGTCGTTGATGTCGCAATTGATGAGTTTGAGGGTTGTCAGTGCGGTTTCTGAGGGTTGTTCTACGGATTCGAAGCCTTTCTGATCGAGACGGGCGCGTGTGATGGTGAGGGTTTCTAGGGTTGGGTGGCCGAAGATGTGGATGTTTTCTTTGAGGTCCCAGTAGCCACCATCTTCGCGCTGGTAGAATAAAGAACCTGTTTCATGTCAACTCAAAGCCTCATAAGTTCAAATCCTTGGATTTTGAGATGAGATAAAATTTCACATACAAGTCCTCAAACAAGCCAAATCAAACGGCCCATTAAAAAGCGTCCCAATCCCATGACACAACCTCTCGGGCACCGAAATCTCCAACGTCTCCAAATTGCTCATCGTACTAATCGTATGACTAAACCCATCAATCCTACTCTCCCTCTGAAAGATAAAATCGCTGAGCTCACTACTCGGATACTCGAGTCTCACATCCATGATCAGACTCCCACGCCTCGGTCTCTTCACCAAACTCTCGGAGAAAGTAAAATGGTGTTTCGGCTGATCAAATCTGATACTCTTATACAGTATTGGATCGGCAAACGAATTGAGCCGGTGGTTAACGAGACAGGTGGCGTAGACATCGCGTTGCGCTGGTAAGTGGCCGAGGATCTGGATGAGGATTTCTTTGGGGAGCGAATCGAGGGTGATGGGGAGTGGTGTCGAGCCCATGGTGGTGAACAGCGAAAAGTGCGGGGCGAAATGTTGGGGAAAAGATGGAGAAAACCTGGAGTTTTTGATAGGGATGTCACAGGTCTTCTTTTTTGGGGGATTTCTTTCGGCCTCCCTTGTCTATTTTTGGAGAAGCGCCTTGTCTGATTGTTTTGGCAAAGATCTGTCGCCTCAGGCGTGAATGGTCTTATCTCCGAAACTTACACGTGAAAGAGCGACTGGTTTCACATGACTCGCCCCCCTCATAAGCTTAAATATATGAGATCTTGACTGGTTCTAAAAGGTTATTCGAACAACCGATAAATTAATATAACTCCACTGCGAGTCATTCTGAGTGAGACTACTAGTGCTTGGAGTATCGATGACGGGGTCGGTATCGTAGATGTAGGATCTACCGATTTGCCATACAATGTATTACCCAACCATGCAACTTAAGTAACACAAAAGATTCAATTGATTCAACATTTTATTATCTCGACAGAGCGCCGTATACTATGCTCTCCTAACGCCCTAATCTAATTACATGCACAGATGCAAGCCGCCGTTTCCAAGTCATCAAATCCAACCCATTTGTACTCCATACGACTTATGTACAATCCAACTCAAATCATGGTATACAGCAATCCAATCTAAAATGACAACAGTCTTTTCAAATGACTTCCTTTTTCGCAGTCACTGGGTATTGGCGGGAATATTCCGCCCCTCTTCTCGTATATCTCCAATATTGATGCTACAGCATCGAAGTAGGTCTCTCCTGTTCTTTGAAAACCAAGCTTTTTCCATTCTATATCCGAGAATGATGATTTTATTTCATCCCATAAGATCCTCCAATTTCTCATTGCGGTCTTAAAAGGCTCAAGTAATTCTTGTATGCTTTTGATTATTGCTACAGGTGTTGGGTTCGAAAATGTACTCTTCCAAATGTGTGTATATAGATCTGGTAGTACAAGGTCAGTAAATGGGCAAGGAAAATCGCCGGGGAATGCATACAATGAATGAGCATCTGCATGTCAAAGGTATCAAGATTGGCAGTACGAAGAACATTTAGGTCGTTCTCAGAAGATCCAGGAGGTGTGAATAATACCACATAAGCATCTTTCACCTTCATTCTTTGCTGTGGGTATACCACCTGTGCTCGAAGATCTGCGTAATTTGCGACATTGAAGTACCGGTCGTCGCTTGGAAACGGAAGATCAATTTCTGCCCACTGAAATCGCGGAGCGACATTATTGAATATTCCAAAGACATGGTCAAGCATGACAGCTACACTAGCAAGCCTGTGACGAGTCAGGTTTAGTGAGCGACAGGTTTTCAATATGTGCTTACCGAATGTAGGACTCCTTTCTAATCCAAGCACTGAACGATGCTTGATCACTGATCTGAAATGCTGGCGAATGTTGCTTAGTCAAAACCTCCAGGTGATGGAAAATCTACTGTCTTTAGTACAGGCTCTCTGGTAATTCGCACATAACATACCGAAACGATTCGCTGAAACCTCTGTTGTCGAACTCTTATTCTAGCGATTGGATTTCCAGTCCAGAATTGAAGCACAATCATCAGATAGGCACCTTGCAACTCTTCCATCTGGTACTGCTGCCATTCTTGGCTCGAGTTCTCGCCTTGAACAACATATATCCGCCCAGGAAGCTCGTATTCAAGGTTTATACCAGGTGTTGAGAAGATATAGGTCTCGATGATGTCCAGTAATGACTTTAGCTCCTCGACGTCAGCAGCCTCCTGTGAGTACTGCATGAGGTGTTAGCTAGGATACTGAGGGTAAATTCAATAGAAACCCACCATTCCACCTAAGCTCATCAGAGCCAAAACCAGCGGTAGAGCTGCGGAACAGGGATTGAAGGTTGGTTCGTGTACGAATGGAGCGTGTTTATGCCAATGACTGAAATACAGCTTGATATTTACAACAATACTGTTCGCACTTATCCGGTCGATCGCCTCCAATGTTTCTCTCGACGGTTGATGCGGCGCATTCATAGTGCTGGCCGTATACCTCAACTTTTCCTTGATTTCGAAGGCTCTCTGCTCAAGCACATTGCGATCCAAGAATACTCCCTCGGCGCCCGACCACGGCATCATATTCTCACCCGGCCCTGACCAGTTATTTGATGGCTGCTCAAAGTTTGCAAATTCCAAGTTTCGCAACATAGTATCTATGTTATTATTGTTCTCTGGTATCACCTGCATCGGTCCATACTGCTGCGGGTACGTCTGAGATCCAGCGTTGGGACTGCCAGAAAGAGTGGTAAACCCATTTCGAGGCGTTGACATGGACTGGTATTCCGTCGATTGACTATGCGGACTTAACGGCGAGGGTGATACGGACTTCATGAACGGGTTTCCAAAATCTGCGCCGTTGAGTAGAAACCCTATTCCCATGGAGTTGCGATCCGAAGCTGCGGGATCTGGAGTCGATCGCGAGTCTGATGTTCCAGGAGTGTCATCGGGACTTCCACCTACAAGGACGATTGTCAGTAAACTCTAAACTCTCCAAGAAAGAACATAGCATGAATGGGAAGCGCGAATGATGCTTTCTCTGCTTACCTGTTGGCCTGCTCTTGACGCATGTCCTGCCAAATTCCTTGCACTTCCGACAAGGGACATTGTTGTCGCACTTGACCTTCAACCTCGAACACTCATCGCAGGCGTGTCGTTTGCGCCCTCGCTCGAGAGAATTGGGAATCGCGGAATTTCCTCTGCGCTCGCATCGACTGAAATGATCTCGAAGTACATCGCTGTGAAGGATTCGTGTCAGCGCATAAGGTTCTGATGCAGGATTGCTGTTGCGACAACGTGGGGTTCGAGGTGTACGTACCTGCGCTTGAATGTTTTGGAACAAAACATGCAACTGTAGGGCCTTTCATTTGTGTCTGCCAAGCTCTGTCAGTCCACGCCACCAGACTTATACAAAGTACATCAAAACAATCCAAACAGTCCTCACTTACGCTGCTGCTGATGTCTTAACAGATGCGCCTTTCGCTGAAACTTCTTCCCGCAAACGTTGCATGTCGACAGGCTTTGAGCCTCCATCTTGACCGAACCATTGTCTGGAGCGCAGTTGAGCCGCGGCGAGAAGGTTAATATTTGGGGATTGTGGCTTCGGGGCGGAAGCGTCCTAGTGCCTGGGTGAATAATGCTCTACTCGTCTCCTCGTCTACGATGAGAGCTAGAGTTCTGCTCCCTTGCCTGCGCGCAGATGTGGCACGTCAGTTGGAAGACCAGTTGGGTGGGTTCGGAGGGATTGCAGTGGGGAGCAATAATGGAGCATGAAGCAAGAATCAACGAAGAAGCATGGTGAACGCAGCGTCGAAGGCCCGGAGTATGGATTAAACGGGAGCACGATGGGGTCTTTCAACAGCGAGCAGCCGCTGGGTGGAGGTGCCATGGCTTGGGATTTTGCTTGGACTTTGCGGGGGTCGTGTCACCAGAACGAGCTGTGCTGGTCGCTGCACTTTGCCTCTCAGAGTCTCACTACTGGGTCAGAAAGCCTGTCGATATCAGAGATTATCTTAAAGGCAGGTGCGTTTGCCTCTTCTGATGCACTCTTTGCTATTTCTAATCCACTGCTAACCATCACAAGCAGCAATATATCTGCCATTTCTGTACATCGAAGCCATGGATTACATCAATGAGCGCCTACAAAGTATAAAAAGACTTCAAAGGGCATCCTTCATTGGCTGGGAACCAGTCTTCCGATTTATCCAGCTTCAGCAGTTTGACGGTCCACCACCCAAGCATATCTGGGCAATTGCCGCGCCAGGACGTTGCTATTTCAAGCAGAATCACTCAGGAAACCTTCCATACGAAGTACATCTACAGTAGTTGGAGTCTTTAAATCATTTGCACCTCAGCAGGCCAGTCAAGTGTATCTTTCACTGCAACTACTTTGGTTTGCAGCCAAACACCGATCAAAGAATCAACCTACTCCCCACTAAATGCTTACAGAGATCTTGCTAACTGTTTCTTGCCTCTAGGCTTCATCCAAATAGAAGGACCGTGAAGTCGGGGAGTCGGGACTCGGAAAGAGCCCATATCCCTTTCGCAGCGATGATGGAAAGGGACAGCGCTGGGCTGGATGGTACGATCTGGTGATAGTCCGTCTTATGTCCCACCACTCAGCGTCGCCCGGAAAAAGCGAGCACATAAACGAGCTTCCAGATGGCGGAAACGGCACGTACTGACACTGCCATAGTGGGGAAGTAGGGATTTAGACTTGCCCGGCCCGTGGCCATTATTTTTACCAAGACCGCGAGTTTATGCTTCTTCTTGGGGAAGTAATGCGGTATTCTTTCGTCATTTTCTCCAAAAACTGGACATTATGGGCGAAGACTCTGAACAAGCAGATTACTCCCCTCACTGTCTCTCGACCACGTTGTCACTACCATTGGGTCCCAAAGCGGAACGCACCCAGAAAGCCATGCCTCGTCCAAATTCGATCCCAGCTTCACATTTCGATACATTTCTGGCAGCGTAAAATTACCCGAACCCAGCAATCGAAAGCTAATGTTAATCCTGATCATCACCTGCTCTTCTGATAGGCAAAGCGCATTTAGCCTGATAGCCGAGGACACTTGGCTTCTCGGAAGTGCGGCTTTACCCCTGAACCTTAAGCGCTCTCTACCCACTTCCCCAAGGCCTGGATACGGAATGATACGAAAGGAAGGTACTTTGGTACTTCCCTACTCCCTACAGACTACACATGATTCACTTTTCTACTTGATGTTGTTGTTCTCGATTCATTTCCAGTCTATATGACTCAAGTGGCACAGTTTTAACCGGTCACTTTGCTCCTCCTTGGCTTAATTTTGAAGCAAGCTAGTTCTATGACTTTGGGACATGGAGACTTCTTTCCACGCGAGCAATATTATGTCCGCAAGAATATGGGAGACTTCTAGACTTGGCCTCATGAGGTTGGTATCCTACCGGTTTTCTACAGGCTGGAAATGCGCGATCCATTTCACACATGATTCGTCCACTCTTCAAATCGACGGGCCATATGCACGATGGGTAAATCGCACAACGTTCCAGCTCTGCTCCCACCATCGACGGGCATAAGCCGGATTTTACCCACAGAAAAACAATATATCCCACTTATATGCCACGGGCAAGTGACCTTAATTGGCAACGTCAGAATCAGGCGTTTCATCCGTCGGTGTTCATCCAGAATTGTTTGCTTTTTCTACTTGTGGCGGCTGGGGGCGAGACTCGATTGTACGGTATTATTGACGATTTTTGTAGGAGATGGGTAGGGGTGTTCAAAGTAGGCGCGCCATACGGAGGAGTGAGGGCTTTTTGACGAGGTATTTACGTAGTGCTTTGTGGCGAGTGTTTTTGAGCAAAGTGGGAGCTGCTCGTGGAAGTTCAGGAGCGCCACGTGAAGTGAGTGGCATAGCCGCGAAGAGGCGAAGGTTGTGACAGTTGACAAGATACTTGGTAAGTAGGCTTCTGTTGCTAACTTTGGACACTGCCGCCACGTAGCAATTCTTCTTTTGACGTGGTTCGTCGACAATTTTCATGTCGAGAATGGCTTTTCGGCAGTTTTGCTGGATAGAAACAATAAAACTACACGACCACAGCAATCGTGTAAGTCCAGTCACCACAGACTTGAAAACGATTGACCATGGCAGAACTCGAATTCCGAGTCTTAAATTTCAAAATTTGAAAGAGCTACGCCACATAATGTCTGAATCTTACCCGTTCGGACACTGATAAAGACTAGAACTTTTTGAGTAGGTGAAGAAGAAGTGTAGTTAAAAACTGCTGATATTGCAGGAATCCAGTCTTTCTCTGCTGTGAACGATACCTCTCATCAATTATTAGGGGTCTTCCACGAAACAACTCTTTTCTGCAGAAGGTAGAGACGTTATACATGAACTTTATGAAGGTAATTCTGATGATTAATTGACGCGCATTTCTAATTTACTCAAACTGAGACTGGATATATTTCTTCAACGCTTCTAGGTCATCTTTTCGTCCAATTGCTCTGGTTGTAATTCTAGTCATGGATGGTACTGAAATGAGCGAGTGTTACGCTAGTGCCAATGAGTAGAATATCAAAGATCTTCAAGTGATGAACCTCCGGGTTTCATTTGCATTGAGGAAAATATTCATTTTGTTATGATGTCGGTGTCTCCTTCTTTGGTATGTAAACAATAACTGGGGAAAAGACAATTTGTTTTGGAATATTTGGGGAGTCGTATCATGAATAGAAAGAAGATACAATAAGACATACAGCGACTGTCTAAAAATGTAAGAGTAAATATACAACGAGGTAGAGTTCTTTTAGCATTCGCCTAGCAGCTTCCACAGAAGAAAAGAACTTGATGACTTTCCCAGAGTTTCTAGATGGCCAAGGTGGGATAATGTGACGGGGTATCAGTGCTTTGTGGGTCGCTGGTACGTTTATGTACAAGTTCTGCGAGGAGCTGGAAACTTCGAAGTATGATCATTCAATCAGAAAGCCTAGGCAAGTTACCCTAATATCAAAGTAAGAGGCTTGTGTTAAATGACCAAAATGGTTTCTCATTCTAAAATGAGCGGGTTCGCCTCTCGCATAGCAATTTGGTAACATCTGAATGTCTGAGATATATTTTCTACTAGGATATTTACTAGGTTTCCTGTAATTGATCCTTCCAAATTCTCACTCACAGCGACACTTTTCATAGTAGTTCTCAGTCAAAGATATATCACTGCTCAACACCCCTCCCCACAACCTGACCATCGCCCCCCCCTCTTCACCTTCACACATTCCCAAAACTCTCTTCCACCCCTCCCCCCCTCCATACCTCCTCACAAACCACTCCACAAACTCTCCCGTCACATTCCCCAACTCTTTTCCCCCAATCCTCTTCCCTCTCTCCGCCAACCAACCCAACAAAAAAATCACATCCTCAGCATCAACCCCCTTCTTCTCCTCGCTCGCCCGGCCCAATATACTCCTACACTTCCCATACAGCAACCTCACCGGCTCCAACACTCTCACGCCGTTCACCCAAATCACAGGCGTGTTCGCATCGTACTTTTCTTGATACAGAAACGGCGGCGTGAGTAATTCGATCACGATAGGCGGCGTGCTGTTGTAAATCGTATGTAAAGTGCGTTTGTCGACTATGAAATCGGGGTGTGTGCGTAGGAGAGAGCGGAAATGGGAGGTTTGGTTGCGGGTGACGAGGATGTCGATGTCGTCGTCGTGGACGGTGGTGCTGCCTAGGAGGAGGATGGATGTGGAGCCTATTATTGCGTAGGGTTCGTTTTGGAAGCAGTGGGAGAGGGCTTGGGTTGCGGAGTGGAAGGAGGGGAGGGATGGGAGGGTCATTTGGTGGAAGTTAGAGAGGTTGTGGTAGAGAGGTGAAGAGGTGTCAGTGTCAGTGTCACTTGTGGATATCGAGAAGGTGAAGGGTATTCACCCTGACATAGATTTCCATAGGATACATACTAGTTTTCTAATACGTACGAAGCACAGTAGGATATATATCTTTTTATGGTTGCTGCCTAGGAATTTGAGTTATTCAGAGTCATCTTCGCTTAACGTTGAGTACGCAATCTCCTATTTCTTAAACCTGATTTCCTGGTTGTAAGGTGGAGAATGAATGCTGAAGAAAGAAAAGGTGTAACAGCAGCTTAATACGATTTGGTCATCAAAGTTGCAAGAACGAAAATTAGTTCTCCATCCCAAATACTTGAGCACAGCCATTGGCAAACTCTCTAATTCACACGCACCTTAACAAACGCGCCCAAAAGTTCTCAAAGCCAAGGTTTCAGACCGCTGGTGTAACTCGAAAGTAGCGCTATACTTTGTGATGCTATTATTAGATAAGTTATACACGTTGACATGTAGCCAAGTTCAAGACCAGATCTGAATCTGATCGCGGCAGCTATCGGTTTCGGTAGGCGCAAAAATGTGAGGGTATGCGACCATTCCGGAAGCCCAAGATGCGAGACATCGATGTGGGGATTTTGTTTATCGTGTGCAGTTTAGTCTAATTACGGATATCAATTCGAAGTTCAGGTTGAGCTGAGAAGCGAGTTGTATTCATGACCCGAGCCGAGATTCTTCAGTTCTTCGCTGTACGGACTAACAACAAACAGAAAAAGATATGTCTTCTTTAAGCGGCGACCATGAAAGGCGCCTTCTCAAGGCCATTTGCACACTTACACGGTTGAATATCCCCCAGCTACCCAAATTATTGGCCCAGGCCATGTTAGAATTCTGTGATTTTCCAATCTTTCGTTAGCGAAAGGGCAGTCGGAAAAATGAGATGTTTGGACTTGAAATGCTCAAGGTATTAGACAAAATATTGAGTTACTGACGCATGTATTTTGTCTACAACGAGGTTGCTTCGTCGAAGTCCACGACTGAGAGAGGAGCACGCGACGCCATGCGACCTTCGCGCTCGCTTGACTTTCATTGACAACAACCTTCTTCTTCCTCACATCACAACATTTTACCTCAACAACACCATGCGCCACCAAACAAACAGTCATGCAGCCTACGAAACTTCTGCCTCCGTAAGGCTCTTGTGCTGCTGCAAGTGCCGCAGCATCCTGCAAGGCAGAGCCTCACCAATGGGTTGCTTGGCACGGTGCCGCGCGGTAAGCAGAGGTTTCAGTGCATGAGCATCACCGCCTGATTCGACCATCTGTTTGCACATTGTTTCATATGATTCGGTCGTCATTGCGGGGTAAACATTGGATCGGCCACTTCTTGTCTACATTGGTTGCATATCATCCAAATGCCCATGTTTCCTTATCTTCAATCACTTTGGGCGAGTGCTCTTACTGGTGATGCCACGGCATCTTCATAGTTTCATCACAAAAGCCATCATCACAGCTACTTGTTTGCCATCGTTTGTCAATTTTATCCGTTTGTATCGGACCCGACTGTTGGGTGTACGTTGTTTCGCCAATAGCAGGTCCCGGCCTGCTTACTGCTAAGCTATTTTCGTGAACCAACAGTTGGGTATACGGTCGCCGTTCATCCTTCATTTCGTACGTCAGACCGGCCTTCGACCTTTGGAGCGACCTTTGCTGCTTGGCTACTGTTTGAAGACCTGAAGTTTGTAAAGCACCATATAACTTTGTTACCATTTCCGGGCACCTCGAGACGATAGATCAACAGATCCTCATTTCGTTCAAACCTCAGGCGCAGGGCGCAATCTTCATTCCAATGTTCTCTTCAAGATCTCCAGCGATTGCTGTGTTTGCACTGCTCTTTCTGTTTCTATCTTTGGTGCAATCCACGAATATTCAGGCTGGACCCGCTGAACGAGAAATCGAAGCCCGAGTCGTTTACGATTCCAAATCAAATACACTCACAAACAAGGATATTGCGCTGGAAGAGAAAAGAGCCACAAGTACCCAAGACGAAACTGTTTTTGGTGGGATAGATCAGAGCATCGGGCAACCTTGCGACGAACCCGAGGAAGACTTGAAGGTAAATTGATCATACTCATCTTGGTCCAAACTTTACCTAACGCTGTGATCCCTAGCCTCGTATCAAACCTCGCACCGCCTCATCGACAGCACTCTACTTTCAGACTACAACGCCGTCTTCAGGTCCTACTGCAACACCATCAACCGGGTTGAGTGCGCAATGTGTCTGTACCGAGACTGGCTGTACACCCGAGTCTCCGCCATGCTGCGCTAATGGAAGCTGCGATCTACGTGCTGAGAGTGATGGTGGGGAAGGGTTGCGGTTGCGCCTGACATTTTGTATTACCATATTTGCTGTTGTGTTTTCTTTCTTGTTGTGTTGATCTGCTTGGATTCAGGTTATGGAGTTTCGGAAAAGGATGGAAATGCGACGGGATATGATATACCAGGAATTTTGGGATATATTTGGGATTCTGATGTGGAGTTTGAAATGAGCAATATCTGGGGTTTTTCTTTTTACCTACTTAGGTTAATATGACGAGAGTTGACAATTAATTTCCCTGGAAGATCTGTCTTAACACCCTTCAAGTGTCTTCTCATGATTGCTTATGTAGATGGAAGGTGTTCGACAACATGCATTACTAGACAGTTTCTACTTCTGTCTCTCCAAAGTCTGCAATAATTTGCCACATATCTTCAATTATCGTTCTTCCGGCACCGATGCTTTCACGGAGAGATGTAGGCTTTTTGAAGAGAGTCTGCTTTTTGATAGTTGTATGTGTGTATTGATAACTCTCGGCCGATAAATATGTGTAACAGATCAACTATAGGGGATTTACTTTGGTGTGGAAAAGTATTTTCAAAGTGATACATGCTCATGGTATCAACAGTATATCACTGCGGATGCAGAACAAACAAATTTCAAAACTTCTAGGAAAAAGCAGATAAGAACTCTTTCACCTTAAACACCACAGTTTCTCCCAAGACATTCAATACGTTGATTGGTAAGACTTGGTTCGGTATCAAATGTTGCGCAGTTTATAATCTGCAACATATCATACTACTCGAACTGATGACATTCTGATTGAGGAAGCTACTGATCCAATATTGCGGTGTTTGATTGCATTGAGGGTAATTCTTAAATTTATCATTCAATTATGTTCAACAGCTCGAACATTAAGCAAATGCCAGCTACCTTGACAGAATCGTATTGTCTTCACGAAGAGTTTCGGGTAAGGTATTTTGCGTGGTAACCAAATTTTTGACGGCAAACATTGACTACAATCATAATTCAAGTTCATGTGCTTTGCAAGTTCATGTGCTTTGTTAGTCGGAACTTCTCCTTGGCATTATTTGGGCCTGTGAATTTCAGATATTACTATGGTTTACCCAACATTTGAAGTGCACCAGGTGTTCCATATAAGACAGCACATGGACAGGTCGCCATACATCTATAAAGTTATAGAATTCCTCGTAAATCGCTGACAAGTTCTTCATTTATCATGCTCTTTCCTAGTTCACGATTATGATCATGTCTGTAGTCGTACGCAGTAGTTGAGGAAAACAAAGATCAGATTGGTCAACTTTTGCAATCCAATCGGCATACTCTTGGATCAAGACTATTCTTCATGACGCTTGATGAGTGTTTCTTCATAGTCCACGGAAGTGTCCCTTCGTTTCTCATCTTTCATGTTTCAAATTACAATACAACTGCCAAACTTTTCCAGAAATTGATAACGTGGTATTTAAGACCGAGTACCAAATAACCTAATAACCTACAAAACGCGAATCTCGCAGCCCTTTTCATGGACTGGTTCGTCTGCGTGCTGCAATCGAGGTAAATTAAACTCTGCATTCTCCTTCCATCTCAGGTACAGAACATCTGCCCAGAAAATTAAAGTTTGGCCGCCTACTCTGTATAGTCCAAAACTTCCAGAAGTGAGACTTTGGAATTCGGTTGTAAAACCTTTTTCGACAGCAGAACCCATCTTCTGTTTCCAATCTGAAAGAGTTTCACGTTACATAATAATCCTGCACGAAAGTGGTCTCCAAAATAATAAATTGGAACTGTCTGTAACGCCAGAACTGCCTATGACTCCGACCTCATAATTCTTTCGACAGTGAAATCATTCTCGCAATCTAAATTTATTTTCCAGTTGGGAGCCTCTGTCGCCTTTTTATTGGTTTCTGGGCAGAGATCGATAGCACAAATCGGCCCAAATTTAGCGTGAAGATTGAAATTGTGTGTTGTAGAATTGATGAGTTTCCTGCTTTATAGAGTTGCAGTTCTTCTTTCCGGTTCATTTTCTCATTCAATTGCGGAAATAAAGTTTCGAAAGCGCTAGAGGCTTGGGGCTTATCACCAATGATGATGATGTTCTTGCTACTACAGATGGTAATTTTTGATGACTACAAATTGAGTGGTAAAGGGGAAATCTAATCGGCGTAACTCCAGGAAGGGTAAGTCGCTGCCATTGTTATGTAGATGTAATGGAAGCTTCAGGATTTTTATTTCTTTAGAAGTCTTTATTCGACGTCACTCTGTCATAAAATTTCTACACTCTTTGTCGTGTTCGTCAATAGCAGAATATGGGACGGCGAATAGATGCCAATGTATTTAACTTGTGCAAAAGTTGTTTCATGTTTGATTGCCAAGGTTGCACTTGTGTGAGTTTATTTTTCCTGAAGTAAAGTATTGAGTTCTGGCTTTATTGACGAGTTATGCTTGTTGCTATTATGTCCTTCGTACAGTATTTGTACATTTGGTGAATTTAAAACCGCTCGCCTATCCTAAAATGTTGAATATGTTCAATCTCAATCAGGAATATTTGCACTACCCCTTTGTTCGTAGCGAGATATACCCATCCCGCCTAACCCCTTTCGAAAACCCAAAACAAAGGTTGACAATTCCCTGTCTTGTTACTACGTCTTAATTAGGTTGCCACTTTAGATATACATATACACTTATACAGTTGAGCTCTGATAATTAAACTCTTCTACAGATGCCACTTACTTGTTCTTATAGTAATACTTCTCAATGGCCTAATAAAAACTTTTACCAGTTATTATTCCATTCTTCATTAGAATGCTTCTCTCAAACTTTGTAGTATTTATTTGGTTTTGTTTCGCCGTGGCACAACCTCAGCCATCCCAATCAACCGCACCATATTGGCCATCTCACTCAACCACACCATCCCGACTAACTGCGCCGTCTCTACCAACCGCACCATCTGAGTCAAACCGTCCCGACGACCACACTGCTCATGAGCCACCAGAAGATGAGCCACCAGATGATGATTTTGAGCTATTGAAGACCACTTTTCCACATACATATGCTCATCGCGGTTGCACTGACCAACAGAAGCGGAATTTAGAGGTGGCTGCGAACGACGCATGGCTGCTTGCAAAAGCACAAACCGTTCCTGTGGAGGGTTACGACTATAACTTACCACATTCGCAATGGTTAGGAGACGACTGGAATAAGCAGGGTGATGAGACCCTTGACAAACAATCGAGTTACATTGCAGGAAACTTTCAGAACATGGCGAGATTGGTCTCGGGGAACCTGGAGAAAGACCAAAAACTCCGCTTTTGGTGCTTTCCCAGGTGGAAAAATGATGATACTTGCGACAAAGCAAAAGTATACGCTAAGAGCTGGTTTTGGTACCCAGAAGACGAAGATCTGGCAATCAAAATCCACCATACCGTTTTCTGTGATCGGTTTTTCTGGCAGCCGGGTTTACAATCAACAGTCGACAGACTAAAGACAAAGCCGATGCGTGATCAGTTGATAATTGACAATGCCGTAGGAGTTTCCGCTGTCACCATGTTACACGAAATCTATCACTACAGAGACATGATCGTCTACCCAAGCACGACGGACTATGCCTACGGGGCACTCAAATGCCATGAACTGGCCACTAAAGCAGGTGGAGGGACGGAATTAGCGTATAGAAACGCGGAGTCATACGCTATTGATGCATTGGCTATTTATCTCCAGCAGACTCTTCAACTTGGGTTTCCACCTATCTCCAGAAAATACATGAATGAGGAGATAGATCCAGCGGGGGCCTAATGAATAGACAAAGGCAGAATATCAGAAGAGTAATGGAATTTTGGGTAGATAATGATTGATCTCATGTCAAGAATGAAATATATTACAATAACTGAATGTGGACGAGAAGAAACCCCATGACTAGTATTTCGAACTTCAAATCCACTAGTAAACGTATTGGCGCGAGCTTCTTAAATTATCGACAAGAATTATCCAACATCGCTTATATGTTTACACGTATAAATAATCAAGTAAATAATTACTACGAAATAAAAAGAAATTAATTTTGATGCTTTGTGATTCGGTGACAACCTCTTTTTCGGCAACAACTCTCACACTTCTTCCTTGCCACCACGCTCCATTCCAGAATTAAACAGGCAACAAACGTTATTTTAAGTTTGTTGGCTAATAAATCTTGGCGACTCGTGTAAAGGATTTTTTAACTAGAGATGCTTCGGTTGTTACTACTACTGACGGAGGTTTCATCGTGCTGACCACTCCATTCGGAATCCCAGCATTTTTATACTTCGATATCATCAGATTTTGGATCTGAGTGAGAATATGGAAAAACAGCTCATCACACAAAGTGTGAAAGAAGTAAGTCTGACGTAATTTTACTGGAATTATCACGTCCTAGCATTAAAACGCAGTCCTCTTTGCTTCGTCAAGCTCGACTTATTCCCAATATAATTACATAGTTTTGTCGTTTCTCTCCACCTTTGTTCAATCCATAGTCCGCCGACTGAAGACTTTCTGGAGAATTGCAAAAGTAGTGAAAACCCAACACTAACGTTATATAAGAACCAAAGAATATACGAGTGATTGTAGCAGACACGATAATGCTGCCCAACGATGAAACGATTTTGCAGGCCATCAATCTAGAATACTGCTTTCGCTCTCACAGAAACGTGTCGGGTGTCTACAGATTTGTGCGATAATAAATGTTGTCCTACAAGTTCATTCTCCCAATTACCGAATTTTCAATCATAAAAATTATGTTTCCCAAATCGGCAGCAATCACGACTTCGGTGACAACCTACCAACAATACTAATTAACCTCTACAGCCAGGGAAAAGAGGTTTTTGAATTTTTGATTTACAACCCAAGACTCTACACTACCACTGCGAGCTCGCGTGTTCACAAAAAGTCAAACAAGCGCGGCCCCAAACACGCCCCTCATTGTTACCGACATCCTCGCTTTGTCTTCTTTCTATGATTCTGCAAATGTTTTAAGCTCCTATGTTCAGCCATTTCGAGCTGTCAAAAGATAAAAAAAAAGGAAAAAGAAAGTTTCCCCAATCCAACACACCCTCAAACAATCCCTCACTCATCGGAAACCAGCAAAAAAGGGATCACCCCAATACCTGCAATGTTGCCCAGTCGTCTAAACTACTAAGCCCATTTACTTGCTTAAGACTATTTCTTAATCTCAATGCAACCTCAAGTTTGTCTGAACCTAGTGAAAACAGTGCATTCATGAGGGGCCTAATTATCTTTTGCCGAAGTCGATGTTTTAAGACAGAACCTCATGACTTTCAGATCAGGAGTGTAGAAGGTGATGGAAGATCTTTGAGTGGTTAGTGTGAGCAGATATGAAGGGGCCAGGATGGGGTGGCTCAGCGAGTAAAAAATATGGACTTAACCTCGAAGAAGGACAATTACACTAGTCGTCGGGTCCGCTCTCTCAACCGAAAAATACATTGAGAACGTATACACGATCTCGTACAATCCCAAATCTCTTCCTGCAAACACCACCGTCCGAAAATCAATGTATGATTAGTTACTGTATTAGGAAGAAGCCGACATCTCAGATCTCTACCACAGAAACGTCGGGGAAAAAAAGAAAACACTTCAACTGTCTGCTCTTCCCATTTGACCAAAGACTAACTTAAAGTGAGTCAATGAATCGCACCAGTTTCATGGTCGAATGAATTCAAGTGTGGAGTCGGCGAACCGCAAGATATTCAATCCGTAACCCATGTTTGAAGTATAACATACCACCAAAACTAAATCCGCCACCGAAAACCAAACCACCCCCGAATCTCACAGTGATGTTAGTCCATAAAGTGCACCAAGGGTGCGTGGTCTGTGAAAATGGTATGACTGAGCAGGCCCCGAAACATGTGAGCGTATCTTCTGCCCATTTCCGCAATTGTAAGCGGGCTGCAGCTCACGCTTGCATCGAATCGTATAACATTGGTAATCTTACCTTAACACCATCCCTCATCTGTGTCATCACCTCATTAACACTACATTACCTACCAAAGCAGACCTACACCCCAACGCAAAAGAATCATTCTAAAAAGCCAACCAACCCCCCAAACTCAGCAAATGTAGACACTTTCTAAATGGGCCCTATTTACGCATAACCTTCGTTCATCATAAGCTTTTTCAGTACTAGCGGTCCAATTACGGGTACCAGAATCTGGTTAGTGGTAGTAGAAGGAAATGTGAAAATTGGCAAAGTGTATCACGAGGACGACTGCCTGGTTCTTACTGACAAACAGACATCTCGTTCTAACGGTTAATTCGTGCAATCAAACTCTTCGTTTGTCTAATTCTCTGTACACAAGCAGCACTTCAAGGATATTTTATGCTCACTTATATTGCAACACCAAGCATAGGGTTTACTAATGTATGTTTCGGGGAGGGAGGTAGAGAAGCGAGACGATAACGAGGGATTTGCAGCCTTTTCTCTTTTGTTGGATAGTAACCACATAACTCAATGAGATGTTCTGAGGTCTTGCAAAAGCAAGGAAGCTGCTGCAATCATGATATTTGTTTGCGACTCGGTGGCGGTGTGGTATTAAGCAATTTTATTCTTTCTCATCAACAAGCGTTTTGGCAATATGTTTGTTGAAAAGAGGAGGATGGTTTCTATAGTCTTCTGTCACAACTTATATTCTTTGAGCAGACTCATCTACGTTTGTTATTTGAAGAGACCTATCGCAAATCATTTTTTTATTACCTCTACCCCGTTCTATCAATCCTGACACCTCAAATCGTTTCACATAGCCATACCTCAGAACCCCCATCTCTCCAAATACCCCCCCAAAGTCTCCTCAATGCCCACTTTAATCTCCTCAACTTTCTCCCGCCCCTTCCACTCCAACCACCGTTCCATAAAAAAATACGGAGGCGACACATCCTCCAAAAACCACTTCAACGCAGCAAGTTCTCCCGCACCAGGAATATCCGCCGGTCGAAGCACACCCGCGCGAACAAACTCTTTATCCATCATCTGGGCGACCTCGAAATCGACTTTCGTGCCATTCTGGGCAGGAACGTTGCCGTAGAGGAGATACTGGCGGAGTTGGCCTTCGTCGCCTGGCTCGAAAGGTCCGGCTAGTAAGGCGCCGAGGGTGCGGAAGGAGTAGAAGTACTCGTCTGCTGGGGTGGCGATGTGGGATAAATCGAAATCAAGGAGTGCGGTCAAAAGATTGGATGAGGGGTCGAATAACATGTTGAAGGTATCTATTAGGTGGTGAGCCGATGTATAATTCCTGCGATATAAATTCCCTAGACTTACTGAAATCACCGTGAACCAATGTCTGGCGAGCGACAGAATTTTCTATGACTACTTTTTGATCCCACTTGCTGCAAACCGCTCCAAACGATTTCTGAGATCGTTCCGACGCCATCCACCGATTAGCTCTGAATTATCAGACTCGATCAGCTGTCGGCGTAACATCTGCACGTACATCTCATGGAATTCGGTAAATGGCCCACCACATGGAATGGTCGTCGGTCCCGTGACGATTTCACCAGAGTCATTAAAGGTAAGCCCTCCGTAGCCTTTGACTGATTCTGGGAGAGAGAAGTTCTGGATCAGCTTGAACACATTGGCGATCTGATGAAGGATATCTTGCTTGCGATCACTATTCAGGCCATTCATTTCTTTGTCGAGTGGGACGCCTTCCATATACTCTTGAAGAATCCATCCATAGCCCTCTTCTGATGATTGCCAGGCATACGTATGAGGAATTAGTCTGCTACCGTAGGTAGAGAGAGCCTGTCTCGCAAGACACATTGCAGCTACCTCGTTCTGTACTCGGACATCCTCATTGAGCAATGCCTGGGGATTGGATATTCGAATGACCACCTTGGTAGCCGACGCTAGAGAGCTGGATATTCCTGGCTTAAACACAGTTGGTGGTGGTGTTGTCGGTTGGTTGATTGATTTAGACAGCTGGATCAGATGGACGAAGTTGTTTGAGTCCCGACCAAGTCTGCTGATGCTTGTCACCTACAAGAGCACAGGAGTCAAATGCAGCTGGAAGTGATAAAAAGCTTGGGATGTACCTGACGTCCGAAGTCTTGTTGCATCAGATTGACAATAAACCGCTCTCTGTTCTCAAGGGCGTAGTCCGTGCTGAGACTCATGTTGGAGACCAACGTGAGGATTTTCGTAGTAGCCTGCGGCAAGAATGAATCGAAAATACAGATGATATGAATCTTGAAGAGCGGTAAGGGCACAGTTCGAGGCTGTGGCTGCCTCGTAGAGTTGTCGGAATTTGGGAGGAGCGAAAAGCGATGTCAAGGATCTTCTTTTTGGTGGCTATATTGGTTGGCTACATGGCTGTTGGCTTGTTGTTTGTTTATGCTTGTCTTTCTGTACCAAGTGTAGGCTATTACACTTCTCTCCTCGAATCCTAACCAATCATACAGCATCCTACATCCTGCCTTTTCGTGGAAACCATTGGATAAATTACCAATGAATTACAAGAACTTTCGAAGCGCGAGACCATCAGTGCGGTCAAAACCTACCTGTTAGTCACTTACCTTTGGTTTCCTTCGATCGAAGCTCCCTATGCAGAAGAGCAAACATATCTCCATAGTCATCAAGAGGACTCAGAATATATCTAGCTTCATATTTTGGTATACTGTAAGTATTAAAAGCTCCTGCTAGATTCAAATATGTATTTGTGGATGAAGCACAGCAGTAGCTCGAGATTAGGCACACCACCAGCGAAAAAATGATCTGGAAAGATTATTTCTGCGTATCCCAGGGCTAGAAAGAGCTTAGGATGATCTCCTCGTCAAGATTCGGCGTGGTGTATATGAACCTCGATGTTCGTAGGTAGGAAGTTCGGAGGTACTGTGACGAGGAGGGGCACATTTTGAAATACCGCGAGTCACAACCCCTCACTGGAATTCCGCACTTCAGACATCTCGCAGGGGAATACAGACGAAGATTGACAAGTAGCAGTGGATGCGGAACGTCATTGAAGGTTTTTGTACGAAGTATATCGTGCTGATCACGTTTCTCCTCTTCGTGTTGGTGGGCTGCCGAGGATGATTCTATTTTTACACCGGCGCAGCCACGGGCTAAAATGACCAGTTGCAGCTGACAAGTTCCGTCAGCGCCGTGAATACGGGGCATCGAGCATCATTCTTTTCAAACTTTCCATCATCTTCGTATTTTCTACAGTTCTTTGCAGCTCTTCCAAATCGTGTTTGCCGTCGCGCTTTCTATTGCCGCCGCCCGGATACGAAGTACAATGACAGTTCAGGGCACCGGACACGACATCTCTGTGATACCCTCTCCAGTTACCAGATCCAGCGACCTGGAACAGCGGATGGGGCAGCATAACGGGGTTGATCTTGATGCGACCAGTAAGGCTGCATGTGGTGGGAGGGTAGTGGGGAGACGGGCAGATGCTGTGTTTCATCCGGATTTTGGTTGTGCCATAGGAGGGCAGGGAGGATTCTGCAGAGTTGGTGTTGTAAACGTCCAAGATGAGAAGTCCGAAATGGGCTGCCGAGATGCCACGCCGGCGAGGTTTGTTGGTGGTTATTCTGCACCGAGATTGAGTTTACGGGGTACGATGACCAAGATGTTGGCAAATTACCACCAAGCCAGTAGTTGGAAGAAGCTCGTATTAGAACAATGATTTGAATTTAGCAACACAAAGCATCGCTTGGGAAGTTATGATTCTCATTATCCCTTTGACCTATTTCGAGTAACTCACTTGGTCATGCCCTTGGTCTGCCTCGTACCTGCGTCAAAGCCGCTTCTCCCTTCAAAGCCCGACTTCTTTGCGCTTCCAACACGAGATCATCTCAGGGTCTCCCTTTGGCGTCTCCGCCTTTACGATCTCCTTACGATGTCGAGGATTATCCTCCAACGTCTAACGACGGCTTGTCCAGTCACCGTCAATTGCCCGAGGAAACAAGCGTTAACCACCAATCAAACCTCCCACTGACACTTCCCCTTGTTTGACCTGCCACCGCCGCCTCCATTAGCGGCAGGGACTCCCGCAGGGCTGTGCTGATGGGACGTGTGATTAATCGGGGTAGCAGAGGGTATCCTGAATCACAATCTGCTCAGAAGCTGCCAAATCGTGCTCGTCATGAGCAGAATATCGCTCAAACAATAAAATGACAGGGGCAGTCTAGTCACATCCCCATCATCAGACCACCGCATGGATCACAACCTCCTTTTGCTTATTACTCCAACTCGCCCTCTCGCTCCTTTGAACTGCACTCCTCGTTTTGAAATATTCATCAGCTCTTCTCGGTTTCTTTCATCCCTCTTTCCCAAATAATACACTTGTCAACTCGCCCACATTCGTTTAGGAGCGTTGTCGTTTTCCACTTTCTACATTCTTCGCCGTTGCTCATAACAACAGCAAACAAACAACAATACTACCACATCGTTTTTGAAACCGAAAAGAGTCGACACATAGACAGATACAGTAACACATTAACATCACCAGAATCACTTCAACATCTTCAACATGCGCACCTCACTTTCCGCAGCGACAATTTTCCTGTCTGCTCTCCAACTAGCAACAGCCCAGACCTTCACAGACTGCGATCCCACAAAAAAGAGTACGTGGCCCAAGAATACCGATCTTGATCACAACTAACAATCTCCACAGCTTGCCCAGCAAACCCAGGTCTTGGAGGAACTGTCGAAACCGACTTCACAAAGGGAAAGAATGATGCGTGGACCTACGCCGATGGCACGACCATAAACTACGACCCAGCAAAGGGAGCTGTCTTCAGCATCGCCAAATCCACCAACGCTCCAACCATGGCCTTTTCAAAGTACATCATGTTCGGCAAGGTTTCCGTCGTCATGCAAGCCGCACCAGGTGCCGGAATTGTCAGCTCATTCATCCTCGAATCGGCTGATCTCGACGAGATTGATTGGGAGTGGATCGGAGCCGTCGACATGGACGCGCAATCCAACTTCTTCGGCAAGGGAAACACGTCCTCCTACGACCGTGGAGCCCACCACGCCATGCCCGTCTCTCCAGGCGCAGTCAACGGTTTCCACACCTACGAGATTGACTGGAACAAAGACGCTATCAAATGGTCTATTGATGGAAACTCCGTTCGCACGCTCCCATACTCCTCCCCTCTCGCTCTCGGAGGCCAGAACTACCCCCAGACTCCAATGAAAGTCAAGATGGGCTCGTGGGTCGGTTGCGCAAGCAAAGAAGCCGCCAGCGACCCAAAGACGCAAGGAACCTGTGAGTGGGCATCTGGACCAGCTGATTTTGCATCCGGACCCTTCGACATGTACGTCAAGAGCGTGACGATCCAGGATTACGGATGCGGAGGAGATTACACGTACAGCGACATGACCGGATCCTACCAATCAATCAAATCCTCCGGAAAGTGCGACGGAAACGCCAACACCGTCGTCTCGTCCTCGGAATCCGTCCCTGCTATCACCGGGTCTGCTACTGGCTCAGTCACCTCCACCGGCTCAGCAGTTTCCACTTCCGTCTCTACGACTGCTAAATCTTCATCTGCGTCCGCTTCTGCGTCTGCGTCTGGTTCTAGCACCCTCACCAGCGCCGTCAAGGAAGCCACCCAAGCTGCCGCCGCCAACGGCACAGGAACCGTCCGTCCATCCCTCAACACGGCCGTCTCCCCCGTCCCAACAGGTCCTTCAGCATCTGCTTCCAACGCCGCAGCCGCTGCGACCGCTGCCAGCGGCGCGAGCAGACCAAGCCACAAGTACGGCGCGATGGATATCGGTGTCATGGTTCTTGGTCTGGGATTGGGCTATTTGGTCATGTAATTGTTCGTTGAGGTGTTTTTGATTCGAGTGTGCAGGGGAAGGGCGGTGCGAGTGTATTATACCCTTAAATTGCTGTTTTTTGCGAGGGAGTGGAGGTGAGAGGGGTTTCGTTTGTATGGTAGGTAGGATAGAAGATGATTAAAGAAGAGCATTTGTTACAACTTTCTTTTTTTGGTGTCAGCATCAAGGGGTTTTTAAAATGTGAGGGAAAGGGATTAAAGCTGTGCTTGATCTTCTTGAGCATGAGCGTGACTTGGGGCATTCTAGGGAGTTTTTTCTTGTTTATCATAGTCAGACAGATTTTATAATAATTCCATATCTCCAAAAGAACACACCTTCATTTGTCACGACCGTTTGTGATTTTGAATGACAGATTAAAATCTCATCTCTATCAAAGACTTTCATTTCCTCCTACTGATTAAGTGTACTCTTTACCACGAACCTTGTATCCTACCACTCAAGTGTACATGCTGATCCTGCAGTGTTACGGCAAACGAGAAAATCAAAGAGTATCCTAACTAAACTTCCTAGAGCTTACGCAGGGTACTATGTGCTATTAGCCGGAACACGGGATGCGGATATACATCCAGACCTTCTCTCCTAGCCGAGAATAAAGTCTGACGAGATACCTTATTTGGATGCCTTGGTATATAGTCTAGAATACTGGACAATCACCCAGACGTTCCGAACTTGATACTTTACCGTGGGTTTTTTTATTGGAGTACGGAATACATAGACCAACTACTTCGTCGTGCTACCAACGTGATGTTCTAGCGAACTTGCAATGTGCGCAATGATCTTGAAATCAAAATCGTCAACCGCGTTCCGTGCGGTTTTGATGTGTGCATGTGTATACTCTACATTCTAGCTCGGGGGAGGGAGAGTGTATTTATAGGAAGGCCGCTCGGGCAGGGAGGGAGTGGAATTTCGTGTCGAGGAAGTGGGGGAATTATGTCGAGTTGTGTGAGAAGTCTAGGCTGTGTAGGTTTTGAGGAGAGGTTTGGCTGTGATAGTATTAGGTAAAGACTTCATCAACTTGAGTTTCTTCCTCCCAATTTTGTCATTTTCTCCTTTGGCTCTACCGAATTGCGAGGTGGGACATGATGTCGAAGAACTTGTGTATCGTATTGCTTCTGAACAAGGATTCGGCGCTATCAACTTGATATCAACATACCTTCGTCGACGATCCTTCTATTAGGAATGTTGAAGTGCAATTCACTTGTTTAGAGAACCCTATAGTATAACCTACTATGCAGATGTTCTTAGGTAGTTTGGTAGCAAAGGAGCTCATGTCGAATATTCCGCGTCCTCTAACCTTTTCGCTTAGTAAAGTAAACAGAACCATCGAAAATCAGATAACTTTCAAAACTCCTTTAAGAAGGTTGTACGATTTTCTTACCAAGATCATAGGAAGGCCACAGGCTGCATAGATTGGCAATAGTAAGAAGTCCAAGTGCCAGGACCAGAAGCGTAGAAAAAGCAAACACTGTCAACCCCTAAAAGAAAATTGTACGGCGTACAACTTTCCTGACAGGGGCCATGACACGAAAACCGGTCGTACATTGTTTTGATGGTACCTTTCCCTATACATTTAGCGGAGCGAACAGAAAAATAGAAAAAGTAAATATTGTGCTCCCCCCTGCAACAAAGTTCGTACAACTTTTGAGCCAGGACATTCTGGTCCGGCGCATAAAGTGAAGGCTTCAGGCTGTAAAGATAAACAATAATTTCTTTTTCTCTGCTCCCTGAGTTCGATTCTGGGAAGAGACCTCAATCCCTGCGCAAAATTTGTACGACGTATAATTTTCTGACGAAAAGAAAATCAGGGGCGGCGAGTTGAATAATACAAACCATATAGACTACAGTTATCTTTTTCATCCTCCAGTTCATTATCTATCCTCCATCTAGTAAGGATCGAAGTTCCTCGATACCTACCTAGGTACTCTTGAAGGACTTTGCATGCGGCATGCAAATCTGGCAGGGATTTGTGGCAAAGTACAAATATCTGAAATTCCCCGTCTTCCCCAATACGAGTCCTCCAGAAATTCTTGACCTGAGCCTCGCAACCGTAGTAGTCCCAAAATTCTTAGATCCTACTGGTCGATTTGTCGCTGTAAAATCATTGTCCTATTTCCGTAGATGATCTGCAATCCGCAGGGATGAGTTGGAATGAAATGTGGCGTAAGTAACGTGAAAGAGAGGGGTTAGTTCGCTAAATCCAACCTTGGAAGGGAAATGAGCGACAAAATTCAACGACATGTCTCTCATGATTGCGAAGGATTTGAGTGACTATAGTGAGGAAGCAAAAAACCACATAAAAAAGTTTATAGATGGTTGGTTTGCGTGCGGACTTTGAGTGATGGAAGCCAGAAATAGCTGGCAATGAAAGGTATGACGTATTTGTAAAGAATTCCAGGTTGTTGGAGAAGGCAAGACCACATTGAAAACCCTCGCGACTATTCGCTATTGTTTTGATGTCTTGCTAATTCTGAAATAGATCGTGGGTATTTGGTTCTGGATTGGTGCGGATAAGTGGTAGAAGAGCGCTCGTTTGATGTTGACAAAGCTTGCACCTTGACAACCCGATACATCCGCTTTGTGGTCGATTAATGACCACCCCGTGCTTGACAGACGGGGTGTTTGTGTTTGTTAGGGTGTTTGTGAGGAACCTTTTTGCATGGAATGAACCTATAAGCGTTACTACGGTTAGAAAGTTCATGGACATGTAGAGGTTACCACGAATTCTTCCATCAACCGAGCCATCGATGGATGGGAGCTTTCTCTACAGCCAGGACGACGATCTACCACTTCAAAAATGTCCTTGCCCATCTCAACTCATCTAAGTGTTACAATCTTATATGGTTTATCTTCTTCATAGAAAGCCAACATGGGCTTCGAGGGTGTGCTGGAGAATATTGCCCTCCATAATGCCCCACCCACAAAAGCCTCTATCGCACTTGCCTCGAATCTTAATTACTCGCTTTATGTGCCTCGAGAACCTCTGCGATCGAAATGCTGCTACTCTTGTTGGCCAGTGGTGCCGACAGAGCTGGAGGATGTGCGAAAGGTGTCGTCGACCGGTCGGTATCCAGATCTGCGACGGCGTTTCTGGAGTTGGGTCTATTCTGGGATAATGCTAGGTATTTATAGCCAGCTCCTTCAGTCTTTCATGCTCTATGTTTTGATTGAGTGCTCGCCGTCAGTATTTGTTACCCTTCAACCCTTGAATCACTGAACGACGACTTCGTTATCAGTTGGCTCGTTCGATGAGGTAAACCTCGATATCCTTGCTTGTTGCGCGCGTGTTATCAGCTCGCACGTTGCTTCATTTTGGCACAGTCTGCATCGTTCGCCATGTGTGACGGTCAGCCATGGGTTGCGGCTGCTTTCTTTCTCTGCAACGAGACTGGCTGTCAAGCAGGATGCCTGGTGGTTGTGCGCTGATTCCTGGAGAGGCGTCCTTGTAGGTCTTTGTTTTCTGTATTTCTTATCTTGATCCAATGAGCATGCAATCGTTTCACAATCCAAACCTGTTGCGTTGTAAGGTTTCGTTGATGGAGGTAAAGAGGATGATAATGGCCTAGCTAAAGAAACACCACATTAGCAACAAGGCACATGTATCAGAAGTACCAGCGGAGATTCCAACGATCTAGACTCGATGCAGACTGTCTTCCTCATGTCGTGAGAAGCTTGGAAACAGCATACCTTCTTGGGATGACACTCCACGGACAAAGCGTGGCATTCAATGCTGGTACCTCTGGTATGTCCGCATCTTGCCTGCTCTGGAAGGACTGGCGAGTACATTGTGCATGTACAGCACCGTTTGCAACTGCAGCGGATTGCTGATGCATCTATCAACAAGTGGATGGCGACGCGATACATTGTGCGATGGGAGCGAGGAGTGTCGGCATGGTTAGGGGGACTTTATGGGGACCGATTCTGACCGCGACTTACCTCTGCCATCCGAGCATTCACATCCTCCACAACTCACTCGCACCGAACTTAACAAAGTTAGCGGGACTATCTCGCGACACTAAGTTGCTTCCACCAGTGCATTTATTTGATCTTCCCCGGAAGCCAATATTCTGTGTTCGCAAACCGCCAAACCGACATTGCATCATCCTTTGCCGACCTATCTCTCCTCACCTTTACCGGTTCACTCGTGGACTATATCCGTCCAGCAGGCTCACAAGTGAACCGGGCATCTTGCTATTATTGCTGGAAGCAACTTCACCATCGCCTGCAACACCGCCATCTTCTCACCTTCGAGTCCGGGTATCTGGCAGCTTTACACCCCTCGACAGGTACGGCCCGCCCATACATTTCTCATACCGGTTATCTATATTTTCTCCTGGGCTGCAAGCACCAACAACTTCCGTTGATGTCTCTCAACCCGTAGATCTGAATGACTTCGATGTTCGGTCCCCTGATTCGCAACCAAATTAACCATCTACTGCCACAGGCTGGCTCGAATTAATCCAGGAATCTCGCTACGGTTTGTTCAGTTCCATCTATCACCAGCTGGTGTTCTTGCGCTTGCTAATTCAACAGGACGTTCATAGCTGCCACTACACCTGCTTTGCCTTCCAACTAACAAGCATACCTTAATCGCTTTCAACCGCTACCATGCGCACAAGGCGCAAGACACAAAACACCCTTGCGGCTCAATCTCCAGCCGGCAAACGTAAATTAGAAGTACAAACAACTTACGAAGGAGGCTTTTTGTTGGGGGTTGCGGAATTGGACCGAGATGCAGTGGATGAAGTCGCTCGTGTTCTCAAACGACCACGATATGAACCTTCAGACAAGATTAGTGAAATAATTTGCGGAAAGAACGTGGTCGAACTCAGCAAAGGCTGGAATAAGATGGATAAGATCTTCAATAAAATACCATCCGAGGCATGTTCTATCATCCCCTCAAACCCCATTACCTTCTCGGTTTCACAGTCTAAATGTTGATGGATTGAGTTTCACTCTTTCACCACATCTTGCTTCCAGAGAAGCTTGTTGTGGCAGGCCTCGAGCTGATCTTACCATCTGCACAGCTTCTCCTGCGCGATCCTCTTTGCAATTCTTGACGGTCAAAGAATCACAGGCTAACTCGCATGATCTCCAGGTCCATCAAAAGATTGCTGAAAGACTTCCTTCGGATCGTGACATTACCAACTATTCCGTTGTTTGCCCAAAGACATTGGTAGCAATTGATCCACGGTTCTGGCGAAGATTCTTTATGGAGAAATATGATTATCCCAATAACTACGATGCCAACAAAGACCCGAACGGGACCAAGCTTTACAACCTGTTTCGATATCGCCAATCGGTCCTCAGTAGCTTCACCCTTTTCGATCTCCGGAATTACCGCATCAACGACGATATTATCGGCGTTCAGAGAAATAATCAAGGCGAATTTCTAAAGGTTTTGCATGGCATGATTATCGGTAGGTGCACAATTACCCGCTGACTTCTCTTACTAATGATACTAGAAATGGACTCAAAAATGTCGTATGAATCTGGTGAATACCGACTCCGAGGGCGTAACCTAGACATAATTCGCAGCCTCGTCACAAACGACGGATCCGGTCCATATGTAGACATCATCGACTCTATACTCAGTGTAGATGCCTCCAACATTCGAATCGCATTCGAAGACAGAAGGATTAATGAGACGTTGGTCTTTGTTCTCCAACTGGTCCTCACAGCAATGTCTCTGCATCCGAATATGTGTAACAGCAAGGTGTGCCATTTCGACCTTTCACAGCTCATGACATATGCAACCGCGGCACATCAGCCGGTATTCAAAGGAAAGTACAAAGAACAGATCAACGCGCTCTGGCTCCTCTACACAGCCAATTTCTTCAAGTTTCATTTGAAGTCCGCTGGCGAAGGTATCATGGCACATGCTTATTCTAACATGGACGACCATCAATATCCTTCTATGTGGGAAGGAAAGATCAAAGCGGGTACTCAACCATTGCAAAGGTTTTGGAAAGGTGCCCACAGTAAGTTCGGTTCCTACGTCCCTTCTTTACCGATGCTGATCACAAGATAGCGTTCCTGAGCATGCGTGATCTTATCAGTCTCAGAAATGAGAATGGTGATCATGAAAATGAAAACATCTACTCTGACTCACTTGATTCCCATGATCAGATTTTCCAGGTATGTATAATCATGCTACTATATGGTAAAGGTGCTAAGATCAGGGAGGACATGGAAATACTTTTTAGCCAAGAACAGGCTTCCAAGCTATGGAGCAGCAAGTGCGAGGAGGCTCTTCAAAGCGATCCATTTATCAATCCGCGTCCTCGATCTCCCAAGAAGACCAAGAAGTCAGGGAAGGGTGCACCATCATCCAGTAGAACAACCCGCCAAACAGACAAACGCAACGCTCGACCCGACGACGCCAAACATCTTATCAAACCAGAATTTCTCTCCTTTTACGGCGTTGCTCATGATAGCAGAACAGCTTACTTTTATGGTCGCATTCACGCCTTACCACCACAGCAAAATATCCATGGCTTCCAACGCATTGTCTTGAAGAAGTTTTACCTTGATGATTATGGAGAATTCAGCGAGGATGTTTACTACTACGAGGGCTGTGTCTTTCCTGGTGGAAAAGTCATCGCTGGACGATGGTGGAATGCAAATCATGATCCTAGATTGATTGACACCATGTCCGGCCCTTTCCTTTGGTGGGGTGTTGACGAAAGTGCAAGAGCCGAACCGAACGATTCCGAGGCCATTCTTGCATTTGCGGCTCTTCATCACCACTAATCCGCCTTCTTCCTACATCATTCGAAATAGACTACCACATAGACTATCTTCTACATGGGTATTGGGCGTTATTATCATTCGAGGCATGACTGGCAGAGCGGAAGTCATGGTCAACATCGAATTGCGAGTCGCGATTTATTATTTCTTTTTCTACTTTTGGCATAATTACACACAACGCGGGAGTTACAATATTCCACCTCATTCATTATATCCACATAACGGGCCTCATATCGCCGACTTTGCGAAACACATTCATTTTAATTTAGCATATCACCAACATCACACAGTCTTTACCAAGAATTCACCTAGCGATTTCTTTTTTTCTTCGTCATTTCAATAGCGTCCCAATAGAGATTTCATTGTTTTTTGGGGGGGAGCGGTAATTGTTGAGGGTTTCTGGGGCGGAGGCGTAGGAAAACTGGGGGATGGGGATGGGGATGGGGATTGTGATGGAGTGATAGGGCATGGGGTAATGGGAGGGGAAGGGAGGAAATAGGAACAATTTGGTTTAGTGGTTCCGGCTTGGGTTTTGTATGTAGTTAGTTATTAGGGTGAAGCGTGCGATCGCGTTAATCAATGGGAGAGGGTGACTTTCTATACTGAGTACGCTTTGTGAAGTGAGATATAGTGAGTGGGATGTGGTTCATGTGATGATATGTTGCCAATCTGATGAATCTCTCTATTGGGTTGTACTTGAACTAGGACGTTTGTCCATGTCAATAGGCGTTGGGATATAAATTAAGATGACCTGCAAAATCAACTAATGTCAAATTATTTGCAATGCCAAGTTATTTGCCTAAACAAAAAGTGTCGAATTCCAACTCTTTCGTCTCCTCGAGTCGGATAAGTATTATTACCAAAGATGTTCATGATGACCCTTTATCAGATATTCGCATGTGTGACATCGGAAGTGAGATTGGAATATCGTGATTCTAAGCTAGCTCTCAAAGGAGTTGGTCTTTGGAAATCATGGTATTGGGAGAAGGGCTTGTTGTTGAAGGTTGGGGTTCTGGGAAGTTGGGGTTCAGTCTTCTTCACAGCCTCTGGGTGCGGGAGTTGACCAATGTGTATGTCTTCACAAGTACGAGGAACCCATATGTGGGGTAGTAATCGCGCTTTCATGCTATAAAACAGAACTATGCTGCTTTTCTCTCCATTCCATTTGCGCCAGAAATCACGAACCTCGCCATCTACAACTTGCCAACCCCCCAAACTCACATCTAATCCTCGATATTCTTAACACACTCCCACTCCCCCTTCAAATTCTCCTTCCACAAACTAACCCGATTATCGCCCGCCGAAACCGCAAGCACATTCCCGCTCAAACTCCAGCTAACCCTCCACAGCACCACCTCAAATGGCAAGATCTTGCTATTCCACACCCCAGGGTTACTCGGATCGCTCGTCCAAATCCGCACCGTCTTGTCTTGCGACGCAGACGCAATATAACTCTTCTGCAACACCGTCGGGCTCCACGCCACATCACGAACCCAATCCGTATGTCCCTGCAACGGCGCCCCCTCCGCCTTATACGACTGCGACGCCTGATCAAACGCCCAAATCCTCAACACATTATCACTCCCCCCCGTGACAAACCTCCTCATCCCGCCCTGTCCACCCGCCGAACTCACCAAACTCCCAGGCGCCGTACTAGGAGCCCAGCTCACAGAGTTAACTCCAATACCATGCGCCTGGAAGATCTTGTGATCCATACTATTATCCTTGAATTCCAACACGCTGACATTCCCATCGCTGCTCGCGCACGCGAGGAGACAGCCGGATTCGTGCGGCGACCACGAGATGATATTCACGCTTGCGGTGTGCAGGGCGAAATCGAAGATTTTCGTCCATGACGTCCCGGTTTCGCGCCAGATGAAGACTTTACCGTCGTAGCTGGCTGAGGCGAGGATGTTGCCGTATTTCGGGTGCGCCCAGGAGATGGACCAGACGGCGCCTTCGTGTCTGTGGGGTGTTAGATGGGGAGGGTATGTGGGAGGGGGATGGTTACCCTTTGAGGGTTTCGGTGAGACGGTGCGTTTCCCCTTCTACTTCGAAGATCTTTACGGTGCGGTCTGAGGAGCAGGTTGCGAGGCGGCGGCCGTAGTAGTCGAGTACTGCGTCGTGCTACGTGTGTCAATTAGCTTTTGTGTGTTTATTCTTGGGGATGTGGTGTTTGCGACAAGATAGGTGGTGTAAGTGGTATTGGTAGGAGGAAGTGGAAACTTACAATCATGTCATCGTGGCCGCTGTTTGATATAACTTGTGCCATCTTGACTGTTATATCTGTTTGTGTGGTTTGGAGAGGTGGTGAGATGTGGAAAGAACAGTTTGTTCCAGCACTGCTTCGTCAAGTCAAGCTCACTGCCAGCCTGTCGAGAGTTCCTGAATTGGCAGGGGGCGGCCATTTGTTTCTCCTGATCCGTTCTCTGTGGGGGCGCTGGCTCAAGAATTGATGTGGCGTCCCCGAAATCTAGCCGGCTAATGGCGGGGGATTATCACGAGCTGGGGAACCTTCGTCATTGTTAAGCAATTACATCTTGACTTCTGTGCTTCTTCACTTTTGCCTTTCTTAAGCTGAGAGTTGCGTCTATTGACTTCCCAAGCATACAGCTATTATATTTGTACATCTATCCAAACCCTCACTCAATCCAATACAAGAGACACATAGAACTAGCTCTCAAAACAACCTCGGCTGGTCGCAAGCGGTTTCCCGAAATCATACAACTTTTTGTTCCCAGACAATCATTTGTATTGACAAGACGACGACGACGCTCCGAAACATACGCACTCTTTAGAAAGAAACGAACGAACAAGCCCTCAGCCACAAACAATCGGCTTTCAAATCAGCCACAAGAAAGCTCGCGAATCGCCGAATCGCCCTACGAACAAACCCTTAGTACCAACCTAGCTCACACGAACACACACATCGGGAACGATCATAATCTCGATCAATTCGCAGGCACGTCATACCTGGACTGCTAGTTGAATCGCATTATATATAAGACTGAGAAGGAGCGACGCAGCGACGGGACGTCTAAAACTTACATCCAGTTCAGATTTCGCACTCTCGAAGACGACAAACTACACCACAATTGGTTGCGCAAGTTGTAGGGAACAAGTGTCGGTGGTCAAGTGGTTGGGGCAAGACGTGACGAGCAAGCTCAACTGTTGGAATACGCAGGCGAATTATTCAGTACTGACTTTCTCAAGCGGGTACGCGGTAGAGAAGCACAGAAAGTCGAGCCGAAATAGCCCGCGTGAATAGTTCTGGTATCAGTCCAGTATTTACTTTCAAATACACGACCGCTCCTTGCTCTCTGCTTTCGCGCGAGCAAAACAGCTACAAAGATGGCAGACTCTATGTGTGGCCCATCGAACGCCTTGAATACGTTTCAGAAGCATACCTCTATAGATCGTACATTGCAGCAAGATCGTCTGGTCTCAAGGCAATCGCCTTCAAACGTAAGTTGTAGCAAAATTTTCCATGCGATAATGACTAACAGTAAAAGGGTTTCCGTTCTGCGCCGGGTCCGAATGCGAATCTGATTCAACCTGAATTCGAGGCTTTCCAAGCTGGTGTACCATCCTTCGAACAACACACGTTCTCTCCCTCTCCCCAAAATTTTGGCCATGCTCCTCCAAACTTCCAGCAAGCTGGGCCTGCGAATTGGGCTTCTGATTTTCAGCGTATGAATGTCTCGAGTCCTCCTCCCCAGCAAGTACAAGGTTATATCCCATCGCAGCAATCTGGTGGGGCAGGGTGGCATCAAGAGTTTGCTCAGCAGCATGATCAGGCTCAGAGAAATAACCAAGGCCCTGTTCAGGGAATGGGTATGGGTTCTGGACAAGGCTACTACCCACAAGCGTCGGGTTTGAATATTGCTCATCAGCAGTTTGGGGATTTACATTCACAGTTATTATCTCAGTTGCAGTTCTCGCCGCCTCAGCAAGCTCAGCCCGAAGCCTTTGATGAGGCCGCATTTGCCAGGGCCTTTGATGAAGCAGCACAGCTTGAAACTGCTAGCGGAGGCACCGTTGCAGAAGCCACCGTTGCGGAAGCCACCGTTACAGAAGACAGTCTTGCCAAAGAAACTTCTGAATCTGAGTTGGAAAGATTACAACGAAGTCATCATAAAATGTTCGTAGAGCCTAATGATAAGAGACTAGCAGAATCGCGTCTTAGGCAAGCCGAGTATGCTAGACAAATATCTCCACCTATTGGTGCCGATGCCATCCGTCCTCAAAACCAAGGCGAGCCAACTCAACAAGAACAACAAGAAGCACCTGATGACCTAGCCAGAACCGCCGGAAGCCTCCTCCGAAGCGTCCAGCATGATACGAGCGATAAATTTCAAGGAAGTCAGTTCCTAACTCTCATGCGTATGCTTCGCGACAAGGAAGTAGCTGTCCAAGGCGATGACATCGTCGGCACCGGATCTGCTGATGTGGAAGGTGATGCTGAGAGGGCCGTTGGCGATGCCCACGGTGCGAGACCAAGTGACTTCTTGGATATGTGGGATGCTGCACCTCTGCATGCATAGGTCTAGCGCAATCGCAAAAGCTTGTATATTCGATTATGGAACGGCGCATTGGAACTGGGTAATTGGAGTTGTGGTTGGGTCACGGTTCAACCACTGCGTATTTGAAGCCGACCATGGTTGTATTACACTATGATTGCATCACTGATTAAGCGGCAGTTGAGCTGCTGGCTTCTTCTGAATAGATTAAATATTCGTTACTTTGTTGATCATGACCCGTGAGCGTACTGAATTTGTCATCTGGAAGTAAGGCCAAATTCTTGAGGCCTCCTCGCTCAGCAACTTACCTAATAAGATGTATATCTCTCCATATATTTTCGCTCCAGTGCTCTTCCATAAAGCGTCCAAAGACGCACTTCGGCTATGATGAGGTCAAGTACCGTAAACCATCCCGCTTCCGCTTCAATTTTTCGAGCTTAATGAGAAAACTGATGAAAATGTGAAAAGCCCAAACACTTCCCCTTAGGGCCTTGGACCGCTCCCTCACGGCCTCATATTTAAGCATACATTCGACTAGAATTTCCAATCTCAAATCCAAGTGGAGGAGAGGTCTTCGACCTAAGCTGTGTGCTCTGTGGTCATTTGGTGTGGGTATTGAAGTCAGACAAAGTTTCATGTCGAGGTACTATTTGATTCACTTCATCAGCTCCGTTTTGAGTGTTGGCTTTGCGGATTGTGGGATGAGGGTGAAGTTGGAATCGGTGATAGGTATTCTTTCGGCAGCAGGCTCGAGTTCGAACTTTGATATGTGTTTCAAAAACTTCAGCAACCTATCTGATGACAGCTTCAAGACACATTACACCTCTTCTTCCTTCCAAGTAGCGACTTTATGTTGTTGAATCGGCTGCTTTGAGGTACTCTCCGAATGATGACCGGATGTTCTTGCGCGTTCTTCTTGATAAGTATCTGTGAGAAGAAGGATTGAATTTAAGGAATTTTTGACTGGAAATGGGGTAAGTTGGGGTTATTGCTTGGTTGCGTGGTCTCGGCTTTTGAGGTGTTGGTTTTATGGTTGGAAAGTTATTTGAAGGAAATTTAAGTCATAGGATAAGATCTAGTGTCTAGAGAGTTTGCAGATTTAGTTTTGAGAATGCACATAGCCCTTTTGTCAGTTTTTGATAGGCTGTGATGGCATGTGTGTAGGAGGGGAAGAAAGTCTTAGGTAAGTCATATTGTCCTAAACCTTAAGTCCAAAAAATGGAAGAAAACTAGATTTGGATACGACTATTTTTATTAATTAACTTCCCTCTTAGAACACACTCGAATCATTTCCTTATGAGAAACCCCTTTCAGTTCATAATTGACAATGTACTAACCCCTATAGGAAGACTATAAATTTGGACCCACAAACCTCCAATACAATCTCAAACCGATCGAGATCCATCCTGAAGCATGTGATGTAGTCCGGTCCTTAAGCTCTGTAACATGTACCTCATTCAACCTTAGGTTTTCAATTACCTGAAAATGAAAATATCGTCTCACTCGTACAGTCAAGTGAAGAATTTCTTTCTGGCACATGGTTTAGAATCGGTGGCAGACTTACTTTCGGCAGCGAATAGAGCTCTGTAACATCTAGTTCACTGTACTCCTCGATTGGGCAGTTGGTCTTCACTGTTCCACTGACTTTACTTTCAATAGAATCCTCTGGGCCTCTTTCGACCCTTTCCTTTACAATCGTCTAATATAAAGACAATTCTCCATCGATTGTAAAAATACCGCTGGCTGAGCTATGGCTTTCAGCATGCAGGCGAGAAAGTAGATTTTAAGGAGAGATTTCCAGGACCAGCAGCTACTGGACACGGTGATAAATCTCAAATTGCAGTTCTGTTTTAGATGTAGTACTCTAGTGATCGAGCGATTGTATTACAATTCTCTGTTTCTATATGGTACAAAGATAGCGATTAAATTTCGCCCACTAGCCATGTCTTGATGATAAACTGTGTAGGTTGCATAAATGGTTACCTTCGGAATTTCTTTGAAGATCAAATATACGGGTTAGGACTGTGAAGTTACTATGTCCACTTTTGGTATTTGGTATTTGGATGCTTTTTACACATAAAAATAGTAGTCTTCTAGGCAGACTGCTGTTGGTGTTATATTCATCAAACTATCATACCGAGACTGTACATCCATTAAGGATTTTTTAGAAAGTCTATGAAATATTTTCTTATCTTCCAAATGTCATATTGGCTTTCCAACATAGTACTTTCATCAACAGCCTAGGACAAACACGTTGCTTAACAGATAGTAACACACTAAATCTGCTTACAAGATTTGCTGGAATTAACTTCAATTACATTTTGATTACAACCTATAATGAATTAGCTTCAAATACCTTTTATACAACATTATCGCGTAAGATAGCCTCGAGACATAACAGACAAGTATACAGACCAAGAGCTGATATCCCTTTGTGCTGTGGGTCGTTAATTAAACAAGATAGCCCTAGTAATGTTTCCTAGAGTTTGCTTTGAAGTTTTGTTGTATGTACGAGTTTGAATTCGACTAACTACATATTTCCTATGTGATCTTTCCCAATTTGAAAGTTTTCGGTAGCAATTTATCTTTCGGCAGCAAACATACATTGCCCCTAAGAACGTGATTTACGATCTGCCGAATGAATTGTGCCAGTAGTTGCATACAAAAGTATGTGGAGAAGGAATCTGTATTTTCAGGATGACATTGGGTATGAACACACAGAGCGACAACTAAGTAAAAAACTTTTGAAAAACTAACTGTCTAAGGGGAAAAGACTAACAATAAGTTTACTATTAGTCTATCTTATAAGTGTGCTTCCCTCTTGTGGAAATCAGTTTTAAATGAGTTCTATAAGAAGTAATATTTAGTAGCTTTTTTAATGTATGTAAACACAACTGAAAGTCTAAAATGAAAAGCTTGTACCTTCTTATTTACTCCTCACCAAAAGTTCGCTATCTTGCACTTTACGAACAATTTTCACTTTAATTAGTAAAAAGGCAGGAAATGTATCCTTAAAGCTACTGTCGCTATCTAACAGCTAGACTATAGGTGACAGCCTCAGGAAAAAGAGTAACGGGAAGTGCAACCTCCTAGAAGTTCTATTCGTTAACCAATAATAGACTACAAGCCCAAATGATATCAACATATAATGTTTCTGTGAATGTGTACAAGAGTCCTTGACTTTCATTTCATGAAGTAAAGTAAGAGAAACGGTAACAAGGAAACTTTCGGCAGCAAAATCAGAGGTCTGAAATCCTTACATATAATCTCGGATAAATGTGTAATAGTTTGGTTTTTCAATTGCAATCATTGATTATTTCTGATAAGCAATTAGAGTTTCAAAGTCTTCGCGTGTGCCTTTATCATACCTCCACATTATCCCCCATCTGCATAGCAATAATCTTGTTTTACTTTATTAAATTGTTAGGAGATATTTATAAGCCCTTTTGTCAAAGCTTTTCTCCACTGCTTAACTGAACTAACAAATAACTAATTCTGTCAGTCGAGTTATTCTATTTAGAAACCCAGCTATTTCTGTCCAGTAATGAACTTTTGAAATCCTCTGTGCGATCATAACTAAGAATTGTTGCTTTCACTTACAATCAGAAATCGTCTTGTAGAAGCTGAAACTAACATTTACATCAACACTATGAAATTTCTTCAGTCAACACATAAAGCTTACTCGAGCCTCTCCTTCTATTCTCACAACATCAAGATTGGAAACAGAGAATGCCTCTAGAACGGATATACTTCCGCCGTCATCAACATCTCAGATTCGCGAGATACAACGCTCCGCCCACGAAAATAATTTCAGAAGCCACAACATAAAAAAGTATCTTGTAATAGCTTATCTAGTTTAATTGACAAAACAAAACCAAGCTGGTCTCCCTAAACTTGGTCCAGAGGCGGATCCCAAATCTATGATAAACCCCGATAGAGGAACGTTCTGGAGGCTCCCACAAGTCATGGAAATAACATCTATTTTCCGTCTTTACCTGTATTAAAAACAGGGCGTAAAACTCCACAAGTTTGTAGAATCGGCAACAGCAAAATATTCGGCAACAAAGTCGAACTTTCATTTCTCAAACCAAAAACTTGCTCTAAGCCCCCGGACGCCGTCTTCTTTTCACGTCCAAATTTCATCCCCTTGAAAGATATTATCCAAACAGATAAAGTCTGAATCAACTCTCATGCAAATCATAGAGACTTCCGTGATTATTGTTTGTGGTTAGGCATGATTTTGTGGAGAGGGATGTGGCATATATATGTGACTTTGTTTGTTAGATAGAAGTAGATAGCTGAGTTTCGAAAGGTAGGAAGGAAAATTTCAGATATTAATTGCTCAGGCTGACATTCTTTTCACTCTTCTGATGCTATTGATAACAATTAATTCCATACATTTCGCAACTCACCAGACTGCGCTGGCGACTTAACCACCCTTACCAACACTTTCCATTTCCAATTCCAGCCTTGAATTTTGAATTTCGAAATTCAAGATCTCGAACCTACATGTCCCCGATATCTCCGCTCTCACCTCTTAAATTCTTCTAACACGCCAACAAGACCTTTCTACAAACAAAGGTCCAATCGAGGATATAAGCGTGTGAGATGCGAAGTATCAGCCACTAACAACAGCAAGATCGCCAAAACAAACTCAGAGGGCACAAGCTTCCGACTTATTCGTTGGCAATTTTTCAAAGGTTATCTAGATATTCTCAAGTATCAGGGGTTTGAAAATCGGTGGTAACCAGAGCTTCGACAGCAAAAACACGCTTCTCACACTTCCCAAGATTGCTACGAGTACAGGGAGCTGAAACCAAGGTTAAAATTTAATCACTACTCTGCCAGGAAATTCCCTTGAATCATGATATGTGCATCTGTAGCGGCAGTCTCGACAAAGGAGTGACGTCTTGTAGCTTGAACCATTGATATCTGTGACTGAAGCTTGAAGGTTCTGGTGTTGGTTTTTATAGTATTGCTGTCGAGTTTTTAGATGGTTGTGAATGAGGAGTCTAGAGGGTACTATGTTATAAGAATATCTGGCAGAAGAGTCAGGAGACGCTTTGTTTACAGAAAGAAAGTTTTCAGAAAGGGACCTGTCACTGAAGACCAAACTGGAGAATATGGCACGGGAAAAGATGTACACAGAAGTATCAATGAGTCGTATTTAGAAGGTGTATTTCCCCCGCTCCTTAAAACAGATAACACCACGAATCTTCTAAAGCCATAAGCTGAAGTTCACCTGTCGTAAATCATAACTATCCATCCATTGCGCCCGAATCCCTCAAAATGAAAGCAAAGGTATTGCAGATTCGCTTCCAGACACGCAATCAAAAAACAACCCCCTAAAACCCCTCACCCACCCTCTCAAACTCCCTCGCCATCGTCATAGTCGGCAAATCCCTCCGAATCGGATCCTGTTCACCACACCTTACCAACCGAAAAATAAAAAACTTCCCAGCCCCCGACTTCCTCGTCTGTTCCACATATCCCGTCACTCTATACAACCCATCATATCTAAACCCCTTTCTGGGCGCACCGCTCCACTTCCCCGTATCCTTGCGTATAACCCTGACAGGATTCCTCGTATTAATACTCGCCAGGAGATTTTCGCGGCCGGCACTACTCGCGTTAACCGTCTCATTGGCGGCGCGATTCGCAGAGGCGTCGGAGTACCAGATCTCGTCGCCGGTGTCTTTGTCATCGTCGTAACCGGTTGAGATGAGAATGCTGTAGGCGCCGTTGGAACCACCGTGAATGCCGGCTTGCATGTGTCCGTGGACGCCGTCACGGAGACAGGTTATTTGGAGAGGCCAGCAGGTGCCGATGGCGATGCCGTTGTGACCGTATACTTTGGGGGATTTAGAGGTGAAGGCTGGGTCGATGCGGTAGGATGTGCGGCCTGTGCCTGTGGTGGTTACTTTACGGATTTTCAAGATGTGGTGCATAATGCCTGCATCGCCCCAGATGGGGTCGTTTGGTGAGGGCTTAAAGGTGCGAACGCTGCCTAGAGTTGCTGTTTGGTTATTGGAAGATGATCTTGCAGTAGTTGTTCGGGGTGATGGAGGTGGTGGTGCAGGTGCTCCCCAGTTGATAGCTTCAAAATCATCAAATAACGAAGTAGCGATTCTCTGATAATGTTCCGGAAAATTATGTTCTGGCTTCTTGATAGCTTTCAAGATACCGAAAACATGTGTAGCTTCTCTACATCCATATCAGCAACAATTATTCACACAATATAGGAGAATCACTTACTTGACCTCCGGCGTCATTTCCACATTCGCCCATGTATAAAGACTTAGCACCAACCTCGACCACTCACTGTCATCCACCCTAGCCGCAGAACCCGATCTTTTCATTTTCAAAGCCATGAATGAGATCGCTCTCATGTTCTCAGCATTAGCTTGAAACGTAGACAAATTGTCAAGATAAGGTGCAGCGAGTCTTGCAATTTCAGCTTGAAGCTCAGTAACTTCGGGTTTGACTTCATCAAGAATCTCCTCCTTCACCTCAAAATTCGACTCATCGGTATTTCCCATGATGACCTCGTTGTTTTGAAGGACTCTGTTGACGATCAGTAATCTTTATGTTTGAATTATTGCAAATAAGTACTTACGCCATCTCATTCATATTCATCTCACCCCGCGTCGGCGAATTCAATGTATCAACGCGTGAAAATTCGCTTGTCGGAGCGGACGATCGAGGGTTTGTTCGTCTGGGACTGTTCGACGCGCTTGCGGCGTTTGTAGCGCTGTGAATTGACGCGTTGCCTGCAGCATCATGTACGTAAGGCATCTTAAAACTTTGTTGGAGCCAAGATGCAGCTTATTGTTGAGTTTCGAGTCAATGTTGATTTGTTTGTTTACACAAGGAAGGTGCGATGTTCGTTTGCAAAGGTGAGGTCGAGGACAATGTTTGCTACCCCCTGTATGTCTTGGCGGTGACTCTTCTACCCGAGACTTGGGGTGAGTAAGTGATAGATTAGAAGAAGAGTAGATGTAGCGAATACACCCTGTACGATGGATCCCGGATTCGACAAAGTTGTCTCTCAGAAATCGAAACAATAAATGACTGCCTCTTTAGAAAGTTTATGCCAATCCATCAACGTAGTGTATAATGTCAATCCCTAAGTGGCAAAGAATCTTCTAGTAATTCATCTAGCGATAACGGTTACTAATAACTTTACTCTTCTTAGAATCTAACTTGCGTAACTGCAAAACACTATATAATAAGTTAATTATAAGAAAAGCTCCTGTAACAGCTTTTAAAGTAGAGTGTATCGTTCGTGTAAATCGTTCTAGGTAGCAAATGTAATAAGTCGTTATCTCCAATTATATCTCGAGCGATATTGATTATATATTTAGACAGTCGTAATGTGAAATAGTCTTCTCTATCGCAAAGATAGGTATAATGCTCTTACGGAGTTGTGAAAAGACACCGATGTCGTAATTTCGATTAACTGTTCATGTATGTAAAATGCGATTGTGGCAGTCGTCTAAGACGAATTTATAAAAAATGAATTCGTCCTAATAACGATTAAATAGAAGTTGAGGCAATACTAAACTAATCTGGCGGGGGCGAATAGCTCTTATATACTTTGCAAATTAGCCACCCTACTCTAAAGTAAGCTAGCCACGTCACAAAGTCCTTACCCCATGCTAGTCCCCACTCTAGCGAGCGCCTTATATATATAGAGTCGTATTAGAGATCCTATAAAGGAAGGTAAATCGCCTTAAGATAAGAAGCCCAACTTAGCCTGATAACAGTAGCAAATAATATTAATAATAGTAATCTCTAAATTTTATTTATAGTATCTTCCGCAGATATCCTACTCTACCTCTATATAACATCCTAGTCTTACCCCTCTATATACATATACACTCCACCCCGTCTAATGATAACAAAACACTTTTCAAATAAAAATGACATAATGAATAAAATAAGAGAACGATGGTGGTATCTGAAAACAAAAATCTCGTGATAAAATGCGCGCGATCCGCTTAGCGACGGTTAAAGTTCAAGTATCTTGACTGTAGAAAGAATTAGTATAGACTCGGAGGATAAGCAGGACGGAGAGAACTTACACCTAGGAACAAGAAGATCAAATTACTGGCAATGAACGCTGCAAAAATGCCCAGATCCCTCCATCTGTTATCGAAACTGAGCTCAAGAGCGTTGTAAAACTCGTCACCGATCTTGTACGCGCAGTATTGGCATGAGCTGGTGGCATTATCAACCAGATAACCAGGTCCCCCATTGGCGAAGAAATTAGTCATGTATTCGCCGCAAGTTTGTCCCGCAGGAGCGGTGAAGGGGTTGAGTTCGGAGGATGTGCACTTCACGGGAAGATCGTGAAGTTCGGTGACAACCATACCACTGATGAGTCTAGTGAACGGTACAAGCTGGTACAGCCATGAGCGCCAGAACTTTGGCATCTGTGGTTTGGGAACTGTGACACCACAGAAGAGGGCGAAGGTAATGATGATGAAGGGGTTAAGGAGAGCGCTGATAAATGGCGATGGGGTAATGGCGGCAACCATCTGTCCAAGAGTGACCGAGAACAGTTCGGTGATAAGAACCATGAAGAACTGGTAACCGGCACGAGAAGACTCGCTTGATAATCCAGGCATGTAATAGATTGGAAGGAAGAATCCGACAGCGCAAAGGATAGAGTACGGCATCTCAGCGACAACCAAGGACGAAGCGAATGCGAATTGACCGTACATCTTCGAAGAGCTCTCACGGTAGAAGATCATACGAGACAAGGCATACTTTGGCTCGACTTGTGCTAGAATAAGTGCTGGAAGAACAGTCACCTGGAAAATGACGAAAACTCGATATTGTAGTGATGCTCTGGAATCGTTCAGGTTCAAGTATGCAAGACCAGTGATGAGAGCGATAATGACATGATTGAACAGTCGAGTGAAACCATAGTTGGGAGATCTCCAGAAAGACAAGTTGGTTCGTTTCTGGACAATCTTAAGTTGGTGCATAAGAGGGGTAGCGTATTCTTTCTCGTCAACCTTAACATCTCCACCAACCTCGGAAAGTCTCTGCTGCTTCATCTCTGAGATTCGCTCTTTGATATTGGCCAACTCGGGAGAATCAGCGAAGATTTCTGCCCAGTCACGATTTCCCACACGTGGGGCCTGTCCGGCTCCTATGGCATCAAGCATGTACTCGGCAGGATTTGCGTCAGGAGGACAATCGGCTCCGTGCTTGCGAAGGTATGCCAACAAGACATTAGCATCTTGACCAATATCACCAAAGTAGACAGTTTGACCTCCACGTTGAAGGAGCAACAAGCGGTCGAAGTTCTCAAACAAAGCAGCGTTAGGTTGATGAATAGTGCAAAGAATAGCTTGACCAGCGTTGGCGAGTTTTTTCAAGAACCGTACAATGTTGAAAGCAGATTGAGAGTCGAGACCTGAAGTAGGCTCATCGAGGAAGAGAAGAAGTTCTGGCTTTGCGGCAAGCTCAACACCAATGGTAACACGCTTTCGTTGTTCGACAGCGAGACCTGATTCGGGATCACCGATGATAGCATCAGCCATATCCTCCATTTCCAACAAGCCAAGAACCTCCTCGACATAAGCGTACTTCTCGGATTGGGGAACCTCGATGGGTTGGCGAAGATCGGCTGAGAATCTAAGGGCTTCTCGAACAGTTGTGGTAGGCTCGTGTACATCAAGTTGTTCTGCATAACTTGTTTGTCTTTGAAAAGAGGTTCCAGGGGCGATTCCATCAACGAGAATATCTCCAGAAATGACACCAATATTCTTTCGAGCGGCCAAAACATCTAGAAGTGTGGTTTTACCAGCACCCGACGCTCCCATCAATGCGGTAAGCTCTCCTGGCCTAACATATCCATAGATATTGTTGAGCAAACGAAGTTGACCTGCTGGAGTTGGGACGTCGTAGTTCAGTCCCTCCCATGTCAAGACAGCTTTGGAGTTGAGGTTGATTTCGGAACCTTCAGCCTCGCCTTTTTGTCCTCGGCGAGCATCCCTCTTAGCGACAAGTGCGGCGTTGAGCTCGTCACGTTCCTTATTTGGCTTCTGAAAGACCTTGGCAGCATTACCACCAGCACCAAATGTCAACCATTCTCCCAAGGTCGCGTTTGAGATCAAGAATGCAACAATCAAGGCAACAATAATACCAAAATTTCTCCATAAGTCCGATGGGCTATAAGAGAATCCTTGCGTAATGTATGCGGAGCCGCTAACAATATCTGTACCAGGAACACTACCTGGTAAAGTGCAAACCTGATGGTTGATGTCGGTGTATCCAGGACCAGATGGAATTAGAGAATCAGGGCCGCATCGCAAATCGATTCGACTAAATTCGTTCTCCATCAAAGCAGAGAATCCCAGACCCAAAGCATTGATCAAATAGATCCAACGAATCCACACTTTCTCGGATTGATATTGAATGATATAACCGGAAGTGATGACGAAGAATGTAATGATAGTAGCGGCAAACTTGATGGCATAATCGAAATCGGGGCACAAACACCCAACTGTTCGGAAGAATAGAGTCATGGCGAGATAGCCACATACAATAACAATGTAAAACGTGAAGAAGGCGCCTGCATCGCGGACAAGGCCGCACATGAAGTATACCATGATTGAGAAAACCATGATCTGAACCGCCGAGAAAGCAACATCAACAAGGATTTGCGCAATCCATAACGCTGAGGGGCGATGAAACGCGTATGCTTTGTGTTTGTTGACAATAGGACGGCCGAGCATAGTACTCGCCAATTCTGCAAAAGCCGTGAAAGCGTTGAAAAGGAGGGAAATGAATAGAAGACCACCACGAGTGAAAGCACCAGCTGAGGTTTGGGGTAGGTCAAGCCAGACAGTTCCGAGGACAATGGCGATAGTGATACTGGTAATCCAGGAAACAACGAGCGAGAATTTATCTTGCCACTTAATCAAGTATTGTCGCTGCATCAAAGCCCAAATTTGGAGGTAGTATGGAACGTTGTAGACCGATTTGCTTGAAGTGTACTTACGTTTGTTGTCATGTACCGCAACTTTAAAGTCCTCAATTCGTTGCTGATCCGCTGCAATGGAAGCTCGGTAATCGTTCATCTCATTGCTCAAAAGTGTAGAAAACTTCGACTCCTTAAAGGCCTGAGCAAGTGACTCGGGTGAATTTGGAGCATTCTCAGCGGAGCGTCCTGGAGCATAATCACGTTCGAACTCATCAGTACAGCCAGTGAGGTAGTCGGGAGTCGTTTGTCGTGGTTTCTCCTTAAATCCAAGTCCCTCAAAGTAGGCTCTAGCTTCCGTTGTTGGCCCAAAATATACCTGCTTCCCAGAATCGATAACCAGAACCTTGTCGAATTGTTTGTAGATATTCTCACTCGCCTGGTACAATGATACGAAAGTGGTCGTCTTGTAGATATTCGTCATTACTCTCAGCGATTTGGCGTAATCCAAAGCCGTAGAAGCGTCCAATCCTCTGGTCGAATTATCCCATGCGCAAACTGTGCCACTCGTGACCATCATTTCCGCAATTGAGACTCGCTTTCGCTCTCCTCCTGAGACTCCTCTGACAAAAGGATTGCCTACAACCGTGTTCCTGGTATGCTCGATATTGAACATTTTAAGCAGAGTCGTGATGACTTGCTCCTTGAAATCAGCCTTGGACATGCCATGTGGTCGTTTGCCAGGTGTTTTGGTATCGAGCGCAAAGTTCAAGGTCTGTCCGACAGTGAGAGTAGGATGATGCACATCGTCTTCCTGATTGTACACTGCCTCTCCACGATAATGCTTTGCGAACTCGGTTGCATCGAATGGACCGTATAGAACTTCCCCATCGACGCCTGTATACCCAAATCTCTGGTTGGCAATCACCTTGAGGAATGTTGTACATCCACTACCAGGCCGTCCAAGGACCAGGACCATCTCTCCAGGTTTGGTTACACCCCTGAAGTCATCCAATATCTTGACCTGTTTTCCCTTCTTCCCCACCCCAAATATCATCATCGCCGTCTCGACAACATTGAAAAAGCTGATAAACGCGTCTGGGAACTATTTAGCAATATTAGCATGTTTCTCATATGGAGCAACCGGATTTGCCTACAGTTTTAACGAAATTGGTAACTCCTCCAACACCAGATACTGTGAGGCCATCCCAAATCACACCAATGTGTTTTGATCGTATGCCGGATTCCTGTTCTGCGGCATGCGCGCCATGCAGAGTCTCTTCAAGGTCAAAGCGGTCCCCCTCGGTAGAATCTGATGATGTCGCATGTTCAATATCCTTTTCATCCAAGTTGCCTTTGGCTTTCGACTGTCTCGATTGTGTCCTGGAAAGTTTGCGGCTGGTCTGACTGATCCCAGACAAATGACGTTGGAGTTCTGCAAATTGCGCCTCGGCTCCAGCTACATCAACCCCCCCAGTTGGATTGCTGAAACCATTGGGATTGTTCTGTCGCGCAGCTTCTCGCTGGGTTTCTATATTGGCCGCGGTATCGATCGAGGCTCGGTTCGTGCTGGTCGCTGTTGTACCTGTCGAGGGTCCTCCTATGAATTCGTCGAGGACTTTAGGCTCGTGGGAGGCTGCTGGCAGAGACATTGAAACGCAGGTGGCGTTCTCGCCTGTCAGCCTTAAGAGCTCTATGTCTTACAGGCGTTCCTATTGGGACTCAGTATGCGACAGGAGTAAGAACCTCGTACCAGCGTCCGAAGGGACAGGAAGGGAAGAAGTAAAGAGATTAAAATTATAAGTGAATTAAGAGAAACCGAGAAAATACTGGGTCGAAGTCATAGAGTATTTATTTGGCAACGCTCAAGCACGCCCACGCCCTAGCCAACGGCGCCCTGCCTGTCAAGAAGTTTCGGCTTCGGCACCATGGTTTTTCCACTACCGTAACCTGACAGATCAAAAGCGGTCCGGCGAAAAGACGGCAGAGTCAATGAAATGAGTTTACTCGTAGCCTATAGTGGGGTATAGCAGGGGCATTCACAGTCGGAAGCTCCATTTCTCTGGATCCGAACGATCTTCGACGGATGTGACCACGAGGTTAACGGATTTAAGCATGGCTCACCCCTCTACCGAATACAAGACAACAACACTCCAATCAAAAGAATCCCACTCATGCCCCTTTCCTGAGTCATTGCGGTTTGCTTTGGTCTAAGATATGACACTTTAGAGCACGGTGTAGGGTCAATGGAGTAGCGGGGTAAGCACCGATACACAACAATATATCAAAAGAAAACAACTCGACATGACAGTCAGAATGACTAGGACTGCGCAAGACCTTTGGCAATGAAGAAAACCAAACCACTCATATCGAGTCAGAATGAGTAAGAGAATTGAAAAGTAGACGGATAAAGAAGCGCAATACCAAGACTCGAGAAACTCGTTCTGTGTCACCGCCACGCAAGAGCCATGGCAGCTTAGAAATCGAGAGTGGATAGTCTAAAATTGCGCTTGCTCCCTTAAGTATTCTCCATATCTCCCAGAAACCGCTAGTATTCCGGGTGTCCACAAAATCGCACGAAAGTGATCTAGCCATTCTCGCTTCTCGCAACGCAGATTGGGTAGGTTTGGATGCCAGCCTGTTAACATCATGAGCGTTTTTTGAACCGATTCGGCGGTCCAATTGAGGATCTACTTCGAACTACAATATATTGCTGATGATATACGGAGTCTGAGGCTCATTAAAGCCGAATCAAAACAACATCGTACTCGAATTCGACCGCACTGTCTGGTGATCTTGTGAGTCGAGGCACAGAAATGTACTGCTTTCATTGCTAATTCTCCTTGATCCTCATCAATTGAGCCGTCTCAAGGCTTTCGGATGAGTTCCTCCAGTACAATTCATTTCATGGCTCCTCAATCCGTATCGCTCTATCTTGCTAATAGCTCATAACTTATAGTTCATACTCCCGGAATAGATAGCGTGCAATTTGAGGCGGTAGGATGATTACTCACCGCGCTGAATTTTGGCAGCCTGGAGACTGCTTATTTGTCTGACAGGAGAAAGATTCGAACGGTGCCGGAGATTCGGATTAACTTCAATTGCGAAAGGTTTTTATGTGCTCGATAAGGTGCTTATACCCTCTTCTCAATTATCAATGGCGCTTTACTTCGAAGTATTCACCACTTCCATCGATCTCGCATTCCGCCTCTTCATCACCATCATCATCTTCTTCCTCAGTATCCTCTCCATCTTCGTCCTCGTCGTCGTCTTCCTCGTTATCTTCATCCTCGTCTCCAGTTTCTCCTTCATCGTCGTCTTCATTTTCGTTATTATCGTTGTCGTCCGAGATAGATTGGTCTATAGCCTCGCAGAAGTCATCCCACAACGCAGATATTGATGTATATCCGTCTCGCGTAGTCACGAATACACCGGCTAGGTCGTGATCTGTAAGGTTGCTCACAAGATCCTCTTGCAGATCACTATCTCCTGTAAAATTGTGAATCAGGTAAACCGATTTGTTCTGTATTTTTTCGGGTATCCTGCTCAATTGAGTCGAGTTGAATGCTGCCCAAGTATTTTCATAGATAATGATCTCATCTGCCAATTTGAACCAAGACTCATCGACGTTGACCCCAGGGTTGTATACAACTTTGTTGCGACTGGGTGGCAGTAAAGCTTTTGCGAAAGCTGTCACGCCTGCCATGTAAGATATGTTTTCTGTGGTGTTCGCTGAAGGTGCCTCATCAAAAAAGATACCTGAAACTCGAATGTTGGCAGTGGTGTAGTTCGTCCACGACGCATAGGATTTTATCTCCTCTTGCACAGTTGTAATGTTCCGCGTAGCCCAGGTCGTGGATACATATCCCAGCGTTTGTACATTGGTATAGTTGTTGAGTATCTGAAGGTGTGTAACATAGTTGATGTCTGGAACGACATTCGCAAGATTTGGAGCGACGACAACTTGGAAATTAACACCCGGATGCAACGCAATTGACTTCGCGACGCTATCCCAAGAGGTATTATAAGGATAAAGATATAGTGGAAGAAAAACAGCTGTTGGGTTCACCATCTTGTCGGTCGCTGGACTGTGATGTGTGAAGTATGCTAACACTGGTAATGTTGACCACAACATACCATCGAACAAGGAGGGCGTACAGCATGACTTACCTTGTTAAGAAACATTTGGTAAATACGACACGAATTTGATTCGGCTCCTGTCAGGTCCGCGCGTCCAAATAAAATCTTCTTCATCGTACTTAGGCTGAGTCGTAGATTGAATTTTGGCCATCTAGCTGGCTCGGGATTTGTAGATAGATGAGTGGCTGAAAAATTGGGTTGGCGATGGTAAAATTCCATGCAGAAGATTCTCGTCTCTCGACTGCCGACAATTGTTGAATTATGTAGTGCTGCTGTTTCACATATAATGATGGACGATAGAACGGTGATGATTCGTAAACAACGAAGGGTGGTGATATGGCATCCGGCACGTGACTTATGCTCGTGGTCTGTGCGCTGGTTCTTTCTCATCGTTCGCGTTGAGCTTCCAGGTTCGTCGACTGGTCAAAACACAAGCCACGCAACACATTGTCAAATGATTAACAATATCTTCGCGTTGAGGTATGCAATCTCTCGGATCCGCCACGAGGTTTAACGTCTTTTCTCGAGTAACGTTCCTCATATAAAGGATCTACGGTTACACCTACATCTGCATAGCAACAGGTAAGGCAAAGACAGTGGGGAATAATGGGACCGGATAAACCTATCCAGGTATTTGCAGCAATGAACGATGCCCTCGACGGCCAACTTCATTCTAGCTGCGGGTTTGGCTATCCAATTCAGAATTTCACGGTTTTGATAAGTATCTTCAATGCCGTCACGGTAAGTCAAATTCATTGTCAGCTATTTGACCTCGTCATTGCCAGTTGAAAAGTTTGGCGGTTCTTGTCTTTACTTCATTCGAATCATTTCGAAATTCTTCTGGCTACAATAATAATGTCTACAATCTATCAGAGATGGGCTCTTGCGGCTATGTCGATCCTGCCCCAAGCCTATGGCTCCGTGTTGTCTCCAACACCACCAATGGTAAGTACATTGTTTCGTAAGTCTTAGTGATCGTTTCTAACTTCATCAGGGCTTCAACAATTGGGCAGCACTTATGTGTGGTTTGAATGAATCCATTTTCGTTGATACTGCACGAACAATGGCCAGTAGTGGATTGCTAGCTGCCGGTTATAATCGCCTCAATTTAGATGATTGCTGGAGTACTATGGAAAGAGCTCATAATGGTTCTATGCTCTGGGATAGTGAGAAGTTTCCGAGAGGCCTTCCTTGGTTGACTAGCTTTTTGAAGAGCCTTGGTTTCATCCCCGGAATATACACAGACGCTGGCATTAAGAGTTGCGGTGGATATCCTGGAGCATTTGGGTATGAAGAAATTGATGCGAAAGACTTTTCTAACTGGGGATTCGAGTATCTCAAGATGGACGGCTGTAATATGCCTACGGGAACTGAGGCAGAATACAAAAAAGTCTATGGCAAATGGCACAGTATTCTGAGCAAAATGCCAAAACCGATGGTTTTCTCGGAATCTGCGCCTGCTTACTTTGCAGAAGCCGCCAATCTCACAGATTGGTATGCAGTAATGGAATGGGTACCTGAGTATGGTCAACTTGCGAGACACTCCCGGGACACTCTGGTGTTCAATTCAACGCTTTATTGGCCAGACATTACCGGATGGGATAGCATTTTATTCAACTATGGACAAGAAGTTCGTCTAGCGAGATTTCAGAAGCCGGGCTACTACAATGATCCCGACTTTCTCAATGTTGACCATTTCGATTTGTCATTGGAAGAGAAAAAGTCTCACTTTGCTATTTGGTCATCATTCTCTGCGCCTCTTATAATCAGTGCGAACGTCACTCGCTTGACCAAGGAAGAAATCGCTTACCTCACCAACAAAGATATCATTGCAGTGGACCAAGATCCCTTGGTACAACAGGCTACACTGGTCAGCCAGGACACTAATTGGGATGTACTAACTAAAAGCCTTGCCAATGGTGATCGCCTCGTCACAATCATCAACAAGGGAAACTCAACTGCGACTCACAGCGTTCCATTAGAGAGAATTGGTCTAGTGGAGAAGAATTTGGTCAAGGTCAAGGATCTGTGGACTAGCAAAACTTCTATTGCAATCAAGAAAGTGGCGGCCACAAACATACCGTCCCACGGAACCGCCATATTACGCATCTCAGCAGCAGAACACTCTCTGGGTAAAGTAATTCCAACCGGCAAGATTTTCAACACTTTCTCACTCGGCACATTGACCGCGACGTCGAGAAGCAAGCTTAGCTGGGCGAGCTCATCCGGTACAGATGGTCAGGTTTGGCAAACTCGGGATGACCAAACAATTAGGCCTCTTTCTGATACCAACCAATGCCTCACGGAATCAGGTAATGGAGAAATCACTTTGAGGGAGTGCAACAAGAGAAGAGGTGGACAACAGTGGGACTACTTGTACTCTGGCAATGTGCAAAGCATTGCTACTCAGAAATGTTTGACAGAGTCTACTGGGGGGACCGTTACTGCTGAGAAGTGTTTGTATTTGGACAATACCCAAGTGATTGCTCTGCCAGGTGGTGTTGATATTGTCAAGAAATAGGAGGGAAAGATTGATGTTGACTTCGAAATGCAAAAGTCTAGCAAAACTATCAGAATAAAATTTCTTCTCTAAACTTGTTAGTAATCTGCTGGAAATTTAGTGAATCTTCTTGAGGCCTGTTAATCTAACTTTGTCTATACGACTCCCTGGAGCCTAGAAGTAGGTACTTCATGGGTGCTGTCCATCACAACACTCATATCAATTAGTATCACTGTCCGTGTTCTGTAAGAAGGCAATCCAGGTGTTACACCACTTATCATGACTATCTTCCACTCTTTATTCGTATTCAAATCACACCCTCTCCCTTTACACGCCCTGCATACTTTCGGCATCATATTACGAACACGTGATACTCCTCGTCAAATTACCCCACCTTCCACGCCTCCATTTCTCCCGCTCGCCTCATCTCGACATTAACCAAATATCCACTACCACTTCTCCACATCTGTCATACGAGAATATGTGTACGTACGCCTAGGTTAGCGCTACGTTGCATGCAGATAGCAGCTGTGTAACATCACTGAAAAAGAGGAGAAACAGCTCCATTCTGTCGAGCTGGAAAGTCACGTCACGTAGTTTGGCGATTCACCTATTTCCTGTAACTGGCGAATTCGACCGTAATGATTGTTGTTCTTAAAGAGTGAGGTGTTACTTGAGAAATCTGATACAACACATTCAATTCCTCTCAAGTCTCAAGCAAAACGCACAACTCAAAATGTCAACAACTACAACCACTACCACGAATACCTCAAAATCGGACCTTCTCGCCTCACTAAACCGCGATGGCTGCATTCTCATTCCTTCTCTCCTAACCTCAGAGCAACTATCCACTCTCCGCAAAGCAACTAAAGAAATTGACACCCTAGCACGAGCAGGAAAATGGCCTCACGTCCGTACCCTTCCCAAACAATTCCCCCCTTGGACTACAGCTCCCGGCGCCAATCCAGCAGAACAAGGGATCTGGGGGGTCCAATTCCTAATGCATCCATCACTACCACATTCCCAAACCTTCATCCAGAATTACTTCTCTAATCCGATTGTGGAAGTGGTGAAGGAATTACTGGAATGTGAAGATGAGGAGTTAGTGTTGGAGTTATTCAATCTGCTAGTGAGACCAGACAGAGATTTCGAGTTGGTCTGGCATCGCGATGATGTTCCCTGGAGTATAAATGGGAAGGAAGAGGAAGAACGCCTTGGTGTTGGACAAGAGGGGAGAGCATGGCACGCACAATGGAATCTCGCACTTTACGACGATGATTCCTTGATCGTGATACCAGCATCTCACAAGCGCTCCAAGACAGAACGAGAGCAGAACGCAGATCCCCATGAACTCGGACTCCCTGGAGAGATCAGAGTGCAGATGAAAGCTGGAGATGTAGTGTTTTATGATAATAATATCTTGCATCGCGGGAAGTATGATTCGGGGAAGGAGAGGGCGACGCTGCATGGGAGTATGGGGAGGACGGGGGGAAATAAGGATAGAGCGAGAAATGTGTTGCAGCATGGGATTGGGGAGTGGGTTGGGGATATTGATTTGAGCGGGTTGAAGGGGGCGGAGAAGGAGAGGGCTGAAGGAATGAGGGAGAGATTGAAAGCTATGGGTGGCCATAGTGGGGAGTATTCTTTGGAAGGGTGAAGAATTCTTGATATAGATGAAATTACATAATGATCATATTAGAAACTCATGGGATTAAGGTAGATAATTTACCGCGTGAATCATATGGCCAGTCCCGAACGGATGGCAGTGGATGCTTCTGATGCATAGCAAAACGGAAGTCTCCAAGCGATGTGATAACGTGTGACTTCTCTTCCACAAGCGACACTTCAACCATCATAGCACCCTATGATCCTCTCTCCGTACTCCCATCCGAGTTATCGCCGAATTTTTCATTGAGAATGAACTGAGATTCCTCGAATCATGCGATGGGCAACGACTTTATCCCCGAATGGGCAAACCCCGACAGCTACTCCATTGGCGCGTTTAGCAACTTAACTCCGCATCGTGACGTTCGTAGTCAGCTTATTGCTCAGTAGGTAATCTAAAGGAATCGGGTTGTTGGGAAAGCGTCGAAGAAGTTGAGTGACGCGATAGTAATTCCATGGATTTTAGAATACAATGGAGGTGGACTCATCAGAATATCAATCTGAGCTTTGGGAGTCGTACAGAGAGAGGGGGGTTTAAATACTTCGATTGTCTCTCGAATGATCGAAGAAAAAGGTACAAATCATTCAAACACCTCCAGCAAAACAAAATGGTCAACGTCCTCATAATCGGAGCCACAGGCTACATAGGCCAAGCAATCTGCTCCTCCCTCATCCGCAGCGGCGACCACCGTGTCTTCGGGCTAGCAAGAACTCCTGCCAAGGCCAAAGAACTCGGAAAAGAAGAAGTAATTCCAATCCTAGGCTCTATTGCTGAGAACGCCGAACTCCTAAAAACCATCGACGCCGAGCACATCAACATCGTAGTCGACGCCGCCGGTGCGAATCAAGAATCACATGTTCTCCTCGAGGCTCTGAAGAAAATCGGCGCTGCTCGACTAGAAGCTGCGTCAAAATCTGGGATCACAATCCCTAAACTTGGATTTATCTATTGTTCTGGAACGTGGTTGCATGGAATTTCGAACAAGCCAGTTAATGACTTGATTCCTGTTGCAGCATTTAATTCTCCAAATGCCCCGGCGGAACTTACATCTTGGAGACCAGCGCTGGAGAATGCAATTCTGGCTGCGCGAGATGTGCTTGATGTTATCATTATCAGACCGGCACTAGTTTATGGAAGGTCTGGTGCTATTTGGTCGGCATTTTTTAACCCAATACTTGAGGCCGTAAAGAAGGATACAGATTCTGTGGCGATACCGTTGGATGCGAATAGCCGACCAGGTCTTGTACATGTTGATGATGTAGCTTCTGGGTTCCATGCTGCGGTTGAAAAGCTCCCGTTGATTTCTGGAACAGGCGTGTATCCTATCTTTGATCTGGTTACCAGTCAGGAAAGCATGAGAGATATCATCGAGTTTGCAGCCAAGGAGTTGGGATATAAGGGGAAAGTCGAGCTTGTCGGACCTGGTGAAGACTTATTTGCTAAAGCCATGTCTACGAGTATGAACGGAAGTTCTGGGAGGGCTAAGCAGCTTCTGGGTTGGGAACCCAAGAGAGTCAGTGGGTTCGTTCAGGGTATGGATGCTTTTGCGAAAGCTTTCATGGCTGCTTCTTAGATTCGAAGGTCTAATTCGAGAGAGGATTGATGATATTCTTGAGCTGGTGTATTTCGTTAAAATGAAATCCGCAAGGAAGTTTCGTTTTCTCATGACTCCGATGTGATTAATCACTATTGGTTGCACCGGCTGAAGATTTTTGTTTTAAAACATCTGCTTATGTTTACTTGTGTTATTGTTAGTTATCCAGTAAATAAAAGAAGATTATAGGCTTCTGCGAGGATATGAATATCTTACCTATGTTTTTCTAGTGATGAGAAGAGCCTATTTGGTGTTAACAAAATTAATTCCTCACTGAAGCTCGTGACACGGGCATGGAGCGTGTTACCAACTGACAACCAACACCATCACGTCACACACCCGCTGATTGTCAATGATGATCCATCAGATTAGAAACCATCACCACTCCGATTGCTTTCAACTCTCCAAAGATGGCCTTACCAATTAGACATTCAATGGGGTAGGTGGTATTCGTTCGATGATTGAAGAGGTCTATTTTGCTCCCTTTTCAGATTCCATGAACCCCTTTGGTATTCCGCGAGTGAGTTTTATGCAAGTTGCTGATAGCTGACAAAAAGAAGGAAGCGTCTCAGCGAGGGTGTGGAAGAGATCGATACTCAAAATGCGTCTGTCGGTGTCGAGGTCTCGACACATGGAACCCGCGCCGAAGGTTCTGCACGCAGAGCTTCAGATTCCGAAGAAGGGCTGGGCCACTCTATCCCTAAAAGCGTTGTCGAAGTTGAACCAGGAATCGGCAAAACGAAAACTATTCCTACGCAGTTTAACGGTGTGGTGGACAAGGACAGTACCCACGAAGCTGCAATTATAACGATGTCCGCTCAGGCTAAGACTCGGACTGGAACTGGGCCTGAGACTGAGACCCAGGCTTCTGAACGCAGAGATCGAGTATATGATGACCTCGGATATTTCGTTAGTCCCAGGGAGACTAACAACAAGGATGAAAACGATAAGACTGAGCAGTTTCTAAAGAGAGCCTTGTTGGCGTTACTGTGCTTGGTCCACTGATATATCACGAAGTGCTGCAACACTGGATGGTCTATAACAGTGAGTCTTGTCCTAGAAGAGTCGTCTTCTCAATACCACGCCAGTGTAGTTCAAGAAAATCATCCACTTACCTCGAGTAGTGACAGCCGCTCAGATTGAGGAGGTCAAAAAATATCCTGGAGTGGAATTTGTTGATAAGGATATTGCCTATGAACCTTCGGGCTTCTGAACCAACCCCAGCACAACACTTATCTGGGGCATCCATTTGGAGATTTGACCTTATCATTCGGCTGGAGAGAATCTCTGTATCTACCCTGAGTGCACGGGAATGGGAGGTCTTCAGGCTCATGGAGCTACGGAAGCTGGCAAGATTGATGTTCTCTGTTGTGAAGTCGACATGTTTCGTGGTTCCGATAACAGTATAGTTTTGAAGGGCGCTATTACGTCTAGTGTCGAGACCTGAGCACGTAGTCGCATATAGTTTGATATGAAGACGGAAATACTGTTGCGGCTAGAATGAAACGTGTAAAAGAAAGAGAAGAAGTCGAGACGTGAGGAAGTGACCGGAGATTACCGGGTACATCGGCCCGAACCCGAACCGTGACATTCACTAACATCTTCGCGTCGCGATCTGCTTTCCAGCTTCAACTACCCGAGACAAATCAGCAATGTGCAGTCCGCAGCCGCTTGTCTCAAGGTCAATTCAATTTTAATGAGCTTACAAGGACGAGCAGGACAGTCGTTCAACAGTCTCCCCCCGCTGTGGTTTTTGAGTCAACATTTTACCGGATAAAGAGATACTGTGTAAGGTTATCCTTTACATGAACGAAGCTCTTCAATCCTTTTCAGAAGTCAAGAGTAACTTGTTCACCGTTTGTTCCAAACCAGCGTGATAAACAGTCACTCAACTTGGGATTCTATTTCGCAAGGTGTTCAAACCAGCGCGTTCCTCAACCGCGCCTGAGATTTGAAATTGAGTTTGAGAGAGGCCCCCACATATGATCGAGTAATTTTATCTTTAAAAATAGGATATTTCGTGTCCTCATCCAGTAACTTTCAGGTATTTCATTGTTGTACGGTATAAATTGTCATTTCTCATAGTTACTGTCTCCACCAATGGCGCAAACCCAACATTCCACCAACGTTGGGTCACCAGCGAAACGGCAACTTCCAACATACTTCTACAGCTACAATTCTCGACGTGTAGCTTGGTCTACATCCATTTTTATTACAGCGATGAACAAATTCGAGGAAATAGTCGAAGGATCTGAGCCAGAGTAGGTAACAACAAGAAGCCTCTTGGAACTGAACAATATACCAATACTAGCCTCTAGAGCAGCAACCCAACAAGCGTTTACCAAACGCAGAGATCCGGCAGACGATGATCTTGGATACTTCGTCGCCCCGAAAGACCCGGATAATAGAGATGAGACCGACAAAATAGAAGAGTTCCTTCAACAGCTTACTGGCGTCACCGTATTTCCTACCACGATATACAGAGGTGTCTTTCAGTTCTGGATGGTCTATAACAGTGAGTGATATTTGCACTTTGTGTAAAATTCTCTCGTTAATTACAGCTTGTCATCTTCAATGTCAGTTGACTAACTTTTCATAGTGACAGCCGCACAGGTTGAGGAGGTCAGGAAGTATCCTGGTATTGGATCCGTAGATCAGGACATCGCATACAAGCCGTCCAAAAATCTAATGCAATTCTGATGCTACGATAACCCCCTCCACTCCCTTATCGGCAGCAACATCGCCTGGTGCTAAAGCAACGAGAGCGGATAGTTACACCACACAGTTGAAAGCAGTCACAAAGCTACTTTCAGTCAGTCAGCCAAGATCTGTCAATGCCACATTCTGTTGCAGCATTTATTATTTATATGATGTTTCCCGAGCTACGGCGCGAGAATTCAGATGGCTTGGCAGTTGTTTAATAGTAGTTGTTTGGTCAGTATACAAACCATGAATAAGTACGATGCCGTTAAACGTCGGTCAGCTTTCTCGCGAACAAGATCATCTGAGCTCATAATTACACTAACACTGCAGATCAACATGGGTTTTCTAATTACCCCGGATAAGTCGAAGTCAGTTGTACACGTGACAATATGCACACTCGTTCATTCACATTCTAGAAGCCATTCTAAAGATTGATCAGTCAACATGGCAACGCGTAGGCTTTGATTTGTTTTTAAACAATTGAGCAAGTACTTCGATGGATTGAAACGTTGCACATTCTCGGCCATACTAATTGCTGCACTAACGTCATCTGGCCGAAAAAAGTTAAAGTTTGGAGGGGGTTGCCCGATGCAACTTCCCCAGACATGTCACTCAGCGGGGTTCTGGCATGGATAGGCACATTCTAAGGAGGGGTAGCTTGCGCTTGTACCTGAACCACAAGCATCATCCGATGATTATATATTTATGGCAGTTCTAGAAAGAAACTATTCTAACGTTTCTACTTCTTCCTTCTTCCCTTTTGTTGTCGCTGCTCTGTCACGATGAAGTGCGTTTCATTGCCGTTGCTGGTGATTGCCTCTAGTCTATACGAGTCAGCACGGTCACAATGTCCAGATTACTCTCAATATTCTCAGCAGGTTCATCAACCACTGAGTACTGGCCGGTATCAGCTTTCATACATGAGGCCGTCGCCGGAATGTCGAACTTTCAACTCTTCTGTAGTGGAGGACACTATAACAAGTATGAAGTCCGTCATCAAGGATCCAGATTTATATCGAATTTTCGAGAACTCGTTCCCAAACACACTGGACACTGCTGTCAAATGGAGAGGGGTTGCAGCCAACAATTCAGCTGAAGAGCTTACCTTCTTGATCACAGGAGATATAAATGCCATGTGGTTGCGAGATTCGGCAAATCAAATGCAATCGTACCTCCCACTGGTGAAAGCGAATACATCGACAAACTCACTTGCATCTTTATATCGTGGTGTGATCAATCTCCAAGCGCGGTACATCTTAGAAGCTCCGTTCTGCAACTCCTTCCAACCGCCTGTTGAATCAGGAATTGGTCCCTCTCAGAACCAGCAAACACCCGACGAGTTTACCCCACCGGTATCAACGAAGATTGCTTTCGAATGTAAATATGAACTAGATTCTCTCGCAGCATTCTTGGAGATATCGACAAACTATTATGAGGCAACTGGGGACATTGAATTTTTCAGAAAATTCCAATGGGTGTCTGCGATCAACGCCATTATTTCGACAACCGAGAGTTTACTCATTGGAACATATGCTGCGAATGGTAGTGTGAATACTATTCCATACACGTGGGAACGTCAGACTACTTCTGCAACCGAAACTTTGGACAACGGTGGGAGAGGAAACCCGGTGCAGGATGGTACTGGGTTGATCCGGTCTGCTTTCCGGCCAAGTGATGATTCGTAAGTTTTTCATGCTTTTCTATTGTATTTAGCTGATCTTGAGTGCCAGAACCATCTATCAACTTTTCATACCAGCCAACATGATGTTCGCACGCTATCTTGATTCTGCTTCAGAAATCATGGCCAAGATTGGAAATCAAAGAAATACAGCAAATCACATGCACAACTTTGCTGGCAGAATCCGAGCTGCAATCACTCAATATGGCATCGTAACGCACCCGAAGTATGGACAGATTTATGCTTTTGAAGTTGATGGATATGGGTCTCGTAAGTCTGATAAGCTTGACTGTGGAAAACTGACTGCTAAGCAAGATCAGAAAACATCATGGACGACGCAAACATCCCCTCCCTCCTCTCCGCCCCCTTCTTCGGCTATCTCAACGTCTCAGACCCCGTCTACCAAAACACGCGCAAACTAATCCTCTCCAAAGACAACCCCTATTTCATGCGTGGCCCCGTCATCAACGCCGTCGGCGGTCCTCATGCCGGTCTCGGTCAGGCATGGCCAATGGCATCTATCATCCGCATTTTCACGTCCTCGTCGACCTCGGAAATTCAGACTGCGCTAAAGGAGATTGTGAGTTCGACGGATGGATTGGGGTTGATTCATGAGAGTGTTAATAGTTTTGATGCGCATAAGTGGACGAGACAGTGGTTTAGTTGGGCGAATGGGCTGCTTGGGCAGTGTTTGTTGGATTTGCAGGAGAGGGGGTTAGGTGGGGTGCTGGCTGCTAGTTATCAGTGAGACGACACTTGAGGTTGTTACTAGCTGATTTGTAAGATCACAGTTATTTCTCCAACGTTAAATACCGGTGTTTGTATGCAGAATCAGTAAGGTAGAGAATTTTGAGAAAGTGACTCTAGCTGATCTCTTCTCAACGAAATGACCAACACAACGTTGGTAAAAAGCCCTTCAACAAAGACACTTATCTTAAAGTGTCCAATTAGAGACACTAGCAAGCGAGCTACACTAGGTCATGATGGGAACTAGCCAAGAGAAAAATCAAATGTCATACAATTCGAATTTCCAATCTAACCTCGAGGCGAGAATCGACTATCTACTCAGATAAATGATCCTTTAGCTTCGGGTAAGTAGATCAGTTTTAGGAGAGAAAAGGGGTGACTTGTAGCGAAAGTCCTTTGATCGAGGTTCTAATTTTAAAGAAAAGAGCACATGGAGTCAAAGATAAGACCATGGAAGTATATGAGAATAAAGTGTTTGTCTACTTAGGGGAACAAATTAACGAGATGTTCTTGGGAATGTGAGTGAAGGAGTGGAGTGTTTGTTGCCGAATCTAGTGTTGCTGCCGAATTCACTATAGCAAGTATTTAAAACTTAAAAGAACGTGTTCTTAATTAGAAACATACTTTTGATTCTAAGATGCCAGTAAGGGAACTTAAAGAATAACGATTGAGGTTTAATTTTGTTTATTCTGCGACGGATATGTTTTCAGCTCGATGAAAAGTAGCGTATTTACAATCAATAAATTTTGAGAAACAGTTGGTTTTATAACACTCTTGCTATTGTGTACAACTAAATTTATTTTTGATAGTTAAAGGAATTCACTGCTCAGGTAGAACATGTCCAAATAAATACCATCCACTCCTAGCAGTCTTTTGGACAAGTTCAAGAGTGCATTTATGTAAATAACGTTTGATTTCCTAAAGTTCCGTCAAGAACACTACCAGTTCCATATCAGATTATGTATAAGATAACGGAAATTTCATTAATTACTACTTAATCCTTCCTTCAGCTAAAACGTAAACGGATTTACTATTCACATTTTGGTACTATTGAGGATGTTATATTCCCAGAACATACTTCCAATCTATCAGATGATGAACATAGATTTGTAATGAAATACTAAACGACTTTCGGGTTTCTATTGGACAACTTGACTGCAACTTGACTGAAGACTTTACAATTGTCCTCCACTGAAGTTGGTTATAGTGCCAAATCTCAAATTAGTCATGCAATTCTATCCAAAACCCGCTTTCCAGTGATACCTCACCTTCTTCTTCTCGACGGACCCCCAAGACTGAGCTTGCTTGTAATTTGATGAACTACGTGATTTAATTTTTTTGGATTCTAGTGTCCAGTTCCATAATTTCTCAATATTAAAAAGATACAGCTGACACACCCTAATTTACTAGTTGTAAATTTTTGCGTCCTCTTAGACGAATGTCCTAAGGGTTACTTTTGAGTTTCTCGGGTTTTTTCTACTTCGTACTTGGATGTGAGCTTTTAAGAGAAGTAACTATGTAAAAAGAGAAATAGGCTTGTGACCGAGTGCATGATCGTTTTATCATCAAACGAGATGTTTCCCACTTTGAAATTTAGCGGAGAGAGTTGATCTAACACGTAGTATTGTTATCAAATAGCAATCTCTATTGCCACTAAGCTCTCCCAACCTATTGTTCAACCCTTCTATTCCATCTCCCGTCACTCTACACCAAAACCCCATAAAGCCATTTCTCACAAAAACATCATACTTCAAGTTTAACCTCAGAATTCTACCTCAGCCTCAAACTTTTCAAGAATAAAACACCAACCCCGACCTTTTCCAAAATTTCATGCAAGAAGGCTATATAAGTCCTTCGATTAGATACTAGCAACGCCATTCAAATCGCAAGTTTTATCCTTATAATGGTTTTCGGGTATGAGTGGTATCAGTTAGGGGAATAGACATGATTGCGGTAAAAGTGAAGGCATACAGATCCTGTGGATCTGTGTTTAGGTAGAGACTGAGGTGAATAAATCTTCGACTGCTATATATAAATAAACAACTAAAAAGTTATCTGCTGCCGAAACCTTCAGTGTCACCGATTCCCACCTCCTCACTTTAATTTCCCAATTTCCCAATCCAACATCCTATCCCTCCCTCTCCCTCTCACTCTCCTCCCAAAACCATCCTACCCACAATAAAACCACTCAAACGACTGCCCGCTTCAACAAATCTCACACTCCACATACTTGCGAAATTAAGCGAGTATGTCTGCCGATTTGAAGAGCCGTGTGTGTAGTATTTAAGCAACAGTCCCATGTAAATAGTAATTTTTTACTTCTCAAGTTCTCACTAGATAACTATCTAAGAAATAAGAGCTTATTATTAATATCAATTGCAGAGCTATTTTAAACATTATCAAAGAGAATAAGCCGGATTATATTTACTAAAAGAATAATTGTAGTTAAGTTCTCAAAACTTAATACCTACAATTCCAAATTCTAAGAAAATCAAACTATCGTACCGAGTTTCACTACTCCCACAAATACACCTACACCAACCATCCCACCAAAATAATTCCTACCGCGTATCCCCTTCGTGAAAAATACCATGGCCTACAAACAAGACCAACCCAAAAACCAACCAACAACCCTCCATCCCCAGTATTCTCCCTCAATTCCCTTACTCCCTGCTCCCCTCCAGACCAGCTATAACATCCCACTAGACACTAGCACAAACACTCTTCATCATTCGACTTCGAAATGACGCCGTAACCGCTGTCTCGTGTCGGCGCGAAGTTGATACCCAGTAATAACGGTCTCAGTACAAGTCCAGACGTGCAGTTTCGATTATCAGATAACTAAAGTAGAGGAACAACATTCTAGGCTTTCCATACGAATCAACCCCCCAAAAGAATAATCTACCGCCAAAATAAAACTCACCACCGATGTCACACACCCCATTTTCAAAATGCCCAGTTTTCAATTCCCATTTCCCCCTTCCACCCACCCCAGCACAGGTGCGCCCTCGCCCCAAAAACCATCTTGTTGAGATACCGCTACGCTTCTAACAACAACTTGCTCGTTCACACGTCTAACCATCCATTTCAACATCTTGATCCTCGGGATCACACATCTCTCCCACTTCCCCGAAATTTATCTTACCAGCCTAACAAGTGCCCGCTTCAACGAATCTGATCTCGGGTTGGGAAAATCCTGTAGTATTTTGTGCATAGAGTCGTGGTCGTGGTACCATGACGAGTTATAAGGGAGTTGTGCTGGAAGGGAGTTGTGGGACGGAGTTGGAAAGAGGAGAAGATTGAGGCAGATCTCTAGAGTCTCAGAGTTATCACAGGGGATTGCAATGAAGCTTCTTTTCACCTAGGCTCATCTTGAGTTTGTAAATAAAGGGAAGAAAGTGAAAGGCAAGCGTGAAGGAGGAGTTGCATGGACTCTAGGTTTTGGGACGAGAAAGCATCCAATAGAATGTAATAAACTTTCGAGATTCTGACTATGTTTCAGATGTTTGAATGTTTCTCTCAAGGGAAGAATGAACAAGAATAAGAGTCAATGAATCTAAATTGGAAGAAATGTTTGACGAGAAGAATTGCAAGATGAAAATTAGATATTGCAGACTTGAATGGGAGAAAAGACAGGCGAATTCTGTATTCACCTTCGGAATGTATTGCTCTTGAAGACAGCAACCTTCCCCAAAACTTACTACTATATACTCCTCTAAAATTCGACTCCAAAACACGTAAGGCAAAACTCAAGAACACCACAAAGACCAACTACTCGCTTCTCTTAAACCTCTCCTACTCACCTTCCAAACCCAAAAACCAACACCAAACGGAAATCACCACAAACAGAAATCCAAAAATCGTGAACACAACACTCTATCCTAGCTCAAAAATACTCAAACACAGCATGACCCGACCCGAATCCTGACTCGGCAACCGTACCACCACCTGTCCGTATCACCACTCAATCTCGAGTACGAGGGACCTTACATACGTCCAGCGACACAACCGGGAGGCGGGAGCAGGATAAATTGACGGGAAGAGACTTCTTGACACTTACATAATGCTGTGAAGGATGCGGTGTATGGATGTGGAGTATTGAAATGTATGTATGTATGAAAATAACTTCACTCATCCCATTTGGAGATGAGGCTGAGAACATCAAGCTGAAAAGATAGGGATACGGGAGGGGATGTCTCGAACGACCAGTCTGTCTTCCACACGTGGGGAGGTGGTGCAATGGCAGATTGTGTTACATTCATTCAAGAATCTATAGCAACTTCGGAAGTTGGATGACGGTTGATTCATGTGGGTAGTTGTTTCCTCGAGCCGCAGGAGAACTTTTGTTCTATTCTCACCGTGCGAGGACATAAGAGAACTCCAAATCCTATTGCCGAGACGGGATACTCGGATTGGAAGTCGCTTTCCTGGTCACCCATATTATTATCTTGACGATAATAATAAAGAGACACGCACGTTTCCGAATTTCTCATCTAACACCCGAATCTCGTGCTTGTCACTTGACACCTGCCAGGAAGAACAACTGCAATCCGAATTGTAAAATGACAACAAATCAATAATGCTCTGGCTCAACGGGGAATATCAAGACATAACACGTGATGCTGATCGCCTGCCATGTCCCAAAAAGGAAGTCGACGACGTTTCGAAACGAGCTGAAAAAACAGACGCCATCCAAAGAGAAGCTCCAACGACGAAATGAAGATAGGAGAATTATTCTCTACAGAAACGCGAGAAGGTATGCAAATGTAACTCTGCAAGTTGGCATAATTTCCTTCATGATCTCGAGCCTCCTCTTCACCTATTCAACAGGCCATATTCCAACACTCGAAGCACTTAATTCTGTACCTCGGTGCAGCTCACCTATACTATACGTACCGGGGCATTTCCAAAAATAAGATGATGTCTCGACGCCACTGCCTTACCCCAACCTTGTCGCTCCATCTTGCGTGCTGTCAAAGACACGGGCGTTGCCATTGGTGGTTATAAGATGCACGCGTTAGCTCGGAATGGAAATATGCGGGAGGCGCTTTCTCTTGAAATTGAGATCCAGAGGTTCGAGACTGTCGTCATATCAGAAGAGTGGTGGTTGCAGACGACGGGAGAGGAAACCCGGGTTTTGGAATCTCGTGTGCGCTTGTCGTCCGTAAATACCACACTACTCGCTGCGATGTAACAACAGCACGATAGCTTGGGAGGAGGTTGAAGATGAAGAAAATGTTGTAGCTTCTGTACATCGTCTCGTAATCTTTTCGTGGAGATGAACAAATCGAGAAGTGTAAGATACTTGCTCGGACCCAAGGGTCGTTCCCCGTGTAACCAGTTACCCCGACCATTGTTGTTCGGATTGTTGTCCGTCTTTGTTTTCTGCACCGAAAAAGCTTAATAAGTCGTGTCAAGCTCGTGAACTCCGGGCCTCCAATTGGGTGCACAAACGCGTCTTCCCACACGCGACCCGAGTCCATCAACACAAATAAATTGCTTCCCCTCACGCGAATCCATGCTGCTTAGCACGATACCACCAGAAGATCGGTGGTGATCGGATTATAGGCGCGCCCTGCAAGGTAAATCTCATGCCGCAACCCTGGATCCGATCATCAGAAATGCCATGTCAATAAATTCAGAAATCTTGTTATTTGAGGGGAGACATGTCCGTATCTGGAGATTGATGCTTTTCTTTTGAGCGGGTTGCAAGGCCTAGGAGCTGAGTTGTCAAAATCGGAGTTGATACCAGATGGGCGGGAATTGAGAAATGGAGGCCACATCCATGCATGGAGGACATCCTTCACCTCGCCTTCACCGTCACGCCAATTCATGTCATCTTGTTTCGCGGTGATATTACCCCTCATGTTGCTATTACTTCTTCGTCAAAGCTTCTTGACCGTTGGCGAATAGACTGTACCAGATCTCGGAAGATTACTTGTGGAGGTCAGAGCGACTCCAGCGAGAGACACCGAATGAGAAACCGAACAACACGTTTCTCTCTTCAATTCATACTTCGTAATCATTCATAAGCCGAAAGCTGAAAGATAACAGTGGCGTCGTAATCTTCCATACCGAAGCTGCTTCCTGGTCATCTTTCCTTATTACCATTTCGCTATGCGGCAAGGAGCAGGGAAACTTGCATTAGACGTTTGGAGAGTGACCGTCTCATCCGCGTGATTGGGCCATGCAAAGACATATCCGCCCGAGCGACAACAATGTTGGGGTCTTCGGACGGAGACCTGCCTCGTGAATGAGAAAAATAAACAAAGAGCGTGCGAGTCGAAATGACAACACTCGTTTGCTGGTGACAGTCTTGACAGTCTCTTGACTTGGTGGCAACAATTTGTGCCGCGATAGACCATGTAGAAACTCAATCTAGGCTTTAAAACCCTCGCCAATTTTGATCGTCCATGACTAAATGGGAAAAAGAAAATAATCTCAGGGTTCTGGATGAGAATTGAGTGGATTGTAAACTGATATTCACGGAGGGGTGACCAGTAAGAGAATGAATTTGAAAGGACTTGCATAGAAGCAGTCTAATTGAAGTTATCGAAACCTTATTGTTGGAACTGTGCCGTTTGCAGGCTATCATATGTGTCGTTTGTAGGCGAGTCGCCGTCACTTTATATGTACAAATGACGAAAAGCTGCAATGCCGCAAAGGCTGCTCAAACGTGAAGCAATTCCTTGCTTATTTCTTCGCTTCGACTATGTTTGAAACAGAATGCAGTTTCCGTATGACTGTATCATCAATCAGAGTTTTCGCATCGGAGTGTAACGCCCCGCGACTAGCTGAGTTGAATCCACGCCGTCGGCACCACAATCACTGATTCTGATTTATCGTTTGGACCCTTCAACAGCCTACCTACTAGAACCCGGACTTAGTAAGTTGTTTTGCGGATATGGCCTGGCGGGAACCAGAACTGGTGACACGGCAGCTGGCGATATTGGTGGTGGTAGTGAGAAAGCTAATGAGAAGGGTCGCTGTCACAACAGCACGCGGGACGCTGTGATCTAGGTGAAAGCGCTGGGTAACATGGAGACGCTGCCCAGGTGGCATTTTTGGTTACTTATGTCGTCGTCAATCAATTCTTGTTCTCGTACCTGCGTTGTTGCAGCTTGCAGGTTGGCAAATTCGAGTTTGCTTGTCCAGTGGAATCTGTCAAGTCAATTCCGCTGGCGGCTACTGAAGTCCGGATGAGCTGTGCAATGTATGATACCGTGTCTGTACAGTGACAAACCCGCTTGTTTTTCTGGCCGTATGCAGAGTAAACGCCTTTTTGGATGGCAAATGGGGAGAGCGTAGAAAGGTGGCCAGGCTGTAGGATCATAAGATGTCTCTCGCTGGAGAGAGATACGTACAAGGTCCCCTCTTCTTACGGAGGTACAGGTGCTCGCTAGCTGTATTGTACCTAGGTACATTGGCGTATATCCTCATTTGAGTGACCTAAGTATTTAGTACTGCTAAGATGTTAACCACTTACCATTTTTGCCGTTCTCCCACGTGTGTTATCAGTATAGTTGAAGTCTTGCGGCTATCCTTCCTCTTCTCAGCACAGCTAGTCGAAGCCGTCGCCTTTGCTTCTCTCAGCTCATACGAGGCGGGCAACCCAGTCGCGGGTTTGCATCATCTGCAGCTCCTTTTGGTCTCACCTCATCGGATGGTGGAGGAGACTTGAGCAGCAGCGGCGGAGAGCAGGAGCAGCCAGCAGATCGCCAACAGCGTCGCCGAGACAGACATCTGATAGAACAAAACGAGAGCAAATCTCTGTACCGTCGCAGGTAGTTCCTTGTAGTGCAGTCGCTGGCGTCGCTGGCGCGTGGGAACGAAGCGCTTTTACCGTTTTCCGTTTGGCGTTGAGTTGGTAGGTAATTTCTCAGTCGGCTGCTGCTGCTGCTGCTTGCTGTTTGGGTGCCAGCCCCAGCGGAGGTCGGGTGGAGAGGTCGACCAGACCTGACATCCCTTGCGCCAGCAAAGGGCTCCTGGCACCGCCAGTAGGTGTTTAGACAGGGTGCTGTAGCCATACAAAGGCCTTCGAGCCGCACCAGACTGCGACCACCGTCCGTCAAACCAACCAGTTCTGCCATCTGGGAGACTCCTCCGTCTTCGCGTGCTGCCCGTAATTCTTGCGAAGCCGTCTTCCTTGTGCGAGTAGTGTCGTGCCTTGGTTTGGTGCAGAGTTGGCGCAGACTAAGTCGCAGTTGGAAGCAGAAGCTTCGTGCTCGCAGCGCCGCAGTGCCTCTAGTCGGCCCACTCTTCTTACAGCCAAGTCCCCCTCGGTCCACCAATTGCAGCGTGGTCTCGCGCTTGCGCTTGTCGCCCTCACAGCAACCGGCAGAAACGTCCCTTCCAGTGCCAGTCAGTCAGTGCCTGTGCCTGTGCCCAATTCCAATTCCCCTCATCCTCTTCCAGACCCAACCAGCGACCTTCTTCCTCTTCCATCTCCAAAATATACTCATCATTTGGATTTGGAGATCCAACCTCAGTCGCGCTGGCCGACCACCACACTCATTTCTGGAGCCCGGCGAGGCCTTTTGGTAAAGCTTCGAGAGCGCCGTTTACGTTCAGACGGCCGTCGACCACCTTCATTTCTACAGCTGGACGAGGGCTTTTGGGAAAGATCCGAGAACGACGTTTACGATTATTAACGATCTGGGGCCGCCATAGCATGCGTACGCGAAATGCTCCTCTAAATGCCACACCTAACAATTCCCAACTCAAGATTAACGGCCGGGCAGAGAACAAGCGTCTTCCAATCTACGAGATGATGGGAAGTGGAGCTTTCTCGGAAGGGCACGACATGATCGTGGAGGAGGAGGAGGAGGTCATGTCAACACCACTGAAGGGCCCTCCCCTGACGAAGACAACGACAGACGATGGGCACCAGACCCCTGTTCGTCCAAGCACAACAGAATCTGCATTTTTGTCTTCTCCGCCGAGTTTTTGCCTGGCCACGAAAGAATTCAGTCGGAGCTCCCTCGACGACGAAGAGGAGGATGAGGATTGGGGCATGGATTGGACGCAGGACGACGATAACACGGATGCGGACACACAGCTGTCACCGCCCACGAGCTCGCTCAATTCGCGTCGGGTTAGCTCCAGTTTTAGAGCGGCTCTGGCAGAAGTGACAAACTCAAACGGGAATTCACCTTCGAGTTTCGAACGGCCCAAGAGCAATCTTTTCGACTGGTCAGAACCGCTGTCCGCAGAAAAACTCGACTCAATGGGTAACTCGCCGAGACCAAAAACAGCACATGTCAAGCATATGACGGATGGGAGAGGCGGACGTGCAGTGATCAGAAGGAATCATGTTCGGAGCCAGAGTGTGCCTGTGGTGCCCGATATGGCACGCCAGCGCGATCAGTCGAAATTAACGCCCAAGTTCGGTACCTGGGGACTGGGAGCAAAAGGAGTGAGTGAAGACTGGGATAACGATTTTGATTTCGACAACGGCGACGTAGACGAGGAACAAGATGTTCCGTTGGAGAACAGCGGGATGCTTATCCCACAAACAATCCAGGCGAGTCAGGCAAGTGTGGTAGGCCATGTTGGACAGATCCGCGAGGTATGTTTGTTAGTAGAGGATCTGAAGCGGTTACGGCTGCTCGCAAAAGAGAAGGGTTTATTAAATGGCGTATCGGCGCCGCTATGGAAAGAAGCTGAAGGTATCATTGCCCTCGCAGCTCCAGATGAAGAAGAACAACCATTATCAATACCAGATTCACCGTCAGCAATCGAATTTAATCTAGAGACGTCGGACGACAAGCCATATGAAATACCAGAGGACGAAGGGGGACCTCCAAACCAGAAGAGGGCACTGGAAGAGTCGAACGGCAACGGACGGCCAGGTGGATTTGCATATAGTAGCAAGACTGTTCGGAGGAGATCAATATTTTCACCAGACGATGATATATTTGGAGCAGGTCTCGGTACTTCTCCCAACGAAAATTTACTCCCTCCGCCAATGTCGCCACGGCCGTCGAGTATCAAGAGTTCGTCAGAGGTTGCTAGATCTGTTATGGAGACCATGCACCAACATCGTGCGATTTCGGATCCTATGCTAAAGGAAATGTCAGCTCAATCAGCCAACAAGATGCCTTTCGACACAACAAGTTTACGGGATCTTGTTCACCGAGCCAACGTATTAAGTAGGACTTTGGGCGAGGTAATTCGAAAATCCGACGGAACGTCAGACAGCCCAGAGGTCAGTCCACATCGCGATTCGAGTCCAGCCTTTACTCGTGTTTTCACCGATCCAATGGCGCAACCACCAAAACATCTACCAAGGAGTCAAAGCAACAACTCAATATTAAGCAACACATTAGATGCTTCACCGACGCGAAATCTAGGGTCTCGAATGCATATGTTGACCGCCGCGTGAGCGCGAGCTGCAGTTTTACAGTAATAGTGCGAACACTCAGTTCTTGTACATTTTATGGAATCCAAGCGATTCATCTATTCATTTCCTGCATAGCGATGGTACCTTATTTCGGCAATCGGCATCAAGCTCCTTTTTTCGAAGATGTGTTTACGTTCCGCCCTCGCGTCTTCCCCCGCATAAAGTGGATGGTTCGGCCTCTCAGCGATCGTTTCGTACTGGTTTGGCAAAACAAAAAGAAACATTCCCTCTCCCAAAATTGGCGATCAATGTTTGGGGCATCACTAGTCACATTATTTTACGGACGGACGAAATGAGGTAGATCTGCAAAGCGACTACGCTTAATGTTTGCACGATCGATTCTCGCCTTTTCGACCTCTGCCTTTTGACATGCCATCAAAAACCTCAAATCTCGGCTGCCAAAAGGGAACATTTTTTCTGCCCTTTTTTTTCCTCGGTTTTTGTCTAGTATAGAAGGAGGTGGGCAATAAAGAACGAATCGTCTGTTTATGGGGTGGTGGAAACCTTACTTTTTTGTGTTGTGTGTGTGTTTTCTTTTTTGGCAACTCTCTCTTGCAGTTGGTCAGAGGAAGGGTTTTCCTGTCTGCTCGGGCGAAGAGGGGAAGAGGGGGTTGATTGTGTCTACAACTGGATTAAAGAGAGTACAACTGGATTTTTTTGCATGCGATGGAGTTTTGTAGTCTTTTTTGTGGTTTGCCCTGGATAGGGGGTTTTTTGGTTTCGATTAAAAAGGATGGGCGATGAATAAGACAGATGGAGGTATGGGGGTAGGAGATGAGAGCGGAAAGGGATGGAATGAGTTGGCTGGATGGATGGAAGAGATTAGATCCATGATGTTATGCTGAATGGAATATACGAAATATGGCCGATGAACTTTTGTGTGTCTTTTCTTTGTGACTGACAACAACACGAGCTTCCGTTAGAGGAGCTTTTGACTGCTTGTGAGAAATGGATGTGGTGAGGTTTGAACTTTGGCACCCTTGACGGGAATTATGGATATGGACTCGAACAATGAATGGACTGCTTGACGGCGTGTATTCTGGGAACCGAGCATTCTTGATATTCATTTTCACCATGAACAGGAATAGGAAAAAGCAATGTATTTTGAAGTTTAGGTTTTGGTTTGCTGATGAAAAGCTTTAACTCTAAGAGGGGCGAGAACGCGTTGTATATTGCCTCACGCCTTAAGTTTGAAATCTTTTGGAAGTTATAGCTCATCGCTGGTAGGTTATGAGTAGTATATCTGTTTTCTCCTTGACTTATGAACATGAGGAAATAAGTCTCTGATAATTCTCTGACAATTCTTCTTTTATCCACCTTTTATTTTTCATCACATAACTCATGATTCTTCCAACACTTTAACAGCGTCATAACTTTCAAATGTCATTACCACATGATTACACTTCGGCAGAGCTCGCCAATCAATCTATCCTCACTCCTCCAATGCATCTTTACCCACCAAACCCTCCATACTCCTAACAACAGCCCCAACAAACTCCTCAAACCCCTCAAAAACCTCATACCCCAACCTCCCACACATCACCTGCACATTCCCCCTATAATAGTACCCCTCGGGACAACAAACCACCACCCTCTTCTTCATCCCCAGCGCAAACCCCATTTCCATCAGCGAAATCGGTGCGCTGGTAAGTGATCCAAAATTCACAACCACCAAGTCAGCTCGCTCTAGACATTCCAGCTCCCAAGACGTCTGCTCGACGAATTTGGGATCCGACGGGCTGTTCTTCCACGTGCTGTCCCAGTCCCGGCGGAGAGGGTTGAGAATGGTGATTGGGAGATGGGAGAGCGCTGTTGTGAGGTGATTGCGCCAGCAGGCGTCGGGGTGGGATATGTAGCCTGAGAGAAAGATGGTCGGGGTTTGGGTTATGCTTGTGAGGGGGGTGGGTGCTTGGATTGTGGTTGCCTTGGGTGGAATGTTGGGAGGTATTGTGCTTGACATTGCTTTTGTTGTGTTATTTGAAAAAGTTGGAAGAAGAGAGTTTCATTGTATGCATCTTACAATAAGTGTTGAAGGAAGTACTACGAGGCTTCTAATGTTGCGAGGTGATGCTGCCTTCAAGCGAAGATGTCTGCGCCCCACTTCTGGGGTCCTAAGGTGACATCTCAGCCGTCACAAAAGGTTCCTTCATTATGAGCATCTCAAAGTAGCTTTTGGGCAATTTTCTTAGGAAGTTACAGTATGTGACATTTTCTTTAAGCGACGACATACTTTAATCTGACTTGGCATGCATTAAACCAGCCCTAATCGCCCACTCATGTTTCTTCGTCTTATCCACAAGATACTCAACCATTTCCATTCTCCTCTCAAAACCATCCGGCTTATCCTCTCCAACAACTTTCAAAGTGGCTCCAAACATCTCCATAGCCATCAAACACTCATTACTGACAGCCAATAATCCAACAGAAGCAAACAGAAGGCATAGCAAGACCGTCTTCCCCAACTGCGTCGCATTACTTGCCAAAGCGGCGTCCAGATATACGAGCAAAGTAGAAGCAGAAGCGATAGATTGTTCCCAAAACACCATATCGCGCAACCACTGTCCTGATGTGACGAGTTTCAGATCGTCGTTTAGTCCTTTCATTCTTATCCAACGGTCCTGGCTCAGAAGCACAAGCATATCACCTTGAACACCAGGTTCCTTGTACCCTTTCCACCCAGCTTGATTTCTTCAACGGACGATAAAGATATTACAGGTGCGAGCAAATATAAGAGATGTTAAGATAGCCAACGCCCACCAGTCACGTAGGACAATGATGAAGAAAATACTGAATATCGTGAGGAGGATAGCAGTCAGATAACACGCAGAAGAAACAAAAGATGATGTAGACGTCCACCAAGCACTCCATATCCATCTCCACATCGACTCCGCTTCTTCGTCTCCCCGTACTGAGACTTGCACGTTTATCAAATGTCCCGTCCGTCCCACCCGTTGCAGATACGCAACCGTTCCCGGATTTTCAATACGGAACACGAATCCTGAGCCCATAGATGCGACTTGGGGAAGCTCCCCGCCGTTGAGTTCTGGCGCGTTTTGTTGCAGATGGATGCCGGGACAGATGACAAACATGTCTAGATATGTTGATGTGCCTGTGAGAGCGGTGCGAATGGCGATTGTTTTGAGGTCGGCGAGGGCGACGAGTCCGGCTGCGTCAAGATACGGTGTTGAACTAGAAGATTCTTAACAACAAATTTGTTCATGATTCAAACCGATATGGTCTAGAGAACAGAAAGTTCAAGGAAAGTTAGAGCTATGATCAAAAGCTGACAATACCCGAAAGTCCTTAATCCAAAGTACAGTGCTTGACATCATGTTTCGTTCAGCATAAGAGTGGTTGACTAATGAAGCAAATTTACAATATAAAATCTTCAGTGATGATTGATGGGTTTCGTTTTCGAGCAAGTTGAATAGCTAGTTTGACTACAAGGGCTGCGATATGTGACTTGAGAATGAGGTTATCTTGATTTGTACACTTGGATTTGGTATACTTTAAGGAACTTACAGATCACTCTTTCGATCAGCTTCTTCCCCCCTCCCATAAAATCCAGGAACGAAGGTACAAAACACTGGACAGGAGCGAGGTAGATGGGCAGCTCGTTTCGCTTGCAACATCTGCCACAGCACTATTTTCTCTGTAAATTTGCGAGATTGCGGGATAGATTCATCTGATCGAGCAATCTTTCTGCTGATTAAGTTTCCGGGAGTCTTGATGATGAGATTTTGAATTCGTGTGAGAGAAGGGATTCGGCAGTAGGGTGAGGGTCGGTAGCAAAAGTCCTCGTTTGTAGGATCAATTGGTGGGTCTTAGTGGATGGTTTGAAATGTGAAAGATGATTTTGAGGACAATTTAGGGAGTCCTTTTATTAACTGGTTGACGTTGTGGGTTAGGCCGTTTTGTTTGAAAATTATAGCTACACGAAGCTTTTGGAGGCGATACAAAACTAGACTCTTTACTCATATTAGTAACCTACGTAAAACATATTTCCATTCTCCTAAACACCCAAAATGAACCCCAGACCTCTATAATCGTCCAATCCTAGTATCGCTTGCCGAAAACCTAGAAACAAAAGTATAAAAGAATGGTCATGAGCCAAGTGGATGGCCAGTCTTTGATGGCTGATAAATTCCACTGTGGTAGTTCGGGTACCCACTGCTCCCTTTGCGAAGTTGCGAAATTGAAGGGGAAATTTCTAGAAAGGGGATTTTCTTTCTGTTGATTTCGTTTCACAGGGCCTTATTGAAAAGATTTCAATTCTTTTTGATAGTCATGAATCGGCAGTAACTTGGAATTCGGCCGCAAAACCTTTAACCAACAGTGGCATGGGCTACGGTGGGTTAAAATACGTGAATAGTGAGTAAAGTTGAATAAGTACTTGAAGTAGCTTACAAGTTGAGACCTCGGGTTTGTTGAGTTGCGGTGTTAAGTTCGATACTCCATCCACCATTAAAGGATACGTTCATATCCGTGCCTTGCCAATGATGTGATATCTGAGCAGCTCTTTAATTAACTGGTTAGACAAAATATCCAGAGCCACTTTTTCGCATTTGGCAAACGCTTACACCTACGCGGTAGTGACTAGAATTGATACAAAAGCAGCTTCAAATGTTGAAGAAAATGAAATTGGAGAAGTTTTCTCTAACAACTTTGAAATAAGAATGATGACATAAACAGGTGATCACATGGTATTACACTAAACGTTCGACTTAATTCCATTTAGCTGAGGCTCAATCCTTCTGCGACTGTACATTATCTCCGCACATTATAAATGTATGAATAGCGCGACAGATACTACCTAAACTCAATTTCAGGCCTCGTAGAGTTGTACTTACGCATAAAATATATTTAAAATTAAGCACTGCAGCTTCCAGGTTGAAAAAGATTTTGGTCTGATTGCCAACACTATAGAGCAAAAGGCAGTTGTTTCCCCACGATTGTTCAGTAATTTCACTTGCGGATCCTAGCCTATATGACTCTAAACGCTACCAAGACCATGTACACATCCCTCTTTCTGAATAACAATAGGGTTCCGCATACTATCCGCCTGGGGACAGTCAGGCACCATCACCCCGTCCTGATCAATATTCAAGTAGCCCATCGTCCCACCAAGAGTGTATGCTTGGACTGGGATTTCGACTGTGGAGTCCGGGCCAGTGAGGGGTTGTGTACATGTATACATGTTGCTGAGATGGTCAGTAGGTGGATAAAAGGGAGGAGGGGAGAGGCTACTTGGTTGTGGTGCATTTTAATACGGAAGATATGTCGACGGCTTTGGCGTTGCTTTCGATGGTGTAGTATCTGTATTTACCGTTCCTGAGTCCTTCTGTTAGTAGTGCTCTTGTTCCTAATAAAGTTCAACTATCATTCTACACCCGCTTCGGTGATGTTGAAAGAAGAGGGAAGAAATTACTTCGGCGCCTGATCACAATAATGCCATTGTCTCAAATCCAGCATCCCTTTCCCATCCCCACCAACTATGACCAACCCATTTGGATCGCATAGAACGGAAAAGCGCCACTGATCTCCAACTCCCCAGCCATAATTAATTGGTCGTGGTCCTTGTCTGGGACAGTAGAAATTGCCATTCCCATAACTAGCGCTCAAGTTGGCGGAGCCGTAGGACATTCGAAGACTAACAGTGTTGGTGGTGGTATCGGGGTTGCTAGTGACGTTTAGAGTTGAGGTATACGCAGAGATGGTGTATGTAGAGGGGACGGGACAGTGTTCTGCATATGGGTTGATTGGAGGATTGGTAGGCTGGACCTGGGGGAGGGCGGTGATGGATGTGGCTGTAAGGGAGAGGATGAGGGATTGGAGTTTGAGTGAGAACTTCATGGTGACAAATGACTGGGTGAGTTGAAGTAGTAATATGATCTTTGTCCGTGAAAGGAAAATTGACAAACCCAGTGGAAGATATATACACACGATGCTCACAGGCAGAAGTGTTAAACCCAAATTCCATCCCCACAAACACGAGAAATAAGGGTTACTAACCTTCTTTTCCTATTCTAGATCGATTTCGTATTGCGAAGGGCCAGTCTCCTTCCGTTGCTGTATTTGCCAAATGTGTCATGCTTGTGATGCATTGAGGCTGAACTGTTCTGCTTGCATATGGAGAACGTCCAACCAACTAGTACAAAGATGGCTACATGCATCGAAATGATATATATTGGCACTCGCATGATACGACGTTGCTTTTGTCTGCCTAGTAGACAAAACTCATTGTGCAGTGCAAGATGTTCAAGTCGTGTAACTCGTGTTGATAATCATGGCAATTCATAATCTTTGGAGACCATAGCCAGAGCTAGCTTGTCAAAATAGCAACACAACAGAAATTATGACAAAATGATATATAAGAATCCTAGAATACATCCCCTCTAGGACAACATTTGCCCGTTTTCGTTTCGCGATTGTTCTCATGCAGGGCTGCCAATGCAGAAATAAGGGAATGGCGTATCATTCGAAGAAGCTCCATCTCGAAAGGGTTCTCGATAGCTTTGTATAAGCCACAGAGCAAAGCAGTGTTTCTGGGTATGATGTTATAAGTTTTGCTCAAATGAGATATAGTGTGTTGGAGATGTGGTTTGCAACAGGATTTCTTAGGCTCTGTTGATCAGCACGTGACAGCGAGGGTTCGACGTGAAGCCTCAGAGTCTCGACGCGTCTCACCCAAAAACACTCCCGATGGTACGATTGGGCTAACCACCAGAGGTCTCTCTTCACATCACTATCCATGTTCCAATATTGGATTCGAACACAATTCCCTCCGAGGGATATACCCTAGGTCAATTGGTGGCCTGCATAATGAATCCGGACGCGCTCCTCACGAACCTCAACCCCTCACAACAAGCAGCGGTCTCTTCCTTTGCCGATACATTGGCCATTCTTGCTGGTCCAGGGAGTGGCAAAACACACACCTTGACATCGCGAACAGCATGGCTTCTCTCCCAGGGTCTACAGCCATGGAACATAATTGTCGCAACGTTCACGGTGAAGGCGGCGCGAGAGATGAAAGAAAGGATTGGAAAACTTCTTGGAAACGGCCTCGAATCGAAACTTGTACTTGGAACTTTCCATAGTATATCGCGGAGATATTTGGCGCGATATGGCCATCTGATTGGTATCAAGAAGGACTTTGGAATTGCTGATACTGGGGACTCGGCCGCGATCATCAAACGGATATGCAAGCGCAATAATTATCTCATGGATCCGAAAGTCGCGCGGTCGCGGATTAGTGGACGCAAAGCCAGAGGAGGAGTTGTACAGGAGAAGAGCAAGTCCGGAGCAAAGTCGGTGGAAGCGCAGGAATTTGATGCCATATACACTGCGTATGAAGAGGCCCTCAAGGTTTCTAACCTCTTGGACTATGATGATCTTTTGCTTCGATGCGTGGAGCTTCTGCGAGATCATCCAGATTGCGTTTCAAACGTTGAAGCGGTTCTCATTGATGAATTTCAGGATACAAATCTCGTTCAATTTGACCTTATGAGGTTGTTCGCCTCACAGCGAAAGAGAATCACCATTGTGGGAGACCCTGATCAAAGCATCTACGGATTTCGTGCCGCCGAGATCAAAAACTACAAACGCATGCTCCGCCAATATCCGGACACCGTAACAATCGCCTTGGAGGAAAATTACCGGTCATCCGCCTCGATATTGATGTCGGCGCTAAGTGTTATTGAACAAGATGATGCGAGAGTGAAGAAGTCATTAATGCCCACTCATCTCGTTGGGACACGGCCAGTGCTCAGAAAGCTCGCTGGAGCGTACAAAGAAGCTGAATGGATTGTTACCGAGATCCAGAGATGTCAGGGTATGACTGGTGGTTTATTGGATCTGAACGATTATGCTATTCTTCTACGCTCTTCGGCACTTTCGAGACTTATTGAAACTGCACTGGGAAAAGCCGGAATTGCATATAAAATGGTTGGTCAGTGAAAATATTTCAAGACAAAAACCTCTAGACTAACAATTGTTTTCAGGCGGTCTCCGTTTTTATGACCGGATGGAAATCAAGACAATCCTGGATTACCTTCGAGTCATCAACCAACCGGACAACAATGATGCACTCGCTAGAATCATCAACACGCCCTCTCGACGTATTGGAGACGCCACAATCAAGTCTCTGTTAGAAGAAGCGGACCGGAAGAAAGTAACACTTTGGTCATTACTGTTGGGAACTGTACAGGGAAGGCAGGCGACAACCGTCAAGATACAGAAGCAAGCCGAGCAAGCATTGTCGAAATTTGTCAATATCATTTTGACTGCTCAAGGAAAGTTGAAGAGTGCAGCGAAGGATGGCCCAGCTACCGTCGAGCTGATAAACTTTGTGTTGGAAAAGACCAATTATGAAAGGTGGCTAGAAGAGCATCACAACGACGTGACGAAAGCCCGATGGGATAATGTCAAAGAATTAATCACACAAGCTGCGGATTTCCAGGATCTAGTCACATCAGGCTATGAAGATGAGGCACTGCCGGAAATTGAGGGGCTTGAGCAGCAGGATGACGATAATCATCTCTCAAAATTCCTTTCAAATGTGGCTTTGGCATCGGAGGTGAAGAACGATGATGTAGAGGGGACACAAACGGCACAAGTTACTATCTCGACTATCCATGCTGCCAAAGGTCTTGAGTGGCCTGTAGTTTTCATCCCTGCGGCGTACGAGGGTTCTATACCTCACTCAAGGGCGGACGACGTCGATGAGGAGAGGCGACTACTTTATGTGGCAATGACAAGGGCAAAAGCGTTGCTCTACATGAGTGTTCCTCTGAAAAACTCTCAAAGCGAAGCAACAACGCTATGTCCGTTCCTCACATCCACATCTCTAATCAACCTCTTAGAAAAGAGAGGTCCGTCTTTGGGTTCCTCGATGGTGCAATCCATGTCGCAAATTCTCCGACGAACTTGTCCTACCCAAAAAGGAATAGCAGAATCATCCTCATTTCTAAGGAGCATCGAAGATGATCTGTTTCCTGAGGATGGCGAAGAGAGTGGTGAAAGTAATAGTCGATGGAATTTGGAAATGTCTGATAAGAATGGGTCGAACTATCTCAACAATCAGCAGGCTCCTAAGCGGAGAAGAGTGGAGTTTGGACGCTCAAACAGCGATATGGCTCCTACAACAGAGCAACAGTGGAAGCCAACTTACACCACGACTATGGCACGAGCGGCGACGTTTACGGCGCCTTCTTTGACTATGAATAGTGGGTTTGTGAGTGCCGGATCACATCTGCAAGTTCTCAACGAGCAGTCTGTCAATGCTGTGATTGAAGAAAAGCAGAATTCGAAAATGGAAAAACAAAAGTCTATTGCCAAGGGCAAAGCAAAGAAGCTTGAGGGCCAAGGAAATCTGTTGGCTTTTCTGGGAAAGCCACAACCAGAGAAATCAATTGTAAGCGCCAAAAGTCTGGCAGATCAGAAGGGTGTCACTTCGTTTTCGCAAATACCAGCAACTGCCAGCCAATTCAATCGGCCGCGCATCAGCACTACTTCAAGTAGTGGCCATGGTATAGCACCTGATCTTGCAAATCATCGAATTGGCTCATCAAATAAGGGGAGTCTGACGCGAGCAAGAATATCAAATTTGAGTTCACATTCGCGAAATGACTACGTCTTCTTGTCAAGCTCTCCACCTAGGCCAGCAGCTCCCATCCTACGAGAGGAGTCACCTCCCCTAGTGAAACAGGAGCCTGCTTTATCAAGAAATCCACCTCTCATGCCTCTCATCCGACCTGCTATCACCATGCATACCACCAGTGTGGCGAAACTCCAGTCTTCTAATAATACCGCAAAGAGGACTCTGGGTGTGAAGAGAAGTTTGGACGGTTGGTCTAATAGAGCTAGTAAGGGTAGTAATTCTTTTGTACCTCCAACGAGAAAGTTATAATTGTTAAAAGGCGGGTTGGATATATTGGTTTTGAAACGTTTGGCGTTCGACTGTAGGTATATATCCTTGGGCATTGTTTCGGGCAATGGTTGTCCGGGTCGGTAAGAAAAATTGTGTATACTATTATGGCGCTTGGTAATTGGCCTTTTCGTCATCTTATTGCATGAATACAAGTGAGTTGAATACAATTTCGAGCCTTACTAACATCAATGCTTCTACGATAGTGCATCTCGAGCTTGATTTGTTGATACTCGCCAGAAGTGGTATCCGCCGAAGTCCGAATGCGCTATCTTGAAATACCTCGAATCAAGTGCAGACGTCGATTCGTATCCATCCGACGATAAGTGCGGAGGGTAGTTGAGCCTCAATTAGATGTACGACTCAATGCATATATGGATTCGGATATAGTCTACCTGAGGGCATTTCAATCATAAAACTAAGCTGAAAAAGACTCTCTTATTATAGAGTCAGCATTTCATCATGCCGTCTCAAACCCTCCCCACCCCTCAAACCCCACCAAAATTCTACATCCCAACAATAGACATATCTCCATATCTCACATCGCCCTCTTCAGCAGCATCTACAAAAATTATAGACCAAGTCCGCACCGCATGCGAGACAACCGGATTCTTCCAGATCACCGGTCATGGAATACCACGTGAACTACAAGATGAAGTCTTTGCTGGCTCAGCGAGACTCTTCGCTCTGAGTATGGACGAGAAGAAGAAGTTGGATAAGAGTAAGAGTGTTGGCGCGAGTAATAGGGGGTATGAGATTATTGGGAATCAAGGGTTACAGGAGGGGACTTTGCCGGACCTGAAAGAGGTGTGTTGAAAGCACGAGAGTCAAAACTTCTCGACTTCTATGGCTTAGAAGAAATGAATACTGATAAATATCATCAGGGCTTCTATATCGGCCGTGACATCCCCTCAACAGATCCCCGAGTCCAAAATAACGCCTTCCTCCTCGGCCCCAACCAATGGCCCTCCCCCTCCCTTATCCCATTCCCCCTATTCCGCCACCCCATGGAAAGATACTACACAAAGATCCTCTCCCTCTCCCTAACCATCCTCGACATCCTAGCCGCCACTCTCCCCTACGGCCCCAACGTCTTCAAAGACTTCACATCCAACGACCCCATCGCTAACATCCGGCTCCTGCACTATCCCCCTGATCTCAGCAATGACGAGCGCCAGCTAGGCGCAGGTGCGCACACGGATTTCGGCGCGATTACACTGTTGTTGCAAGATGAGATTGGCGGGTTGCAGGTACGTGATGATGGGGGGAAGTGGGTGGATGTGCCGCCGAATAGGGAGGCGTATGTGGTTAATGTGGGGGATATGTTGGAGATGTGGACGAGGGGACGGTATAGGAGTGGGGTTCATAGGGTGGTTAATCGGAGTGGGAGGGATAGGTATAGTGTTCCGTTTTTCTTTGATGGGTGTGGGGAGTGTGTTTTGGCACCGCTAGATGGGGGGGAGGTGGAGGGTGGTGAGAAAGCTTTGACGGTTGAGGGACATATGAGGGAGAGGTTTGGGAGTACATATGGGAGGGGAAGGGAGGAAGGGGTGGTTGTTGGGGAGTGAGAGGGGGGGGGGGGGGGTGAGGAAGGGTGTTCGAATGGTATTTTTGGACTGTGGACATGTGACATGCTCGAAGATTTTGGGGAATTTACCGGGATCGAGGCAATTCTTTTGCCACATTTACTTGGAGACCACCTCTCCAGGTACAGCCAAAATACTGGACTCTGAATACTACTTAACCCTCTTTGACAGGTTTCTCAATAGTCAAGTCGATCGCCGGGTGATCTGAGCTGCTTCCTCATTATTGAGGTCTCTCTTGTGTTCTCTAGCTTGAGTGATATTGTTTGCTGGAACAAAATTGATTAGCAAGCTAGCTGATCCTTTTGAAACAATATTAGACGTCCTTTATGCTCACATAGGCTCCAAAAAGATATTCAAACATTCTGGACCTAAGAATTGTGAAGCGAGGATCATGGACCCACTTTTCCTGTCCTCCTTCTCAAACTCTATTTTAAATCCTCCAACTTCCCTACCTCTCCACAAACCTTAAAACAATCAACTTCCTCCAATACACCAGAGTACTTCTTACCTAAAACAAATCTAACAATTACCTGCCTCACAAAAATTAGCTGTGAGCAGTTTGTACGTCAAACCCCAGCCCTAACGCGAATCACGTAACCTCCACTCCATGATCGGCGACGCTGCAGTAAGCTTCATTTCAACGGTCATCCTCCTGCACTTTGTCATTTCATAACAGGACGCAAATACGACCTAATTGCCACTTATGCCGGCTCTCAAGCAGCTACCGAGAAGTAAACTTCGTACGGAGACCCCGCGTCCTAGGTACGAGGTGATATGATGTTATTTGACCCAGGTGTTGCTGTGTATCTATAATAGGCAATATGATCTGCATGTCCGGGATACCCAAAAGATTCGTGGTATGACGATGGCCACAGCTCGTGTTTCTCGTGTTTTTGCATATCAGCCTGTTTGTAGAACGTCGCACGCAAGGTCGTTTATGGAATTGGGGGTCTTACGATCGTATTGCTGGTGGTATATATATGGGATTGTCTTGGGAGATTCGTTTGAATGCGATTCTCAATTAAAATCACAAGCATAACATAATTGCAATTGTACGAAAGGCAGTTCTCTCAATCCCTTCTTCAGATATCGAGGACTTCCACAAATTTCAGAATGCACCTCACAACCTTCCTCCCGCTCCTCACCCTCCTCACCCCTTCCCTCGCCCTTACAACTCGCTCTCCAATCGACCCCGTTCCATCCCCCTGGAACGTAACGCACTACACCGAAGGCTGCTCTCCAGCAGCGTGCGTCTACACATTCAACATCTCGCTCTCAAACTCCGGCACAAACGAACCTTCCTTCTCCACAACCTGCACAGGGAACAACCTGACGCCCGATTTCCAGGCGTGCGAGGACCCGGCGATAGCGACGCGCGAGGTGAATGGGTGGAGCAATGTCACGCTGATCGTGCAGCATGTGTATATGGATGGCGAGGCAAGGTTTACGGTGACGGGGAACCATACGATTGTGAATCCGGGGTATCAGGCGTATGATTTTGTGGTTGTGCAGAGTGAGATTAGTGCTGTTGCGTAGGGGGAAAAGGAGTGGGAAGGGGGGGGGGGGGGGGCGAGAGGGGGGTTGGGTGGTAAAATGATTGTAATATAGGAGATGTTCGAGGACTGGTGGATGTAATGATGCTCTACTTGAAATGTAACAAATACCTGCAATCTATTGTACTCTCTCTGGAGGTAATTCGATGGATAAAGGTAGAAACGTCATAACTTAGTCGTTCAACTGTAAAGTGGTCCACAGCCATCGCAAAAGAAGACGTCTCGACACTCCGTGACGGAAATGCATAGGTGAGCCCAGAATATCATCGGTGGTGAAAGGCGGTAAACCGCGAGGGGGTTAGGGTCGTTCGCAATCTCTATTTTCAACCTAGCATCTACTAGTGACGTTTCTTTTTCTCATAACCTTCAGGGTATTAAGTATCATTCTACATAACTTCCATATCCAGGTCTAGCTATAACATCTCTCGAATAGTTATATCGGGCAAATGGTTTTTTGCGGCTCTACCAAAGTACTATTTCGGACAAGAAGTTCTGAGCTTATATCGTGTCTCTTACAATCGCCACATCTCCTTTCATGGAGTAGCTTCCAGGCTTTAAAACATCTCTGAATGTTCGCCCACAGTAGTTGCTCATGCAGGCAATCAAAAAGACGTCTCCTGGACCATTGAGGCATGAAAATTTATCCTAGATCCATCATGCCAATTGGCAATGAAGCCATCTGGAAAAGGCAACAACCTTTCTTCTTCAGCATTACCGACCAGCATATTCTCATACAAATCCTGGAAAGCCTCCACAGTACTGGCCCGTACATTTTCGATCAACGTATCTACCTCTTGTGGCGTTTCCATCGAGGAACCCGCAGTCCATTTTTCTATTCGAAGCTCCTTCCCACGGCTACTCGGAGATTTTCCAGTCAGGGTCTCATCATGATGTTCGTCCGTACGTCCCACCGCTAAGATGACATCGACACGCCTTAAACTCATGAAGCGAAGTAGCCGGCACCATCTGAAGCTATTCCATACAGACTGTACATTTAATCTAGGCGCAAGGACGGTTGGCGTGAAGCACTCTTGAGAGATTGCCAGATTCTCGATGATATGAAGACGATTGCCAATCACGCACGAAAGATCACTAACCCAGTGATGCCTTAGCAGAGCTTCTTTGCTGAACCAGAAGGTATCGATCGCGGGATTGAACGGCCGAGCACTTTCCCCAACACAGTAGTATGGTGCATTGCCGTTTTCTTGCTCTCTCTTTTGCTCTTGACTTTTGATGCGGAGGGTACAGTAGCGGGATTCTTGACAAACGTTCATGACTGAGGGGTATTTACGCTTGGGAATCATCCATCTTTCATCTTCCCACCCATCTCCGTCGGGTGTGAAGACGAACCATTCTGGGTCAAATTTGTATACACCAGGTTGGGGGAGCAGCCCAAGACTCCAAATTTCTTCACGAAGCCCACGCGGCAAGTCGCTCAACTGTGTATTGAGCATAATGATCTTTCAAGATGATTAGGGCCGAAAGTAGGTCGCATTCCCAGGTGATGTTGGTGATGGCAAAGCGAATTGCAACCTGGAATATCGAGGTAAGACTTGTCGTTGAAAGTGATTGAGATTCCAGTCAGAGCACAGGTAGCTACGGAGAATTAACTACCCGCTATACTAGGCCTTAGATAATTCGAATAGAAAACGTGTATATTAGAATATACGAAATAAATAGGTACTAAAAGAAAACAGTTGAAATAAAGCGTACTGCAGCGTCAGTACTGCACAGTGCCGATCACAGACCGGAGCCTACGTGATGCTTTTTAGGGACAGATTTGACGTATAAAAGTGCTCGTACTCCAGATTTTAGTTTAGTATGCCAACTCGAAGATTAGTTGTTGGGTAAGGATAATTTCATAGACTGAGGGAAGTTGATGATTTAAAGTGTGTGGAGGTCGGGAGGCCAAGAACGAAAGGGGAATCCCGTCTGGGGAGGATGGATAAGTGGGTTCGCTTCGGCGGGTTCCAACAACCAACAATCGACGAAACAATCGACGAATACACCCTTGAACCTGAGTTGGGGTAGTATGTATGAGGTGAAATTGGATTGGTGCTGACAAGAGAGAAAGCTGCTTGGAATTTTCCATGTTTTTTTTTAACCGGAGTGGTTGAATTGCCTCATCAAAGCGAGGAACGATTGAATCGAACGCTAGTATTGAAGAAAGTGGTACGGGATAGCTGTAAAGATGTAGCAAGCGTTTATTTAACTAATCTAATGCTTTGCAACAACACCAGCAGTACCAGCCGCATCAGCCTGGGCCTGGATACGCTTCTTATAAGCAGCAACATCACCAGGGAATTTCTCCACAGTTCCCCCATCACAAACCCACAAGCTCTTACACACAGTCTGCAGCATAGTAACATCGTGACTAACCATCAATACACCACCCTGGAAAGCGTTCAACGCACTACTTAACGCATCCATAGCTTCGATATCCAAGTGATTGGAAGGTTCGTCCAGAACCAGGATATGTGGGTTGGTGAGAGATAGACAGGCAAATGCTACACGAGACTTTTGACCTCCAGATAAGATCTCCATTTTTTGTAAACCAGTCATACCAGTAATACCGAACGCACCCAAGTGACGACGGTATTCTTCGTCTTGTTTACCAGGGTAGTTTTTGGCCATGAAACTGACGGCGCTGGTGGTCAAATCAAGTGCGTCGACGTGATGTTGAGCGAAGAATCCAATACGCAGACGTGGATTTTGAGATATCAAGCCGGATGTGGGTGAAAGCTTTCCGATGAGGAGCTTGAGAATGGTGGTTTTACCAGCACCGTTGGGTCCTACGATACCAATTCGCGAATCGAGTTGCACGTCTAAATCGACATTGCGAAGGAGAATCTTGTCTGGAGTGTATCCGAATGTAACGTCCGTCATCTGGACAATAGGTGGAGTCATCTTTTCAACATCAGGGAATTTGAAGTGAACAGTGTACTCGCTCTCTGGCGCTTCAAGAACAGGCATCTTTTCCAGTTTCTTGATACGTGACTGTGCTTCGGAAGATTTGGCGGCATTGTAACGGAACTTGTCAATGAAAGCTTGCAAGTGAGCACGTTGTACCATCTGGTTCTCGTACTCTCTCTTAGCAGTCTTACGACGTTCCTCTTTAGAAGCATAGAAGGACTCGAAATTGGCGCCCTTGTAGTAATCAAGACGCTCAGAGTGTTGGTGGATGATATCGGTCGCGACCTCGTTGAGGAAAGCTCTGTCGTGAGATACGACCAGCACGGTGCTAGGATATCCTTGGAGATAGTTGGCAAGGAAAGTGATGGAGGGAACATCCAACATATTGGAAGGTTCATCGAGTAACAGCAGATCAGGCTCGCAGAAAAGTGCTCTTGCAAGAGCCAAACGCATACGCCAACCTCCAGAGAATGTCTTTGTGGCAAATTGTTGGCGTTCTGGCGAGAAACCAAGACCGGCCAAAATAGTGGCGGCTCTAGATTCTGCTTTGTCGGATTCCATCTCAGCAAGTTTGGCTTGCACATCACCCAAGGTCTGGTCAAGTCCTTCACGCTCGTGATCAAGCTTCTGGGCGTCAGCAGATGTGTCCGCCATTGATGACCGCTGCTCCTCAAGCTCGGTCAACTGCCTTGTGAGTTTCTACGCAATATCAGTATTTGTATTTTAGGTAGGGTTAAGGGTATAGAAGTTTCAAGGGGAACACTTACGACCTGCTCTCCAAGCAAATGTTTCCGCCAAACATCTGCATCCAGTACGGCTTGCAATGCAGGCGTATCATCTCCAGTAATCTCTTGTTCGACGTGAAGAATAGAAATATGGGTAGGAATGGCAAGCTCTCTTCGAGCCAGAGCACGTAAAAGCGTAGATTTACCGATACCGTTCTGACCAACCAGACCATATCTTCTTCCAAAGGCCAGAGTCAAAGTGGTATCTGACAAGATTCTCAGGCCACCAATAGTAACATCGATACCATCCAGCTTGATATCCTTGCTCTTTTGTTGACCTTGCGCGTTTGAACCTAGTTGTAGAGGGTTGACAGCCATGAAGAATTCTTCGTATGATTGAGCATCATCAGTCTGGTTGATCAATTTCGAAGCTTCATACTCGACGGCCTTGAACACCTTCTTGCTTTGCTTGGCAGCGATCTTTCTTTCGGCTTTCTCTAACTTTTTCCTGTCTACTTTCGATTCAAGCTTCCTCGTATTGGCCGATTCCAGATCAACACCTCCCGTAGATACACCCAAGGTTGAAGACATGTTTCTCTGGGCTCCCACCTGAATCGCTTGATCTAATCGTCTGGCGGCGGATGAGACATTCCTGTGCTCTCCGTTCGTAGCAGAATTGAACTTTTCAGCCCATTTTCTCACAAGCTCACCAATCTTTGCTTCATTCTGAGGCGATGGGTCTCCAGATGCAGAGACCAGAAGAGCTGTGATTGAGGCTGCCGCTTCCTCTATGGGCGTCGGTCCAACGGCCTCGGTATCTGGTACATAAACATTTGACGCATGAGTGAGATATCCCACCGAGTATCCTAGAACTACAGGATCGATGCTCGGTAGGGCAGTCTTGATTTCAGCCTCCATCGTGGCGAGTCAATAGGATGCAGTGGGCAGAGACTTCTGCTTGCGTGGCGAAATTCTTTCAAGTCCAAAGCCTTACGTTGGACCTTTATATCGTATCAGATAGCGACCTATCTCAAGTCCAAAGGTTCAACAGCAACCTCGACGTTGGCAGTTTAAGACTTTGGGTTTGATGGTGAGAGGAGACATCTAGATGAATGGATCCTTGAAAAAGCTCAGACGTTGAACTTTGCTCACGTGATCATGTATGCAACTCTCCTAAACGCTTTTGCAACTAATATTCTTCTGCAGAGAGATTGGTAGAGGATAATAATGCATATCTTGTGGCGTAGGGCATTTGCAGCGAGGAGTCAAGACGTAGGTACTCAAAATGGATACAGATGGTGCTGTCACTCAACCATAGCAAATTATGCCACTATTCAGGTCAGGTAACTGTTTATGCAAAGCTATTTCATTGGCGGTTGCATTGTTTATTTTGTGCAAGGTCCAAGCTTCAACACTAACCACTTTTGAGTTTTTAGCGCAAATCCAGGGTCGTGTTCACCGCTGCACCTCCCACAACAATCCACATCTACATCTTTGCTCAACCTCTCCTGTCCATAATCCACCACATCACGAATACCACGAAACTCGATATACACACTCAGAATACTCTCTCATCAAAATGCGTGAAATTGTAAGTTATACCGAGGCCTCTCCAGCTGCTGTTTACTCCACGACGCGTCTGGCCGACTCAACACCCCTGAATATTTACCCCACTACTTTGAAAAGAACGTTAAGCTGACCAGATTTCTTTCGAATAGGTTCATCTCCAAACCGGCCAATGTGTAAGTCTATCTGTTTTGCGAGTCTGCGAATGCTGTCTAACAGAATCAGGGTAACCAAATTGGTGCCGCCTTCTGGTGTGTTGCTCCTCAAGCTCCAGCTTTTTTTCGCGATGGGAATCCGCGACATCTAGGCATCCATACTAATACTCAGCAGGCAAAACATCTCAGGCGAGCACGGTCTTGATGGACAGGGTGTGTAAGTATACTGCGAACTCCCTGGGCAGATCTACAGTGTGCTGACAACATTTAAGCTACAACGGAACCTCTGATCTTCAGCTCGAGCGTATGAACGTCTATTTCAACGAAGTCAGTCAAATCTCGGAACCGAACAGCTTGCATATACTAAATAGTCTAGGCCTCCGGAAACAAATATGTTCCTCGTGCCGTTCTCGTCGATTTGGAGCCAGGTACTATGGACGCGGTCCGTGCCGGTCCTTTTGGTCAACTTTTCCGACCCGACAACTTCGTTTTCGGTCAATCCGGTGCTGGTAACAATTGGGCTAAGGGACATTACACTGAGGGTGCTGAGCTCGTGGACCAAGTCCTCGATGTCGTCCGTCGTGAGGCTGAGGGATGTGACTGCCTCCAAGGTTTCCAAATCACCCACTCCCTTGGTGGTGGAACTGGAGCTGGTATGGGTACGCTTTTGATCTCCAAGATCCGTGAGGAGTTCCCAGATCGTATGATGGCCACATTCTCCGTTGTGCCATCACCAAAGGTCTCTGACACCGTTGTCGAACCATACAATGCCACCCTCTCCGTACATCAGTTAGTCGAGAACTCCGACGAGACCTTCTGTATCGACAACGAGGCGCTTTACGATATTTGTATGAGAACTCTCAAGCTCTCCAACCCTTCATACGGAGATCTTAACCACTTGGTCTCCGCCGTCATGTCCGGTGTCACCACTTGTCTTCGTTTCCCAGGTCAGCTTAACTCTGATCTCCGCAAACTGGCTGTCAACATGGTGCCATTCCCTCGTCTTCATTTCTTCATGGTTGGATTTGCTCCTCTTACCAGCCGCGGAGCTCACTCTTTCCGTGCCGTTACCGTCCCAGAGTTGACCCAGCAAATGTACGATCCAAAGAACATGATGGCCGCCTCCGATTTCCGTAATGGTCGTTACCTCACATGCTCTGCTATCTTGTAAGTGCTCTATGGTTTCTTGAAGCAAACATAATATTCTAACATTATCTAGCCGTGGCAAGGTCTCCATGAAAGAAGTTGAGGACCAGATGCGAAATGTCCAAAACAAGAACTCGTCTTACTTCGTCGAGTGGATCCCTAACAACGTTCAAACCGCTCTTTGCTCCATTCCTCCACGTGGACTTAAGATGTCCTCTACTTTCGTCGGTAACTCGACATCCATCCAAGAGTTGTTCAAGCGTGTCGGTGATCAGTTCACTGCTATGTTCAGGCGAAAGGCTTTCTTGCATTGGTATACTGGAGAGGGTATGGACGAGATGGAATTCACTGAGGCCGAGTCCAACATGAACGATTTAGTGTCCGAGTATCAACAATACCAGGATGCCTCCATCTCCGAGGGTGAAGAGGAGTATGAGGAAGAGGCCCCATTGGAGGAGGAGGCTTAATCAATGTACTCTTGCCAGATGTTGATTGGCTGTGCGTGAAACGCTTGTATCAGCGCATCATGTCGAACAATACTGCTACGGATGTAATTCTGTCTGAAGGGCGTTCTTTTCTTTTTTGTTGATTTGGAAGCGACGGAGCTTAGTGGAGAATATCAAGCAACCAGCGGTTTATTATGCCGACTGATCCAAGTAGAAAATCAATCCTTGATTTTACATACATACAACGTGCATTCTTGGTGGACATCCACAATAACAACACCAATCATTGAGGAACTTTGTTTGTGATGGTTGCTAATTTTGATAGTTTGCTGCTGGATGCAGAGGAAATTTTCTTTTTGCATCTGGTGACGCTTGGGCAAAGACCTTTGGGGATTCGCGTCGTCCAAACAGGGGGATTGACGGGTGGGGCAACGCTAAGATAAGGAGAGCGGTTGCGGGGAGCTGGAAAATTATTTTGACAACCACCACGGATTTCCTACATCAATTGAACAACAACTACAAACTTGCTTGTTTTCTCGTTTGATTTTGCCAACTGCAATTAATCTCAACTGCAATAACCTGCTCGATCTCTCCCCAAATACTCAATCATGGCAAAAGATAAGGTATGTTAGTCTTTTATTACCCCGCGGCGGTGAGGCCTCAACATACGAAGAGTCATAAGAGCGAAGCTTCACCGGAATTATCTATATATATGGCAAAACTCAGGCTGACAATACGCTCAGGTCTGTCTCGCATACTCTGGTGGCCTTGATACCAGCTGTATCTGTACGTTTGCATCTACCGCGGAATTTTCGGTCTGTTTACTAATTGACCCCCAGTGAAATGGCTTATCGAGGAGGGATATGATGTAGGACTACCTTGATAGATTTTGGGCCGGCCTTATACTGATTGCGACAGGTTGTTTGCTTCATGGCAGATGTTGGACAGGAAGGTCGGTAACTACGTTTGGCTCTGAAGTTCCAAAGCTAATTACATTCAGAGGACTTCGAGGCCGCCAAGGCAAAGGCGATGAAGATTGGAGCCGTTGCATGCTACGTTGAGGATATCCGCCGAGAGTTCATCGAAGAGCTCTGTTTCCCAGCTATCCAGTGCAATGCTATCTACGAGAATATCTATCTTTTGGGTAAGTTCTGTAATGACGTGAGTCATACTAAATAAGTTTCTTCAACTAAGACTGCTTCAGGTACATCTCTTGCTCGTCCGGTCATCGCTCGTGCACAGATCAAGGTCGCCCAAAAGGAAGGATGTTTCGCTGTCTCCCACGGTTGCACTGGTAAAGGAAACGATCAGGTCCGGTTCGAATTGGGATTCTACGCCCTCCAACCTTCCATAAAAGTCATTGCCCCATGGCGTATGCCAGTCTTCTACGAGCGATTCGCTGGACGTAACGATCTTCTCGACTATGCTGAGAAAGTCGGTATTCCTGTCAGCAGCACAAAAAGCAAGCCATGGAGTATGGATGAAAACTTGGCACATTGCAGTTATGAAGCCGGTATTCTCGAGGATCCAGATGTCACTGCTCCAGAGGATATGTGGAAGCTCACGGTTGATCCTTTGAAGGCACCGGACAAGCCAGAGGACTTCACCCTTGTTTTCGAGAAAGGTCTTCCAGTCAAGCTTATTTCGGCTTCAGGAAAGACCTTCACCGACTCCGTTGAGCTTTTCCTTGAAGCAAATGCCATTGCTCGTCGCCACGGTGTTGGTCGTGTCGATATCGTCGAGAACAGATTCATCGGTCTTAAGTCCCGTGGATGCTACGAGACCCCAGGTCTTACCTGCCTTCGCTCTGCACACATTGATCTTGAAGGTCTCGTCCTCGATCGTGAAGTTCGTGCTCTTCGTGATCAATTTGTCACATTCAACTACGCTAAAGTTCTGTACAACGGTCTTTACTTTTCTCCTGAGCGCGAGTTCCTTGAGGAGAGCATTGTTGCTAGTCAGAAGAATGTCAATGGACAAGTCCGATGCCGTGTCTACAAGGGAAGCTTCTCTGTCCTTGGCAGAAGCTCAGAGACCGAGAAGCTGTATGACGCTAGTGAGAGTTCCATGGACGAGATTGGTGCATTTGCTCCTTCAGACACCACTGGATTCATCAGTGTTCAAGCAATCCGTCTGAAGAAATATGGTGAGGCCAAGCTTTCCAAAGGAGAGAAGATGTAAAATGCCTCTTAATCCTTCTTCAACTACGGTATCAAAAAATTCCGATGTTTAATGCGATGTTTAATGCTATGTTTTCTTTCCTGGAGGGTTACGGAAATGGAAAAGCGATTACTAGATTTCTCTGATTTGATGGTTGGTTCTTTTTTGCTTATTAGCTAGCTAGTTTTTACCACTGGGCGAGTTTACTTGATGTTACCCCATCAGATACCAATCAGAAACGATTCATGACCCAATCCTTACTCCCCGTAATCTTCTTCTTTGGGACATGTTTTTTTCCTCTTGCCATTTTTACTTCACATCATCCAGTTCTTCACGATATTCTTCTTTCAGTGTATTTTGCTGTCATTCTTTTTCTCGCGCTAATTCCTTCCATCTCACGCCCGCAAGGTATCACAACGATTGTTCCCTTCCGACCCCCAATATCCTCGCATCCTTTCCTGATGCCCAATCTCACTGCGATAGACAATATACAACCGCGTTGGCGCAACCACAGAGCAGGATTAAGCGCTCCGCCCTCTGCTATTCGTCTTTTTCGATAGCGGCAGGGTTAACCACGCGTCCTAATCTCACCGCATGCAGCATTCGTGAGAATAGAAGGGTTTTCACCGTTCCATTTTCTACGCCTCCGCCACGTTGTTCCCACGTGTGGCGCTTAAAGTTGCGAGATGCGCAGTGCATACTAATGGGGGAGTTTACGGAGTACTTCGCCTCCACAATTCATTGTATACGCAGCTGACTGGACGCTCGGAGAGATAACAAATAATTAATTATTTTATTTGGCTTCGTTCCAGAATGTCTTGGATTAAGGGATTGCATGGCGTGTGAAAGGTATGCTGACGGGGTGCCGTCTGACAAGACACGTTTTTGACACGTTTCGGGGGTATTTCCTAGGGGGGCTCGGCTGTCGTATAGCCTTAGGCCTTTTCTGTGATGGGAGCTGAAGATTCTTGTATACCTTCGGGCGTTTGTGATTGGGTTCTTGTGCTTTGCAAATGGAGATTGGATGCTGGTTTGGTTACCGACGTGCTGGGGGATTCAAGCCTCGAGTTTCCAATGGAAGGTATGGTCTATTAGCGTCAGTATGGCTGATCGGGAATCACCCCGTTCTTGGGGAGCTGCGTTCACGGCTTTTGATTGCTTGGATACATTAATCTTCCGGAAGATTGCTTCTCTTGATATTCCTCTCGGTGATATCTCCATTTACGTCTCTCCCGACATGCACATATCGCTCTAGTTTATGCTTGACACTAGAACTACGCATGGATGGGGATCCTGCCTGGGATTATCCCTTTTTTCCGTAGATCGCCGACTCAGTCTTCCTTCCGGGCTTTGGAATGTTCGATGGAATGGTGGTGGCATAGGGATGAAGTCTTCCTGGTTACATTGACCCGTGTGGGACTTGGGCTATGTATAGGAGGGTGCTAGAGGAGTGAGGTATCACGGAAGTTTCAGCTACGATGAGGTGGTGAAATGTTGCATTGGTTTCAGCTCTTGGAAGGGAGGTGATGTTGGTGGTTATGGTTCCCGGTGGGAGGAATTTCTGTTGGGGTTTTTGGAGTGCTGATGATCGACCCTGCTGTGATCTTAATTTTAAGCTTGTATTTCCTCATACCGTCTACCATATTCTGACGTTGATCTTGTTGAAGGATTTGGGGTTACTGTTTTAGAGTCCGCTTTCCATATCCTGCCTCAGTATGTTGGCGATGATCTAGTTGGATATTATATGAGCTGTAGTAATGATCGGAATTTCCGGTCCTGTAACTTTATATTCAGGATTTACAAAGCTCAGGAAAATCAATTAAATTGATGCATCATTCAAGACGTGAACCTTGACACTTAATGCATAATCAGAACTGTCTTAGTTGAGTTGCATATACGTTCTAGCAAGTTTCGTTTTTGTCCTCTTTTCTAATTACTATCACAAAAGGTTGCACATATTTCTAGTAAGCAATTGAGATAAGCTCAAGCATTCTATCCTCATTGCTTGACACCCAAATATTCCAAGAATGGCTGTCATCAAAATAATTGTAGATGACTCTGGCCAGTCACGGTTACTTTAAAACTGTAGTTAACTTAGACGCTATCATGACTTAATGCGATCAAACTCGTCCAGGTGAAGTTCAAATTATCATAATAAAACTCTGATCACAGCTTTCCAAATGGTAATTGGGATAAATGGGGTGTTCTTAGATACAGCCATCTAGATCTAAGTATTGAATATTTCAACAAGAATCCCCCTTTCTTCTCCGTCAAAAGCTGAACACTTTTTTCAACCAAGAGAACTTGTTATGTGTGAAACTCCCCCTCTTCGGCGTTACAGGAAGAAACCCAGAAGCCATTCCTTTACGAAGAAAACTTTTATGGGTTGGCTTTACTGGCAGGCTGGTCAGAATGTTAGAGTACAAAGGTCTTTAATATTGATGCTAGACACTCACATTTGCTATGCGTCTATGAAATTCATTTCCACCCAGCATTATTTTTCGAACATCTCAATAAGAGTTCTCAGAGATTCGGTAATTATTAGTACATTCTAGGTTCAAGACTATAAATTAAGATCCGCACAAACGGTTGAAGTAGGGTACGTTTAGTGTCAAATCTTCCAGTCTTTCATTTTGTCAGTTCAGCCATATATTGATCACCTTCCAAAGCGGTAGGGAAGAGGAGGGATGATTCGAGAAGTTGTGGCTCAAGATTCCCTTTACGGATGAGCTTCCAGATGACAATGAAACTTCTCTCAGATATATGGTCATCAATGCTGTTTCAAGCATATATGGATCGGTTTCTCAATAGCTAGGGAAGAGCAGTTATAATTGAAGAAGTTTTGGCTCAAGATTTCTTTCGTAGACAAAATTCCAGATTACAATAAACCTCTCTCAGATGTTTGATCTTCAATGCTCCTTCAATGTAAACACATATGAGATTTACAAAACTAGAAATATTTCAGTATTTTGAGTTGCTACCAACTCATCATCTTCACAGAAGCGTCACTCGAATTCAAGAATGGAATAAGTATTGTATCACTTTCAATGAAATAGGTACAAGTAGCGCCCTGAAGATACAGCAGTTACCTTATCTTCGCAATCAAACAGCGTCTATGCTTCCCTGAGACTTCCAACTCTGCTCAATTGAAACTCGCTTAATTTTCGCTGCTTTGAACTCTCATTAATAGAGTTAATAAAATTCAACCTTATCTGATTCCGCAAAAACAAATAGCAGACTCCGAGACCTCTCCAAAAGCATAATCTCTGCCGACGCTATCCTAACTATTTGCTTCTTCCAGCAATCTTATCTTATCACTTGCACAAACCTCAAGCCAGACCATAAAACCCACCACAACCTCCCCATCCCCATCCAATACCCTAACCCCAAAAGCAACTCCCATCCATCATCTCACAAACCCCCCAAACCCTCTCTCTCAAACCCTCCCATCTCTTTCCCCTCCTATCCCCATCCCCATCCCCCCATCCCCCACCCCATTGGCCCCTCCGCCCTGCACGCCGCTGAATAACCACCGCCCAAACACCAGCAGAAAAACAAACCTCACAATTGGATCGGCATATTCCCATCTGTCGAGTTCTATAAAAAGCCACTCTTGGTGTTGCACATACCCAGATAGGGAAATGACGAACGAGGGACGATGCCACATGGGAAAGATGCGAGACATGTGCTTTTTTTTTCTTTTTTGGAGGGATGGATGGATGGAGCCGAGATATGGTGCGCAGATTGTGTTGTGAGGTTTTGTGATGGAGGGGTACTGCGATATGGGGGATTTTGAGGACGGCGGTGAGGGTCAGATTGGGGTTCTAGGCTGGGTTGGGATGGTGTGTAGATGCTTGGACTTGTGGATTTGAGATGGAATAATGGAATTTTGTGACTTCATAATCTTTGAGGCGACGGGTAGACGGCAATTTGGATTTTGCCTCTGCTGTGAGTCTTTATATGCACGGTGATGAGGAGAATTCTTTGAGTCAACAATTATATTCATAGGCCTTGTAGTTGGGAAATGGGCTGGCATGTTCACAATTTGGAAGCTTCAATACTATACTTAAGGTGGGTCATCCTTGTTCCTGGCTTATAGATCAAGTACAACCACCAAGATGCATGGCATGGTGTCACACCTCGTGCTATTGCTACAAAGCTATAGAATATAATCCAAATAAAATAAAATAAAATAAAAATCAACATTAAATTAATTCAATCACCTCAGTCTCCGCACCCCTCACTGCCCGTCTGACTTACCTAATCTTGGCCGTTAACAAAACCACAATCCCGTACTCCGTAATCTCAAAGCAAAATCACCCAGCAATACCACCCCGCCATCCCATCCAAAGCAAAAGACTCGCAGCGGGATGTGATATCATTCAACATATGCACAGCGGAATGTCTCGGCAGCCCAAATCACACTGCTCCAGCTGACTGTACAACAGACGGCGATGCCGGGCGTAGGAGTTAGGCGTTACGCAGCACGGTACCACGGAATCCAAAGTGCGCCCTTGGGGAGACGGCGGACATCGGAGTGTTTTGTGACTCCCAGGTGCATAGCACACCCAAAATTGGAAGTGTTCAAGCCACATATTGTGATCGGTGACGAGTATGGACTCGTAAATGCAGGAGTGGACGCTTGGCAATCAGACTAATAGCGGGGTGGCTTTATGAAGGTTTTTGCTTTTTAAAGAGGTCATCTGGGGATTTAGTAGGAGAGAGAGTTAGATGTATAGATGTAAGTTTGAAAGTGTGTAGAGGTGCCACGTGCTGCAGAAGATCCGGGGTTAAGTGATTGAAGTAGCGGGGTTGGAGATCAGTCATCCTCACCGAGAACTCCATGCAAGAATCCCAAAGAGGGAGTTTGCGCAAGAATTACGCCGGAATTGGAGGTTCTGCTGAATAATGATTACGGATATTTCCCTCCTCTACACCATGATATCGACGAGATCATGAGGCTAACGGCAACGCGAGACGTGAGGTTGCATTCAGACTTCGCGATCCGATGCCGTTTTGGAAAAATCATGTACGGCCTGCTTCGTTCGGTTGGCGGCCATGTGTCGCCAGATGTGGCCGCAGGAAAAGGCCTCAAGCCACCGGTTTAAGGGTCGTAGACAAAAAGGCGGACATGAGAGGAAAACATGGGGTGCTGATGAGGGTGTGGGAAGGCTGCATGGGACGGACTGGGGGGCACATAGCGAGGAACGGCTGCTCATTCGTTGCCAGGAGCCGAGATTGGGTTGCGAGAGCCGGATGTACACGTTTCTAAGGGGGTGCGTATGTGTTTGGGACTGGGTGTTTTGGGAATGGCGGTGGACGTGTTGGAGTTGAATTTAAGTGTTGACCTTCCTGTTGTGCAATTAATGCATGTACATGGGAGACGCATATGCTCTGGGTATGTAGAGATGTGGATCGAAAACTACAACAAGTCAACATAAATGTATGGATGAGAGAAGTGCGTGATGTTTGGACAAGGCATTTATGGTGAGTTGGATTTGATCTCGCTCGCACAGTGCTATGAACTCCCTGCCGTACAACCAGTAAGACCCAGCCATTTGGAATAATCGAAACGTCCCTAAGCCCCTGTTAAACCTCCCCCTCTCGCTAAGTTAACTTGTTGGACTATGCGTTTGAATTGCGGCTCGGCAGTGAAGTATAATGGCATTGTGTAGAAACATAATGGATGGATGTCTCACTGAGCGAGCAAGAAGACTGAAAGCTCGGCAATGCTCATGAACTTTTCTATATCCGAACAAGTGAGATATTATCTGAACATAAGGTACCGATGTCAGATTCCAGCCCTACATAGAGACAAACCCGCTGTAGTCAGATGCTACGGGGCGGGTACTATGCGTCTTATTTTGGTACCTACCGTATCTCTCACCGCTGAGACAAACATATCTCGGACCGCCTGAATAGCAAGGCGCTGGCCGGCTAATGCCACAGAAACGGATGCTTTGCATAGCGAAGTATATCGGCAATCGGGGGGAGTTGTTAGTCTGAGTTGACTGGCTATTGACTCGGCTAGATCAGAGCAGACAATCCCGAAACCAACCCAACCAACTCTGTCTCGGCTTTGCGAGCGGCCGCTGAGATTTCTCGTCCATTGAACCACGTGCACCTTGCTCGCTAGGGTCATCTCGATACCGTTGTTTATCTTGCATTGGGCCGCTCGTGAGAGCAGATATTGAGACAATTGACAAGGAAAAATCCCCTTCCTGGGTCCCGAAGAAACTAGATAACAGTTAGCAATATATTTCTTGATACGAGGACAGATAGTGTTGGGTTGGGGAGCTCGTTTAGGAGAGAATTGAGGAATCTCGTGCATTAGCAAACAATGGGTTGTCTTGCAAATGCACTCCTGCATGTTGGTCAATGAGGGATAAAAGAACTTTGTTGGTTCGCCCAACATGACCGAGTAGCTTAAGGAACACGGTACTGGCTATTACCTTCTCATCATCACACTGATTCTCTTCACATTTTTCAAGTCCAGCGGAGTCGGATCCTCCACCTTCCTCCCTCTGTAGGTAGCATTCAATTCGTCCCAGGTCAAGAATATCTTCTCCCCATCTGCACTGGCCTTGAAGTCGTACTCCCAACTCGTCGTGGACTGCTCCCTGCCATTAGGACTTTTGGGTAGTAGTTGGTCTTTGAGGATTAACGTGTATTGTTTGCCATCCGACTTTGCAACATCTAATTGTATGCCTGCATAGCTGGACAGGTTCCAGTTGCGATCCTCCCCCGTTGTTCGCTGCGATGCGAACCCCGCGCCCCCCAATGTTTTAATGTCAAGGTTTCCGTTGAACTCGGCTGTGGTTGGGGATTTCGTATCGATGGTTAGATACGATTGAGAGGAACCTCCACGTACACGATCGTCAGAGGATGTCCAGTCGCTAGGGTTCCATGGCCTGTAGATAGTCAGTATGCTGCTACGAACGGGAGGAATCGCTTGGCTATCACTTACTTGTCTCCTCCAAAGAGAAATTTCTGGGATGAAGAAATGGAAGTCATAATCTGCTTGTTAATTGTGTACGTTATAGGCGACAGAGCTCTTGACGAAGTAATAGCTTGTTGAGCCAGAATTATTTGCGACGCGGGGAACACAGGGGTCAATCTCCGCTTCTTCGTCTGACGAATCCGTAAAACAAACAACAAGAAACACAATTATTTGACAACAACTCGTGTAGTTGTGTTGAACAAAACCTACAATATTCACTCTTCACTCTTGACTGCCGGTCCAAAAGCGTCAATGACCTCACCATTTCCAGCGGCGGCTCAGTGCCGGCCGCGCTTACTGCTGACAGGAGCTCAGATCTGGCAGAATGAGGGGAAAGAAGCATTTGCGCACGATACTTCCTCGCAAAATATCCAGGCTTGGAAAAGACACATGAGCTGGGAATTCTCCTTACCCATTGTCGAGTCGGAATTTCGAATTCAGCGTGAATGTGCCAAAGAGCCGAAGACCCGAAGCCCGTATGCCTTTTCTTCACGTATTCATTGCCAGATTTGGAAATGTGAGAGATAACTTGTTTGTGGGCTCGAGTCGAGTTCCGGATATACCGTGATTTCTCAGCCATAGCAACTTGTGGAAAGAATCGCAAATATCCTCAAATAGCAGTCGCGTAGCTAGGGGGCTTTATGTACATGCCGTATAGCAAGGATACCTACCATTCGTGTCTCCCTCGCAATAAACCATAGCGCTCGAGCTCGAACCCTCGAAGCCTCCCAGCAACTCCAAAAAATGACAAAAACCTCAAGCTCCACGTCATTGCAAAGCCTGAATTACAATTTCCCCTTCCCTTTCCCGTACCCTTCACGCTGATTTGGAAGCTTTTCGTTCGTATACTGGCAGGTCACCCGTCCCTCAAAGCGGGCTATGCAACTCCTTAATGTTCCGACCCTCCGTTACGTCAAATCCTACAGAACATTTCATTCCACCGCCTACCAGTAGATGTGCGATCTGCATGATTCGCACACATCTATGCACTTTATTTCATGTTGAGCCCTGAGGCTACCTGGGCAGGACAGCGCAGGTCGGGAGTCGTCAAGCCCGTCTCTCGGTCGAAAGAATGTTCGCGCGAGATGGGCTGGATGGGATGGTATCCACTTTACGTGAACGTCACGGTGGAGGGACGGGGTACGGGTGTGTGCTGCCTTCGGCGTGGTGGTACCCTTATTCTGCTATCAGATAGATGGTGGTGAAAAAGGAATTATGAAAATAGCTGCAAGGCTGCCAGTGTGATATTTGAGTGACTCGGCTCAAGGAGTCGCGAAGCAAAAAGAGTCGGGTAACACTTCAATGGCATTATGGTTTTGTGTATCACAGTGATGCAGCAAATGAGATTGTGAGTATAAAGAGTGATGTAGTTAAATTTAAACAATAAATAAGTGTTCTCGAACCCAACAGCCTAGCGACTGTCGCTCGATTCCATCCCGTGGGGTATTTACAGTAACAAGTAGTAAACATAAAAAAGTTGCGTTGCCCCCCATACATACTTCTGGTATCAATCCAGCAAGTAGAACAAAAATCCAACAAAACAAGTAAGCATCTTATCCCAGAACACCAAAACGACCAGTTTTGTTCATGCTATAATATCCTCCAAAGCAGGCCCTCTAAAGAACGAGTATCGAGCGCTTCGATCTCTCGGTTTTTATCATAACACCAGGATCCCCAAATGAAAATGTCCGTTTATCATGCGTACGGTGCGTGGCGTAGCGGTCATATCTGCGTCAGGAGACGAGGGGACGGAGGCATTGAGAGGGGCGTGGTTGGGTATTGGTAGCCGTTTTCGGAGCAGGTTGCTGAGTGATCGTATGAGTGTGAGAGAGGAGGAGTCTGGAGGTTGCGAATTAGTCTAGGCTCTCGTTATGTGATTTGAGGTGGAAAGTACTAACATGAGGATTTGAGTCTTCGTAGCTGTGGGAACTCTGAATGTCGATTGCTGGGAGACCTTGATAGCTCAAGTTGAATGGTGCCATGGTATCGTCTTCCCGCTTGATCGAGTCTTGGAAATGCATCAATGATGGTAAAGTGACTGGTTCCATGTATCCACCATATTCAGCGCCTGTGGATACTGGTCGGTATGGCTGTGATTGCGGATACGGAGGATATGACATGTCCTCAGGAGCCGGATATGAGTGTTGGTAGGCAAAGAGTGGTGGTGTCCGCGAACCCTCTCGATCATATTGGCTTCCAAAGATCAACTCATCATCGTGGTGCATTGGCGGCGTATACTGGCTTGGGAGAAGTCTGGGAGAAGTTTGTCTGTGAAGAATATCTGGGCTTCTCTTACTCCACTGCTGCTCGTGACGTTCTGGGTGGTGAAGTTCGGCGTGCTGCTGTGGCGGAGATGCTGAAGATGATCCTGCCCTTCTCTCGAGGTCTTCAAGACGTCTCTTTAGCTTCTTGCCTGTTAAAGCTTTAGTAACTGTCCTATCCTCATACTAAGCCGTGCTACTTACGGTAATTGCGTTGAGCAATGCGATTTTGGATTCTTCGACGCTCAGCGAGATCTGAAATCTTCGTCCAATCTTCATCTGGGTTTGCTGAACTGCTGAAAGCACTGCTGGTCCCATGGGCGGTGATATTCCTGGTTGCCGTCGGCGCGGCGTATGAGTAGCTTTGACGAGACATGATGGTTGGTTTGTAAATGGGACTTCGATGGATGGTGGACATGAAGTGTATTAAAGTTATGAAGCTTCTTTTAAGAAGTGAGGTAAGGTGAGAACTTGTTGGTGATCAGGAACTCTGTACAACAAGGTAATGAGGCATCCAAGTTGGGGATGCTCCTCGAGTATATATGTGTGTGGGCAAGCACAAGGTCCGCAGGATACGGACTTTGGCATTTGGGGCCCATCTCCCACGAATCCCTGCCTCCTCAAAGCTGAGCTCGAGAGAGTCCGTACATACCGACCCTGCACCAAACTTAGGGCTGGGACTGAGTGACCCCCCTGTGCGGTTCGATATTCCCTGCTTTCAACCGTTGTTCGCAGTGACACTGCAAGCCACGCTTTTGGGGCCCATTATTTCGAATATGGCACTCGAAGTAGTTTAAACTGATATTCCACCTGCATGGCCGTCCGCCAGGTGCTTTGGGTTACGCCAGGTGTGGGACAAGGATCGAAAGCCGTGTCCGCACACCCTGCTCGCACTTCTGTGCCTTTTCCCACGAAACCCAAAGCTTTCCAGCGGCGCTAAGTTGCATGTGGTCGTCGTCTGGCTGGCTAAATGCGGTCAATTAGTTGTCTTTAAGAATAGAACATAAGTCGACTAACTTATCAGGGGGTTCGCTTAAAGCAGCATTCAGCCAACATCACGACGCCAACAGCTCCCCCTAGCACTTCAACCGCCAGCATCACCAGAGCCAACACCTTCTGCCGCCAACATCAAGCCCCTTTTCCTTTTGGCGTCTTTCGGTGCGTGTCTCTGCTACTTGGAATAGAACTGCGCTACGGCGCGCTTGTAGTGAGAACGAATAGCGATACCCGACGACAAACGCTTGAGACCAATTGTTCTAATCCGGAAGAAACGATAGCACATGTTTTCTCTTGCATCAATGTTCATATTTTCCTCTGCTCTTAGCGCCACCCGCCGCCGCCTTCAAATTATTAATGGATCCAAAGCTTCGCGAGAAGTAAAGGGAATATCCCAACAGCACGCAGCAGAACCACACTGGAGATTCGCCATCACCGACCCCATCTCTGGAGGGTCTGGAGGCAATTCATGGGGTTTGCAGATCCACCTGTGGATGGAGGACTCACTCCTTTCTCTGCGCCGACCAGATTGTGGAGGGGCAGCAAAGGAATGAACCGCACTGGGAATACCTTCAAGATCGCGTCTGATCAGCCTCTGCCTTGTAGCTTGTCTAGTATCACATTTCAAATCGGCCCCGTAGAGCATTGAACGGCTCGCAACCTCGCCGCGCTTTCGAGCGAAGGCGCGGCTATCACACGGCAAGCTGCTCCCACGTCCAGGAACCTGCCCGCTTGTCTATCCACTCGCAGAGGAGCAAAAGTGGTTGCCTGGAAATCCGTTCTCATCATCTCGTTCATCTGAAGTCCAATCGGAGCCGGGAAGTCGGCCATGGCAAGTGAAATCTTAAGTCCCTATCCTCCGGGGGGCACAGTCGTTGATGTTGCGCCGTTCCCCCATGGAGATTGCAACAGTTGAACCGAAATTTGCGTAAAACATTTCGTCGTCAAACAACGGCCAAGATTTTTCCATCTGGCTGTTGAGCATTGTTCGAGAATCGAGTGGTCCGAGGAACTCATCCCTACAGCCCTAAATCCAACAACGTCCGAGTCCCTCCCCTTTCTGGTTCGGCGAAGGAGACAGGAGCAGGAGACCCTAAACGCACCGTGCTGTCTCTAGCAGCGGCCGCTTGGTCGACCGTTCTCCATCCAATCATTGAACGGCAGTGAAGATACATCTCACAAGTCACTACTCAGCAGGATGAAGTTCCAATTGATACTACAGAGGCTCATCGTGAGCCTTCTCATGAGTAATTCATGTACCGGCGTCTATTCGGTCTTTGTAAGCCCCTATTTCCAGAACTTCCATGCACGTCAATCATCTCTCTATCGCGCTAGGAGAAGACCCGCGGGTTTGGGTACATGCTGCCAAGACACGCCTGCGTCTAAATTTGGTACGTATGACCTCTTCAAACGCAATAGGTTCGGCGGCTCCAAAATAGCTTGTGATTTCAGATACAGCAGCTTCGATATTGATTGCAAGCTTTTGGTACTGCGAGCCACTTCTGCTCTATTCTAAAATCAAAGTTTTTTCTGAAGTTTCGCCCACTCTCGAGGGTGAATGGTCTAGTTCGTGTATCCGGGGTTGGTATTGCAAACCCGATTATGAATCGACCATGCACTGCTAAGTCCGGACCGTGTAACCCAGCTTCCTTGTGCCACTTGCTTCTGCACGCCCTTCTCAAGACTGGAGAATAAAGTTCGCAGTAAAGTCGAATGTTTAGCGCAAATGTAGTAGTCATCACTAGTTTTCCTACAAATTCAAAGAGTGGTCCTGTGTTTGGCCGTGGTAGCACAAATTTGCTCATATTCGCTGCTTTGAAGCCCCAGCTCGCCTCACATGTCCAACTCAGGTCAATTGACAGCAATTAATGGAGCACCCAACTAATACCCGCGAGTTGACCGTGCTGCTACTGTATATCCGACGGGCAAACTAGCGGGTATGAATCCGCAACTTGCCATTCTGAGTTGGTTCAGGGAGATCTGGAAGTCTAGGCGCCGTAGATAGGGTACTTGGTGGAGGGTTGTTCCAGGGCGTGATATGGGCAAGGAGCGTGTGCTGTAACTTACTCAAAGTAGTCAACAAAACGGCAATGGGAAATTTCGTGCGGGGATGAAGTGCCATGGAGCGCGGTGCGTGTACCAACGACTGGAAGCATGGCATGTCGCGACGAGACGAAGATCTTCCAGCGGCGTATAGAGCCCTATCTGGTTGATCCATCAGTGCAAGTGCTCCCAAGCTTCCAAGCTCGTGATATGCTTTTGGCCCCCGCCGCCTTCACACAGGTCTGCTTCTCGATATCCGGAAAGGGCTATTAGTGGCCATTCTCCAAACGATTCCTAATTAGCCCTCATTGAGCGGGAGCTGGGGGCGGGCCAAGGATGCTACGGAGGACGAAGCGGTACACAACCAGCAGTCCCCTTCCCCCAAGCAATTCCTTCGCCAGCACCCCATGAAACTCTCCTTCCAGAACCCTAAAACGCACGTGCTTTGTCATATGTTTATTTATTGCGCCTCCGATGACCAAGACTGCTGCAGCTTCTCTGGGACACGCAGTGTTCATAGGCCAAATTCCGATCCCGTCTGGTGACCGCCCCCTGCCACCGCTCATTCAGACTCGCAGATGGCCATGCAACCCCCTGTTTTCATGCTCGGGGCCAATGGCAGCGCTGGAATCGTACCGAGAAGGAGATGGGCGACGGTGAAGATGGCGGAGAGCGCACATCGAAGGTTCTCTTTTGACCCCCAAGGAATTAGCCTCTGGTTGAGCCTCGTCGACGATTGATGGTCGGAGCATTGAAGGGCGCACGATGGCGTTTGGGTAGGACCGATTGCTGCGCTCGCATCTTGGGTGTTCGCGAGGGTGCTGGAGGGTGCTTGAGGGTGTTGATGTTGCTGTGTTTGGTGGGCAGGCAGAAGATTTGGTCGCTGAGCAGTGGGGAGCTTAACCTTGAGGACGTGCACGCTGCTCGCAAGAGACCTGAAGGGCCATGTTGACGAGTTGCGCCTGCCCTGAGAGAGAGTTTCTCAGCCCTACCCGGGCCGGGCTTGCAGAATTCTGTACAGTACAATCTCACAACTCTCTCAGGGACTGTACTTTCGTACCTGCAACTCGTGTACGTGAAATGTCTCCTTTGGTCATTCTGGTGCCGTCGTCTGCTATCATACCAAACTGTCACTATCATAGCCAGCGCATATTGCAAATCTCGATGCTCTGCATCCGGGACCGGTACTCGTTCTCAAGCATTGCGTCCAGAGTTCCGTGCAATGTTGCGCGTAACCCTTCAGGCATACTCGCCAAACCCTTTGTGCCCGAGATTGGTCAAAGAGCAAAATGCAAATCACTATCACTATACAAATTGTCATAAACCCAAGTCGCCGGTGACTCAAAAGGAAGTGCATGTACGCCAGCACTAACAGCGGACCATGATGTGAAATTTGAGATGCACCCGGTACTCTGTTGAGCCTCGTACCTGTAGGACGCGGGTACCCTAGGACGCAAGCACATACTGCAAAAATCCGCGCCATGAGTGCTCTTTGCAAGCGTAACGACAGCTCCGGCGGAAACGTCCGCGTAACGATAGCGAACCATAGAGAGTCTACAACCCGTAACTTGCCGCATTGGGTAAACGTCTCTGGTGCAAAAGACCAAGAGTCACGGATCGTGTCCTGCTTGTGGCATTTACCTCCGCAAAGTGGTGACCGCACAGTGGTGCGCGCAATATGGTGGAGACGAAAAGTGAAATCACTAACTCACTTCAGGGCTTCCGGCGTGCGCAAGCCTCATGGTGGCTCCAACACCTCCAGCTACCCATCATTGAGCCTCCAGATACCCGTTCTTTGACAGGAAGGACCTGGCATGAGATGGACGCTCCGGCTGTTGCCCATCGATCTGAGATTCAGATTTGAACAGGAAAACCCTTGATCTCCACAAAAAATCAATGTACGAAGTACATGAAGTGCTCCAGCGTCGTGAGCTCTCCACTTAAGCCTCCGTTTACTGTACGAAGGTACAAAATTTAGGCACCCACCAATCTGTACCCATTTTCTTTGATTGTGCAATCGACGATGAAACGGGTCTTGGAAATCCTTGTTTTGGACTGATCGCCGACTCACCGGGAACACAGTACCCAAAAGGCTATTCACGAGGCTCATGGCGTGTGCGAATCTCCGTGCAGGATTTCTGATATGAGGAAACCAAAATCCTCTGGAGGGTGCCACGATGCAACGGGACCGAACGGCAGAAGCAGAACGCCAAAAATGGTAACTCAAATCCACCCACGTTTTTGTCCAGGATATGGATGCCCCTCCCTTGTGCCCCCCAGCTCACACCCCGGGTATACGACCACATCTTCACCAAGAAATCGTTATGAGTTATGTTTTCGTATAATTCAGCAATGACGTGTTGCAACGTTCCATTTCGGGCAATTGCGAGCTCGAAAAGTACTGGGGAAAAGTACTGGGACTCTTGCAAAAACTAATCTTCGTGGATAAACCAAGTGAAAAGTAAAGCTCAATGATATCTAGCCCTAAAGCTTGGTATGAACCATAACTGGCAATCCCTGAGCGTGTTCGCCTGCACTTGCAAGTGGACGATCTCATTTGCAGGCATTGCATCCTAAACGAAGCATCGACACTGATTGGTGTGTTCGCACCGGTGAGTTTTGTGCTTGTTCGGTTCCACAAGTCCAAAGCGTACATTGTTTTGCGTAAAAGAATGGTCAAATATACAACCGCGTCATTTCGCAGAGAGTACTCAAGTGCTATAGAGGTAATTGCTAGAAATTTAGGCGTGATGCATTGACATGCCTAAGAACAGAGTTGCGGTGAAGGAAATGTAACATGTAGAGACAACCACAATTGTCAGGGGCAGCATAAAGCTCGATGTATTCGGATAGGCATGCATGAGGCTATGATAGAGAGTTGCTCATGACCAGCGCGGTTAAAGCTGCAGAAAGGTCGCCGAGTAGGTCTCCCCTTAATCGGCGATAAACTTCTCGCTTAGCTCTTTCCGCCGACCATAGGAGCTCGCATGGCAAGTTCATGAACGACCATTCCACCATAGGGCTGAAGTATGCATTTAACTTTGCTGCTTGTTTTGAAGCAGTGTAAGATTAATCAGGGCTAAGTAAGAATCGTTGCTGAAAGCTTCAAAGAAACTTGAGAGCGTGCCACCCTATTACCTTAGGAGTGGTCTTCCTGCAGTTTTATCCTTGTTGACTTCGCTGGAATACCTTGCAGTTCCAAGCGGAACAACGTTTGACGAAGACATAACTTTCAGTCAAGCAATGCGTTGTTGAATGTAGTCTCCGATTTGTTCGCGACATCTTGAAGCGCTCGTAAAATCTGACAGCAACATTAGCGACCTGTTAAGCGCGTTCACGTAAATCCAGAGAGATCCAATCCAAGAAGAGATCATACGATAGAAGGTACCTCTCTCTGGGCGCTTTGAAAGCTCTATCATAGTTCGGTGAGGCAAACGTGCAATCCAGACCACAGCAGGACAAGCTTTACCTAATGTACGAGACTGGGTACCTCGCGGCTATGTGCTGACCACCGTTCAAGCATGACCTTGACGGTCTAGACGGTCTGGCACCTCGTAAATAAGCGTATAATCAGCCAATCGTCTGTGAATTGATAAGTCAACCATTATTTCTGAAGATGAGTTCAACAAAATGATGAACACTTTTTTCCTGGTCTCCTAGTGTACTGCATATTACCCCTTGGAGTCGGTTCGAGCTTCAATCGAGACTACAAATCTCACCCTCAGGACCTTCCAGAAGTCCGACACGACTTACCGATTGTTTCAATGGCTGAGATTATACTTTGGCCCCCAGCCAGTCGCAGACTGGAACTGCGCTGACAGGTCTTGCCAGTGATACAGCCACCACGCGAATAGTGTCCGAAGGCGAGGACCCACCCATAAGGATGAGGAGATGAAACCAATTAGCAATCAAGACGTCCAGCTTCCACTAAAACCCATCTGTCTCCTTCCTCTTTGCGTTACTGGCAATCCACTCCCCCTCACGAGCTGCCAACCATGTACCCGACCTTCATTGTACCCCTATTTCCATACATGAGATGGAATTGGCACATGGCAAGATACCATGCGATGCATCACTATGCAAGCCACGAAACACATGTGGTTGTCTCTGCATCAAAGGCTTCGGGAGTTCTGCCGCTAGAAGATGATGGCTTTGAAGATAATATCCCAAACGATGCGAAGGATTCTCCATATTCGACAGCTATTAGCTTCGTAGGCTTCATTTGAAGAATTCCATGCATTTGATCTTTCATGCTCTTAACTGAATGAACATAGCAAACTACGTAACATTCCCCTGTGCCCAGATTATTGATCAGTCAGATGTACGACCACTCCAATGTGAGAGATTCTTCTGGAGCCATGGTAATGCTTCTGGGATTTTGTACCGGTAAAGGACTTTGAGTGCTGATTTTACCCATGCTAACAAACGGCTGGGACAGCTTGACGGGTTGGAAAGGGGGTTGTACTTGAAATTCTCCGCTAACGGCTCGAGAGGAATTCAGCCCGATTTCCAGTGGTGCTTGGCATCTCACCGGTTTGCAAATCGTTGGCTAGATTGAGTGTATGTAACGCGGATTCGTGGCTAGAGTGCTTCGTTATAGGAGCTTATAATCATTAATTCGCAAGGGAATTCATTGCCATGCTTGTTGTGAAGGATCGTAGGCAGCAAGAGTTCAGGTCCTTCCGAATTCCATCATGGCTTCGACTGATAATGGGGCCATTAACCGCCCATCTCAGACAGCTGGGAATCGTGCCGAAGGACTGTTCACGGCCTTTTTATTTAGCAGAATATCATCTTGAAATTAGAAAAAGTAATAACGCGAAGAACGACCCGTTCAAGAAAATATCTAAGAATTCATAGGGAGAATTGGTAAACAAAAACTTGCGCAGAAGTACCAATTTAGCACCCGGAAAGGCTTTCTGACGCGGCTAACACTCCAGTGGAGTTATCACATGGATCCATGCGGAAGTGTGCCGGGAATTGAGAAGTGACTTTGGGCTAGAGACACTGGAATCTGAACCCTTGCAAGCTCATTCCTTCACCAGGATTTCATTTCTCCTGCAGAGTTTCTATTGCAGGATGAAGAGTGATTGGGAGAATGCTATTGTAGAGCATATACAGGTCCCATCCGGAATCTAGGTCTTGGTCCTGAAAGTAACGCAATGGACTTCCACCAGTCTGAAAGCTCATAGGACTAGATTGGAGTTTGCGAATGTCCACCAAGATTCAGAGAATTCAATCAAATGACGACGGGTTTCATCCAGGAGCTGGGCATCGTCTGAATGAGCTGCTCAAATCGAATTCCTGGATAATTGTGATACGGAACCAGATCCTGCATTGAATCTGTAATTCAGGGAATCGTTTCCCAAGCCCAAAATTAAGTCCATTATAGCAACGACCTTTCAAGACCGACAGCACATTGCATGATAATCGCACTTGCAGTCCATGGCCATAGCAGGGAGCGGCGTATAACATTTCCACGGAATCTTGAATTCGCCTGGTCAAATCATCTGTGGACGACTTCTCTCGAACGTTTGCAATCGAATCCGGAACCCCCCGGAGTACAGGTTAATAGGTCTGGCACTGGCAGTAGTGATTAATTTCGACTAATTGCCCAGGGCGCTGCATTTACGTGGTCGCTAGATTGCATGTAGAAGTGACGAAACGATTGTTCGAAAAGTTGAGATTCGACTCACCGCCGAGAAGATACGACAGTTAGCACCCTTTACCGTTGACCTGTTTAACAAGAACGTATCGTGATGGCTTTCTACTGCTGTGTTCGGTCTCTCCGCAGATATCCTGAACTTTGATAAGGCTGAACAGTGATCTTGCGGCAGTGGGAGCCGGGCAAGCGATCGGGTCGACTGTTATTGGGCCCTTGAACGAAGAATGAATGACAGCGCCATTACTTCATGCTGTAGCATTATCACTCAATTACCATTGTGAATGACAGTGTCGTTATCGTTGATACTTTCGGCGAACCCTGTACTTAAGCGCCCCAGCGCGCGATGTGTCTGGAGAATTCACCGCCGTGGGGTAAAAAGGCAACAGTTTCTACACGTCTTGATAGGTCAAATGGAGCGCAGCGCCGTATTATGGATCTCGAAAAGGCGGAAGACGAACGCTTCGACGGACAATCGGCCAAGCTTTCCTAGCCTGCAAGCCGGATGTTGGGGCTTGTTCTGTAGTGCACCGCCTACCACCTAAATAGGAACAATTAGCTACCATTCGGTGACTTCGTAAGGCTGGGCCAACCATGCAGGCCCTTGAAAGGCTTCAAGCGGCCATCACGCCCTTGTCGAAAACCACGTTTGATGGCTTCAATATGAAATTATGTGCCACGAAGCACAATTACCCCAACGGGTTAGGCGTCGTGAAATAGATAATCAATCCAATGCAAGCTCCTTGAGAAGGGGCCCAGTTTTTGACTTGTTGCGAACCCGAGTGTGAACGCGAAAACCTTGGAGATTGACGCATATGTGAAGCAAGCATAGGAGAAGTGTGATAATGCGTTGTTTATCCTTGGATGGATTATCAATTAGCAGCTGCAAAGATTGATTTCAGGGGGGAATGAGATGAGACTGCGACTGAGACTGAGGTTGCCAGCGCGACTTCTCGAAGGTTGTGCTTACTAAATAAAGGCCGAAGTTTAACCGACGTGTCCTAAACCTTAGAGGCATTGAGACTTGTGTCTGTATACAACAATACCGACGTCGAGAATGTCAATTGAAAATGGAAGCCATTATATTTCAGTCCTACCTTTCGAAGCTCTTTTATTCTGGTGTCTTTAAATGCTCCGACCCAAGCTACCCATCTGATCAGCACTCCAATGACGGCCGACGAGTGCCGCAACGCGTACGTACA